CCAACTGCACTCAGGGCCAGCGGTAGCAGGGAGATAAGGTAGGGTTCGGCACCGGGAGCAATGGTGGAGTGTGAGGCGATGGCTCGGATGCCATCCAACGCACGCTCTCGCACGTTGGCATCCTTCTTATTGCTCAGTTGTTTCTTCAAGATGTCAACAGCCTTGAGAGGTACATCGTGCTCCTCGATGGGACCGTTCAGGAATGTGGCAACGTTGCCAGCGGCGCCGTTTGCCTCATCCTGAGTCTTGGAGATGGACAGTTGGTGCAGCAACTGCTCCAGGGTGGCGATCGACTGCTTCGTCTCTTTTGACGAGGAAGTAGGAGTTGAAGACATGGTGTCGACTGAGGGCATTTCTGGTGGTCACTCGGGGAGTTGGGAAAAGGGATAGATAACTTGACTCTGGTGTTTTGTGGGTGGAAAATTTCAGGAATGTGAAAAAAAAAGGCGGTCTATGTCGGCTGAGACGGAGGTGCCCACGAAGACTGCGCTTCCACGCCGGTCTCTCGCTCTATCTGGCGTCTAAAAGGTAGGGAAAAAAAGAACGTGCAAAGACTCTGTGAACAAGAGAAAATGCAGGAGGGGGTCTAGAGGGAGAGGAGAGGTGAGAGAAGAGAGATTGTAAGGAAGAAGGATGGTCAGGGTGAGCCGGCCTGGGTTTTATTTTGTATCTGGACTCGGCCGTTGACTGCTCACAGAATTTTTTTTTTTTTCCGCTAGTGGCTGCCAGTCCCTCTGCCAGTCCCTTGCCAGGCCTCTGTTGGCCTCTGCCACCGGCTGTCACTCCTCGCAGCCCCTGGTCCATCTTGTCCATTCGCCAGTCACATCCAGGCGCATCGCCCCATTCACCCGGCGTCCCCATCACTCTCCCTTGCTTCTCCCCCATCAAATCCGTCAAATGGCTGCTCACTCCCAGTTGACTTTGACCGCCTTCCTCTAGTCCTTTGCCGCGTTGGCCGACCCAGACCACAAAGAGACACCCTCACCAAAAGCCCCCCCGAGATCCCAATAACTGAGTCTGACCCGGAGATCTCGACAATCTTGCTCCCCAGCCTCAGTGGCACGGATTTGTCCGGATAGGGTCACAAAATCTGAAGAAAAAGGGGGTAATCACACCAAGGCATAATCAGGCATAACAGGGAGGGTGTTCCGTGTGCCAGGGCACCATGTAATTCTTCTGGAAGACCTATTTTTGTCGCCACTCAGCCTTGGATAATCAACAGCGGCACCCTTCTGTTACAACAACAGGGGAGCAGGGGCCAGGGGGGTTTCACACCAGTCCGCAGCCTGCATTTACGCCTACCACGTCAGATCTGAATGCCCAATAGCCTACCCAGTACTCGGTAGCACGTCCAGAATACAGCTCGCACGGCAATTTGACAAGGACCAATTCCCCAGGTCGCCTTTTTCCCGTCAGACATGGGAAAATGTGTAAGCATGCACAGGCTTCGCCTCCTGGGTGGGCGTTCCCACCGGCTACCACCCTGGCGATTGGTAGCCATCCCGCCTTGAACAGAATGTCATCCATTCTACTTGTCGGGCTTGCAGCAGTCATCCCCCGCCCTTCTTTGGTGAGGGTTACTGGAGGTACCCTTGAGCTTGAGGGGCTGTGGGAACCCATCCACGTCTTTCTCGTATCAAAAAATCCCCCTTATCGATAGGAATGAAACTAACTGATAAGAACGACAATTTTCTCCCACAATTTCTCCTAGGCTCCTGAAATTTCGCGAGGATCAAAACACGAGGCCCGCAGACCGCAGAAAGCGAAGATCGAGACGAGACCTTTGTCAGTGCCTTGAAACCCTCCTCACATTCCTATTGTTTGCATCAAAGCCTGTGTCGACACGAGCAATGACGCTTCGCGCGAAAATTTACAGGAGAACAGCCAACCCAACCGCTGGGACTCCGAAAAGTCGGCGAAACGTTCCTTTTACAAGCTTGCCGATTGGCTGAACAACCAATTGCAAGGATATTGCCGTTCTTAGCGGCTTATGTCGTATCTTCGGTGCGAGCTGGGAAAGCTTTACTCTTCCATTGTCAGCAATGAATGGATCTGACGCAATTTGGATACACTACCGGCACTGCTACGATTGATGGCCTCTTCCACAAGCGAGAAGATGCGGATCTATGCTGGTGGAACACCTGTGAAACACCTTCGAACACTTGCTCTATGGAGGACCGTGACTAATTAAACTAGTCGAAAGTGCCAGCTCACAGCCAGACCGTGGCAGTCGCGCGCTGTCTTCCCAGAATCTGGCACTCTCCACATTTGAAGTTGGCAGACATGAACTCGCTAACATGCAGGGTAACCCGTTCCGTCGGGCACCGCATTTCGTACCGCTTTGCCACACTTTATTTCCCTAAGTTCTTTGGGGCTGAAGTTTCTATGTTGGCATTCGACGGAATCTAGTTTGTCGTGTCCAGACGAGAACTCGCGCACCTGTGGGTTTTGAGAGTGAGAGAACCAAATTCGGAACGAGAGGAGAGTTGTCTAATCGTCATTGAACGCGTTGTCCCATAAAGCATAGGCCACGATCCCAAAGCGCACGACGGACAAAGATAGCTAGAGACACTTGACCCTCCTCCAAACCAATCAACGAGCACTCGTGAATCGTACCTTGCTCAGTGATGGTGACGGTGTCTGCGCCTGCTGCTGTCGCTATCACTGCTGCTACTGCTTACACTTCTCCTCCTGCTACCTGACCTCCTGCGAGAACGGGAGACGGAGCGGCTTCGGCGGCCATCGTAGTCGTCATAGTATTCGCCATCAGCCTCGCCTTCCCGGCGTTCTTTCTTCTTGTGCTTGTCCTTCTCATGCTTAGACTCGAGCTTGTGGCCGGCATATGCACCAGCAAGCGCTCCGGCAACGGTGATGAGGCCGTTGCTGTGGCCCAATTCATGACCAGCCCCTGTGCAACTGTTAGGCGCTGTCTAAGGAGGGCATTGGAACACGGAACTTACATCCGCCAACGGCGCCACCAAGGAGAGTTGCGCCTATATTCTTCTCGGCCTCGTGTCCGCCGTGATGTTTCTCTCCCCTTTCTCTTGACTTTTCTCTTTCTCTTTCCCGTCTTGAGCCTCGAGAGCTGGGACGGTCGTCGTAGCGATCGTCATACCCGGAAGATGGGGGTGCATAGTATGACGAGCCGTCACCACGATATTGACTGGCAGCAAGGGGGCCCGAGTTGCGACGTTCGCGATTGTAATCGTGCTCGCCAGCATACTGGCCTACTTGCATGCCGGAGGAGCGGGGGGATCGGTACTGATCTTCACGTGGAGGCTGATACTCTCCATAGGAAGACTGATGCAGGAGTCAGCCAAGACCTGATGTTGGTCAAAAAAAAAAAAACCAAAATTCAATAAACTAGCCTTACCTGTGGAGCAGTATAGCCCTGGCTGCCCTCGTATTGTGATCGCGGAGGCGGCGGGTATTGGTTGTGCCCGCTTCCTGGCGGAGGAGGATACGGATTGGGGTTGTAATAGTCTGACATGTTGATATGCAAGAATCAAACAGCGATGTTCAGAGACAAGTGAGGCAGAGTACTGTCGCTATGTTTTCAAGGGCATCGCATCCAGGACGACGAGCAGTGTCAAGCCTTAGTCATTCAATGTCATTCCGGGCGATATCGCGGAGTGTGGCGGGGCTAGCCGGAATGGCGGACCAGCTATGACCTCATCGTTCCGCACAGCCACGAGGTCGATCCGAAACGCCAAGCCCGGCAAGTTGCAGGCGCCGCCAAGACTTGTCACCCGTTTCACAAAATGGCTCTTTTCTTGACAATGAGCAAGTCCCTGCAAATTGCATTTCCGCCTCTCTCCGTGATTGGGAGATTGTCACGTTCGAACAAACACAACGGCACTCTCCTTGGTAGACTTTGCTTCTCGACCTCTATGGATACTGCTCGAAAGAAAAATTGAAAACCTCAGATGCAAACAGATCCAATACTGGTTGATGCTTCTCCTGACCATGTTGCAGACGATCGTCCTTAGAGAAATGAATCTTGTGCCATTTCCCTTAGAGAGCCAGCCAAAGGACAAAGACCCTCGCCCCTAAAGAGCAGTCTCAAATATCGGACACCAAGCCTTCTTTCAATGGGCACCAGAAAAGACCCACTGGACGGTGCTTGAAATGGGATTTCGGTCGGGATGTAATAGCAACGAGCAGCACTAGGATTATATTCTATTGTGACATCCAGCGTCAGCACCTTGCCTGACTCGGCCATGAGTGATGGCATCTGTGCTATGGTCCTGCACCTCGGAGCCTTGCCAGATCCTCCCGCAAGGCGACCAACAGCTGTCTGTGACTTGTTGTCCAAAATCGGAGACAGTAGCCCCAGCCAGGTGGTTACTTCAGCTAGATTCGGCGCACTCTCGGGAAGTTTTCAGTCGACTGGATTTTTTTTTCTCGCTTGCTTTCCCAATCAGCTTCTCTTCCAAGGCGCGGGTGTTCTCAACGGTAGATTCCAACTGGCTTCGGTCTGAACTGCGCTGACTTATCACCCCCACCGGCCTATCTGAGTGGCATTCGGTGCTCTCGCCTCAAAAAGGGGGATGCCGACTTTTCCTTCACCTGATTTAAGCTTAATTGACTCGGCTATCTCATTGGGTGCAGGGATGTCTTGCGGCGAGGCTTTCCGCACACTCACTCCACTTGGTCAATATCGTCGTCGCTCGCGCTTTGCGCACGGCCGAGTACGGCACAGGGATATCGAACCACCTGCATGTGTAAATGAAATCAATGCTGGATCCTGGCGCCTTGTGGCATTGGGGCCGCATATGCTCTGGCGGGGTGGTGCTCTGGTTGGGCAGCGAAGCCTCTAGATCGATTTTGTCAGGACAGCACGAGACTTCGGGACCCATGGTATATATACACCTCATCCCCGGTTCCTCATTGCCCCTTTCTGTCCTCCAGCTCAATTTTGGCATTCTAATCTGCCTAAAGAAGCAGTCCTACTGTTCAAAACTATTTCCCTTGGCCATCTTTAATTCGCCGAGCTCACCATGGATCACAATCACATATCCCATTCGACTTCTCTAACTACGACGCCCACGGTTTCGGACGCCGGCGGCGCTCAGGAGCATGGCGTTGAGAGATCAGAGACCATGTTGACCCGGGCATCCACTCGTCGGACACTTGAACATTATCAAACCAGACCGACGCAAGATGCCTCGGACTTGCTGGATTTGCCTTACGACATCCTCAGCGATGAGGCCGATATGAACGAATATTTGGAGGAGACGACGACTGGTGTGATCCCCAAGAAGACGATATCGAGAGTTACCGGAATGCTTGAGGAGCATGAATTGGTAACTTTCAAGGTTGGCGATCCGGAAAACCCAAAGAATTGGTCAAAAGCCTACAGTATGCTCTCCGCGCAGCAATTTGTTTTATTCCCGTGTTTGCTGACGCCTGTCTGAACAGAATGGTGGTGCACAATGGTTGTGGCATTCACTTGCTTCACTGTTGCCTTTAATTCCGCTGTTATCACGGCCGACTTGGAGGGAGTCTCCAAGAGATTCCACGTCTCGGAGGAAGTTTCCCTCCTGACCATCACCATGTTCGTCATTGGATTTGGCGTTGGTCCCCTTGCATTTGCACCGTTGTCCGAACTCTACGGTCGGAAACCAGTCTATGTCATCACCATGGGCTTGGCCGTCATATTTGAAATCCCCTGCGCCGTGGCACAGAACATTGGCACACTTTTGGTCTGCCGTCTGATCGATGGCATCGCATTCTCTGCGCCCATGACCCTCGTCGGTGGCACATTGGCCGATCTCTGGAAGAATGAAGAGCGCGGTGTCCCCATGGCTGTTTTCTCGGCAGCTCCCTTCGTCGGCCCTGCGATCGGCCCCTTGGCCGGAGGGTTCCTTGGTGACGCCGCTGGCTGGCGCTGGCTCTACTGGATCCAACTCATCCTCGCCGGGTTTTGTTTAGCCATCCTGACCTTTACCGTCCCGGAAACCTACACCCCAGTCCTCCTGGCCAAACGTGCAAAGAAGCTCCGTAAAGAGACCGGCGACAGCAAATACGTCACAGAAAGGGACCTCGACACGCGTCCTTTGGCACAACAACTCGTCATCTTCCTCCTTCGGCCACTGCAGCTACTTTTCCTGGAACCTATCGTCCTTCTCATCTCATTATACATGTCTGTGCTCTATGGCCTTCTCTACATGTTCTTCGTCGCCTACCCGATCGTATACGTCGAGGGAAAGGGATGGTCTGAAGGTTCTACAGGACTTATGTTCATTCCGCTGGCAATTGGAGTCGTCTGCTCAGCTGTGCTCTCCCCATTCGTCAACAAGCACTACCTCTCGATCTGCGCTAAGTATCCCGATGGCAAACCCCCCGCCGAAGCCCGTCTCATACCCATGATGCTCTCCTGCTGGCTGATCCCAATCGGCCTGTTCATCTTCGGCTGGACATCATACCCGGACGTCTCGTACTGGGGTCCCATGATGGGCGGCTTCCCCGTGGGGTTCGGATTTATCTTCCTGTACAACTCGGCAAACAACTACCTCGTGGACACCTACCAGCACCTGGCTGCCTCGGCGCTCGCCGCCAAAACCTGCATTCGATCCTTCTGGGGCGCGAGTGTCGTGCTGTTCACGGTCCAGATGTATCACACTTTGGGGTACCAGTGGGCCAGTTCACTCTTGGCGTTTCTTGCTCTCGCGTGTTGCGCGATCCCTTACGTCTTTTACTTCTACGGTGCACGCATCAGGAAGCTCAGTAGGTACGCCTTCCATGATGAGGACGAGGTATCTCCCGTGAGGACGAAGACGGAAGGGGAAGTGTAAAGCGGAAGGCGGCCCACGGGCCCTCAAGAGTTTGCAGCAGTAATGGGGAAGAAGAAAGGAGTGATGGAACAAAATTGGCAGAAAAGGGGGTGGTTATGTTTGTGTCTGTGGGAGAGTTGGGGCAAATGCCAGACGAGACTTTCTCCCACTCAAAGGTAGCAGGAGGTTCTCTGGCACGGCGGTCCCATCTTTTTTTTTCCCGCTCTTCCTGTTTATCCGGAAGAGAGTTCTATTGTCGCGGAGAGTTCGGGTCTCTGGTTCTGTTTTTGTTGTTGTGGACGTTTCAGCGTGGGAAAAAGGGAAAGGGGGGCCAGAACCGGGATTTTATTTACTCCACGGTTTGCTCTGATTCGGGCTGCGCGCCATCATCATCCCTCCAGGAAGACGTCGCAAAGTAGATATCGACGGACGCGGATTGGATTGGATTCACTAATGGATTCATTAACTGATTCAATGATTGCTCGATTTGGCTACTTGCTTGCTTGCTTTTTCGTTTATATCTAACTCACCTACTTGCCTCCTCGGTCCTTTGAGACTGATCGAGTGATCGGTAGGCTGATTGACGTGGTTGCTCAGAGTCGTAGCTGTTGACGATGAAAAACACAGTCGCAAGAGATGAGTAAACAAAAAAGGGGAGGAGGGGATTGGCACCAGGGTTGGTGGAGGGAGGGAAGAAGTCCGTAGTCCCACTTCCCTGAGATACAAAGATGAGAGACGACAGATGACAGATGACAGATGACAGATGACAGATGACAACCCTCATGCAATCAATGGAAAATTGGACGCTACTACAGTACAGAGCCTATCGCTATTACATCGTTGCATACTACATATGAACCAAATCATAATATCGTGTCGTCCAATGAACCCCAAATAGATACCCAGCCTGGGCGGACATTTGGGCATCAGTCATCAATCCTCAATCATCGATAGGTACGAGTGTGTGTTTCGTTCGGCACCACAAGGTTCATGCAGGTCGGCGTCGCATTTACTCTGGATCCATTTTCCTCAGTTCTATGTCGAAGGCAAGTAAAGGGGCTTGTGGAAATCGGTCAAAAAAGATATCGACAAAACGTTTTTGTAATCAATGCCATTTGGAAGTGTTGTAATCCCCGTGCTTTTCCCGAGCAATGGCCGAACCTATTCCCACACCCATTCCCATGATGTTGACGTCCACGCCGTCGCTATGCCTTCATTCAAAGAAAGGAAGGAGATCAGCTCGCCCCCAAAATCCTGGTGTACGCATCCTCTACCTCCCTTGCAATCTCCAGCAGACTCACAATCGCAATGCTGTGCGTTGCCTCCGGCAGCTTGTCCCTGTGTAGCCCGATCCACTCCAGCGGCGGCGTCGCCTCGCCCATGTCCCTGAGCTGTGGCGTATCAATCACCGGCGGCTCGAGGGCCACATAGGTGAATTTACTCAGCGGGACATTGACAACCGCCGTGATTTTCTCTTGGCGTCCATTCTCACCCTCTGAGGAGGGCTCCGCTGTGACTTTGATGGCAGATGGTGGCAAGGGTTTCCCCAGGCGCTGGGCGAGGGCGCGCGAATGGGCCTGCCACATTCCTCGGATGAAACTGATTCGGGCATAATTCCAACCCACGTCGACTTTGCCCTCGAAGGCGCTCCGGAAAGTATATTCGATGATGTTGGAGTCCGCAACCTGCCAGGTTTGCATTGCTGATACCAGGCGGGGCACTTTAACAATGGTGCCGCCTCGAGAGCTAGTGGCTCTGTCGATGACATCTGGGACGGATACCTCGCTTAAGGCCTTTGTGGTGGCCCGATTCACGCTTGACAACGCGACTCCTAGTTGGCCTAGTGTCATTCCTAATGCACTGTGGGTTTTGCCTTCAGTTGTTGCCACGGCAAACCTTGCTTGCACTTCTGTGGCTTCGACCTTGAGAATCTGGTTGTCGAAGAATGTATTCGGGAAGACGCCAGCATCAAGTGCTCCCAATGTCACAACGACGTCTGTGTGTAACGCGAATGTGCCTTTCGCAACAGCTTTCTCTTTGCGCTCCCTGGCCGGAGCCGGGGATGCCCAAGTGCTAGATGGGAACACCGATTTCCTTCGGAGGAACTTATCCAGATCCTGGAGTGACGTTTCGTATGCTTCATGTTTTTCCTGCATTAGTCTTTCAAATGCCTGCACGAGAGCCAAGCCTTGGGCAGCGGTGGCCGTGGTGCAAAACACTTGGAATTTGCCGCCGTCGACGAGCCCAACTAGGCGATCGCTATCGCTTCCAAGACCCTGCCTCACGTTGTACATTAAGAATTCGAAGAAGGAGATGTCTGCTACCGCGAATGGTTGATAATCGAAGGCAGCCTTCACACGGAAGTGCTCGAAACCGATAGATGCTTGCACAAGCGGAGCGCGCGTCTTCGCCGTCGCATCTTCTGGCCACTTGATCGATGTCCGTGCTCGCATGTTCTCCATCTCAATGAATCCGCTCATCCGCCCTGTGCTATCGATGCCCACCCTATCGAATCCAATGCACAAGTTTTGCTCTGAATCGCTGTTCTTTCTCGATGACGCCCAAAGCTTGGAGATGGTAAAGACTGACTTGCCGAGGCCCTGGCCGAGGTCGACCTGGAGCTGGACTTCCTGCACAGACACGATGGCATGCCATGGCAACGTGCCCTTCCCGGAAAGCTCCTGATAGCGCTGCATTGCATAGGCCTGCTGATCCAGCGGCGATGCTACAGGAGCGGTTGGTTTTGACTTACTGCGAAGTTCAGCAGGGTACCATATTTCGCGGAAAAGAAGGAAGTCCTGCAACTGTTTCGCATTGACGTCCATCTTCATTGGGCTGATGTTGAGAACCACCGAAACACCTGTTGTAGTACTAACATGCTTGCTGTTCATCAGTGACATGACAATGGAATCCACTTCAAAGCTAGCAGTTGATTCCCGGGAGTAAACGTGCTGCACTGAAGCTGCAAGTTTATTGAATGTCGTCTGAATAGCAAAGAATCGTTCTTGATCAGGCGCAGACACAGTATTGACTCTGACGAAAATGTCTGCAAATTTGGCAGTGGCCGCTACTCTTGCAATGGGTTGACAGCTTAAGCTGAACTCTTGTGCCTGTATGTAAAGTCCGGCATTCACCTTACAGCGCCCAAAAATGGCTGTTGGGTTGGAGTTATTCAGAGTTGCATCTGAAAGATAGCTGCGGGCGTCTGGTGGTGAGTTGGGCTTAGCGGCCCCGGTTCGATCATCGCCCAAGATTTCTTTAATGCTTGCTGATATCTCTTGGATCAAAGGTACGACGGTGGGGTACAGAGTATTCGAAGATGCCGCAACTCTGACTTCGGTGCTGAGGGATGGTTCGTCTTTGTTGTCGTCCTTGTATTCAACTTTGAGAGCAACACCAGGAGCTTTCAACACGGCGGACGAAACGTCTTCTCCTTGTACTGCTTGACCATATCGACCTGCACGGGATCGTTTCTTGCCCTTTAAAAATCCGAACACGGAACTCTTGTGTTCAGCTTCAGCGCGAGGACTGATATGAACTACAGCCCCTGCAAAATCTGCGTCAACTAGGAGAGATGCCAGTCGTTTCCCGCCCAACAAATCCATCTGAGAGGCCTGTGGTGTTGCCGGACTAATCTCATGGAGAGTCTTCTTGCAGCGTAACTCGCTGCAAGCATTGCCAAGGGACTTTTTTAAGGCATGGCCTGAAATAACGACGTCGGAAGCGAGTCGAAGATCCAAGGCTTTTCCCTTTGCTTGGAACGCAAAACGTCGTTCATGTTTCGTGGACAGGTAAGCCGTTGCAAAAACAACTTCAGGTAGCAGTGCAGAGTTGGCTGTTCGAAGGGTAGGATTCTTTGACTGGGACCGTGGGACGATCTGTACTTGTGTGTCCAATATCGACAATCGAGCAGTACCCTCTTGATGGGTCTTGAGATCGACTTTTCGTATCGAGAAAACTAGGTCCTCCATCTCACGGGTAGCTGAAACGGCAGGACTTCTTGTCAAATTCCATCGCATCATAATGTTTTCAAGGTCAAGCGCATAGGTCGAAGCATAGAGAATAGTGGAAGCGCCATCGACGCTCTCGGCCGCTTCACTGGCCACCTCCATTGGCTGTTCTCTGGGCTTCAACCGATCGGTGATACCAGCAGTTGTCATCCTCCGAATACGTTGAATGTTCTCTCCATTATCAGCGAGCTTAATCGACTTGATCCGATCTTGCAAAAATGCAATAATGTCGACTGCGAGGGTGGCGCTTTCCTCGAAAAGCTCAATGGCTATTCCATCGCTCCAAGCCCTGTAAACCTGAACTGTTCCTGAATTCCCAACGACCTCGGTCTTCCCTGAGGCCTTGACACCCACGATGCACGTTCCAAAATTAGCTCGCTCGTGTCTTGTGCTGCGATAGAGCCCGAGGCCGACGCCCTGAGAATTAAGGATGAATTGTGGTCGTTCATGAATCGAGTCCGGATTGTCCGTCTCGTTATGGATGTATAATGTTGTCCCTTGAAGCTTGAGCTCCATGTCAGCTCGGTAGTCCTGATCTTCTCTGACAGATGGAGCAGTAAAGTGTATGTTGATGCCTGCAAGAGTTCCATGGATTGCATAGCGAAGCAAGAGGGTAGTATCGAGAGGTCTTTCCGCCTTTGGTTTGGATTTTTCCCCCTTTATATGTTCAACGGACTCTTGGAACTGCTGGACTGCTCTCCTGGCGTCTAGTATCAGCTGAATCACGCCAGGCTGATTTAATGCATCGAAGCAAGCTCGTACACCCGATGCTTCCAGATTGATCTGTTCAACCGTCATACGAGCGCGGACGGAAACCAGAGCAGCTGTCTGAGCCAAAGAAAGGTGCCCATTAATCGGCGGCATCTTTAAGAGAGTCAGATCGCTTCTGGAGGTACCGTGGGGCACTTCAAATAAATGCTCGTGCTCTTTGATGTCAAAATTGACATCCAGGCCCCCATTTCGCCGTGGGATGATTGACGTCCGAGCCACGTTCCCAGCAATTGCATAGTGCAGAGATGGGACGATCACAAAGTTCAACCTGTAATCATCCAAAAACATGGCAACACGGAGGTCAAGGTTGAGAGCATCGTTTGAACTCGAAACCTCTCGGACTTTGCTGCCGCTCTTGCTTGGAACCTGATGGATGAGATCAATAATCGTCGCAACCTCTTCCCGGACGACGGAATCGGCGACTACGAGCAACTTGACAACATCTTCCTTCATCTGAAACCGGAACTTATGCGAGGCTGCACAGATCTGAACAACCATTTTCTGATCTCTAGATCTGGCAGGGGGCTGCGGCCACACTGACCCATATAGCTTTGGCATACGGAGGCGCCACATCATCAATGTGTGAGAATGACCTCTGAACTTGGCCATAGCTGTGTACGCTGCAATCGTAAAAGAAGAAATTGTAGGCTGCGAGCCTCCCTCTGAGAAAGAAACAGCACTTCGGAAACTTTCAGCTGCCCATTTCAGCCTAAGGTTGATAGTGGTGAGGTGAAGGGAGGCTGCATCGGCTCCCACCATCACTGTAAAGTGATTTCTCTTTGTAGAGAGTTCTTGCGCTGTCTTCGCGATGGAATCATGAGTATTTGGTGTTCCCAATGCCAGAGGATTACCAAGCTCAATGACCTGTCGAGCGAGCTCCACTAGGGCCCAATTGAGGTGGAGTGAGGTGTCTGCAGTGTAGGCTTGAAGGATGATTCTCCGCGAATTGCTGCCAATCCCCGATGTACCTGCTGGGCGCAAGATTATGTTGAAGTCGAGGCCGAGTATAGTTAGATCACTCTGACGAGGACCCGGATCCAAAATAATTCCAAGTTTTCCCACGATTATTTCCGTCTGTACGACAAGCTTATTGTCCAGTGTTTCCGGCGTTTGAGCACGCCCGCATTCAAAGAGGGAGCTCATAATCGGCACATTATCATGTACATAGTCCCAGCCTCGCCATTTCTCAAAAGAGGAAAGAACCTGGCGTTTGGCCGGATCTTTCAGCTCGAGGTCTTCGCAACCGCACCTTTCGATGAAGTCTCGTCCCTTTTCTTTCTCGATGGTAGAGAATATATATCTGAGCCTAGAAATGATCTTCCACGAATCACTCAGACGGACATGTTTGTCAGCACTTCTAAGAACGTAGGAGGGTCTGGTTAGAAAGATGGGATCGGATATGGCATTGCCCGCCTGAGTCAGATGGTAGATCAAGTGTCTTGATTTGTAGCTTTGATCAAGTCCTTCAAAGGCATCGACAATGCGATCGACCATTGACACTGTCCTCCGAATCAGCCCTGCCATGCTGTTGAGTTGATCCGCCCACAAGACCACATCGAAATTGCTCAATTGTAATTTCGAGTTGATCTCTTCCTTCATGCAAACCCAGAATCCCACATTCGCCAGCGAGAGTGCGGTCTGAGCCGAAGGTCTCTCAGCGGCGAAAGTATCATCTCTGACAGACATAGAGAGATTTTTGATTGAACCATACGCAAGTTGGCTGTGCGAAGCCTTGGGTTCCAACCGCGCACTGGTTTTTGGATGTAAGAGACGGTAAAACAACTGTGAGCTCATAAGTTTCACATCGTATTGGTCCTCCCTTGAGACTGGTGTATCGCTCTCGCTTCGTAGGCCGTTGATTAATCTGATGTGTGCAAAGGGCAACTGGACAGCGAAGTCCACAACGTGGCCTTTATTATCGTGCTTGTGAGTTTCCAGTATCCGCTTCATTACCGTAATCTGCACTTTATCGAGCTGGTCCACCGGATGATCCTCATTTAGTTCCCGGATCAAGTCTCCTATTGACACAAAGAGGGATGGAGTGCAAAACCCAGTCAGGCCATTCTGGATCATGAAAACAACACCGTTGTGCGGTGTGTCTTCGAACTCGTCTTGTAAGGGTCCAGAATCTTTGCTGTTCTGGGGTGTCAGGGATGGAAAATTGGCGGAACCTTGAGGAGGTAGCTGCGGCAGGTTTCTTCTGTCAGGTTCGACGTCGTGCAGCGTAAAGTGCGGCGGGGCCCATGGACTGGAGAACGTCACCAAAGCTTGATGCGTATCTCGATCCCGAGAATGGAGACGATTCAGACCTTCACGACTGACACCCGACTGGTCCGAATGGGGCGCCCAAGATCCTGGGAGACCATGATCTAGCTGAAGCTGCACGCGGGATTCGACAGACGGTTGTTTTTTCAGCGGAGTTGATGATGCCGAGATAAAGGAGTGGTGTCCGTCAAGACCCCGTCTGCCGGAGTTGCGATCCCTTGTTTCAGGAAAAGTTGTTTTCTCTACTCTCCCGACAGGTTCAGGCATTGAGGGCACTGGCATCGCTGGCGGATCACGGGCCCAGTCAGGTATTCTGTGGTTGGGTGGATAATGCTTTCCATGGTCTAATAACCAATCTGTACGGTGAGTTCGTTGGTCATGATAGCGAATATGCTGTTGTTGCAAAGCACGGGTGTGCGCAAGGTTGTCTGTCTTGTCCAGTGTCCCGATCCGGAGAGAGGTCTCAAAACAAGCAAAGGTTTCTACAGGACCTGGTCTTCGATCGTGATGTCGCAGAGCCGCTTTGTAATCCACGGCTGCGAGGGCAACCCGGGGGATGCTGGCCCGCAACATCTTCGCAAAGCTGGAGTTGGCCCAGTCGCTGAATGAGACGTCAGATTCCGACAGTTCCAGCATGTAGGCAGTACCTCCTGAAACAAGCCAGAGACGGAGACCTGCAAGATTGGCTCTGAGGAAGGTTACATCGTGCACAGCTGTCCGATTGAAAGGCGGTAAGGAATTTTCCTCGTCGTCCAGGGTATAGATGAATGCCATGATCGAATTGGCCAGGATTTGGACAAATTTGGAGTTGCATTCGCCCGTAATCTCGCCAACATTAATATCCCAATGACAGGCATAAGTGGGCTCAGATGGTGGCGCCCCAAAGAGTCTATGACCGTACACATCAGTACCATCAATGAATAATTGACAATTCGTGATTTCGCTAGACGGCTCGTTTCCATTGACAGTTATAGACTCGAGCGAAGCCTCAAGTGGGCTCGAGCTAACCTGCAAGTCCATGTAATAGTTGGTGAAACGCATGTCTGCGTCAACAAGAAGTATGTCCACACGGACATTTTCTCGCTGCGAGTAAATATTCGCAGGCAACAGCACGCAAGAGTTCTCGGCTCGGATAGTCAGGACGACATCGAGGTCATTCTCCTTTTTGCTGCCTGGTCGCGGTCGCTGCAGCTCATTGCCAGCCAGCATGTCTTGATACTCCTCCAACGTCCTGAAATGCAGATCTTCGCCAAAGTAGTTCTCCTTGACGTTCACAAAATAGCGAATGAGGTAACCATGCAGGAAGATCTTGGGCGCGTATCCTGTAATGGTCATGAAAAGAGAATCTGTCAAGCCTGGGGACACATTGGGATAGTAGTTGTAAGAGCCTTCCAGATTGAGCAGCTTGAGAGTCATCATCGTTGTGTCTTCGGCAAGAGTATTGAGCGTGTTCCATACAGGTGTAATGAGTTCCAAAGACGCAGTATGGCCCTCGCCAATAAATTTAACGCTGCTCTGACGAGGCGAGTAGTACTGCATGGGTATATCCACGTTTCCAGCTAGTGATTGAAATCCTAGGACTAAGAATGCGTTTTCTTCAAGGTCGCATGGGTTGTCAACAATGTTATAATCGTTTGCATTGAGATAGAGCTTGAGATCCGGGAACGTCAAGTGGAGTCGATAGACAAAAGGTACAAATGTCATGTAGTCAGGTTTCTGCCCTGCCGTAAAATCGCTAACAAGATCGGTTAGCAGGATCATGTGGTCTCTCAAAATGAACATCTCCATGGCACTGCTCTCAATGTCGAAAACCCAAGTATGGAGGGCGTTCCATACCAGAGGATTGGATAGGTCACATGTAACCTTTTGGGATGGACAACGCCAGAGCAATGCGTGATTGACACTAGAAGTAGCTTTCGTTTGTTTGAGGTCAAGCCGGAGGTGATTTCTGTAGCCTTCTGATCGTGGTACCATGTCCATGTCATATCGCACTGTCGAATCTTTTCCTGCTGAGACGGTCAACCAGCCGAATGGGCGGATATCGGGACCAAGTTTTGTTTTGGGAGAACGGCGGAATCGAAAGTGTCTCTTTTCGCGTTGCTTCCGTACCGCGGCAGCTTCCCTGACTGCATGCGCTCGGTTCCTCCATTGCCAATCTTTCGAGCGTTCTCTCGTTGGTACGCGGAGGGTGACTTCGTCTTCAAGATCAACGCGTATCGTCATTACTGTGTACTGCCGCACATCTCCTACTTTGACAGACGGAGCGGGTGACACCGATCTGTAGGGGTTTGGGAAGAAGGCTGTTTGGATTTCAATGCGAAGTCGGTCGGCCCAAGGTCCGTAGTTAACAAAACCACCTTTGACAGTCAGGTCCATTCCATATGCCGGTGGCTTCGACATGTTGATGTCGTCGACATGTGCGTGTCGGGCCAAGTCCGCATGTTCTTCTGTCACATTTCCTGGCATGTCCCAGAAGAACTTGAAGTGGACAGCCGGCGAGTCGAGGATTTGTGAAAACCTGGCATATTCCACATGAGACCAGCCTTCGTGATCGTCACGCTCGTCCTCGTCCAGGTACCTGCCAAGGCCATGCCATGATCGATTCTCGTCTTGGAATTCATCATAGGGGTAGTGTTTCTTAATATTACCGTCTTGCGATGCAGTAGTCCGTAACGAGCCCCTTGAGCTGCCTGGAAGAAGACGTCTGAGACCACGGAAAGCTTTACCAATCCGGCGTCTCAGACCGAATTTCACTGGCCACCAGCGTGGTCGGTGGTTCAGAGATTCTGCAGCTGATATGATCCTCTCAGCAGCGACATACTGAGATCTACGAAAGTCAGGGTTGGGTTTCATTTCGACTTTGGGATGGTCGATGGTGAAGTCGAACACCTGTCGGAAGATGTCTGACGGACCCGCCGCAGCTGCATCGACATGACCTTTCGCAGCTGTAAAGGTCGTGACGACCAACGCCCGCGTGTTCTCATTTCCAAGTGAGATTGCACCTTTTGAGCACTCAACGGCAATCGGCAGGGCTTGGAGAATCCAGCTATAGAACGAGGGTACATCTGCGACAAGTCGCTCCGTATCCGAGGCTACGCTGGCGTAGGTGTCGGCGCGCACAATAGGCACAGCGAAATCGCCCGACGGTGAGATGCGCTCAGCCTTTTCGCTAAGCGGGCTGTCCGCGGAGGTGTCGCTGGGAGTTGCCTCCTTCGAATTAGGTCTTGTTCTGTGCCTGCGGAGATGAAGCTTGCCCAACTTGTGTTCGTGTTTCTGCCCAGTAGTATGGGTCTGTGGACCGCTGTCTTTGAGATCATGATTGAGGACATCGTGAACAATGGACTCGTAGACAGGTGTTCTGTTGTACACAAACCATTCCAAGCCAGAAATGTTGACCGAGATCCGAGCATCCGGAATTGCTTTGCTCCTGACACGGCCATCCTCGGGGTCTTCAAAGGGGGTCTCCGACTTATCAGATCCGTCCGTGGGTGAGGTTTTCTTCTCTTTGAACACAGCCTCCTCCTCTTCCCCTTCCAGCCCGGTAAGATCTACCTGTCGTGAGGAAGACTGCCAATATCTCCAGGTGATGTAGCCATTCTGAATCAGGACAGTCTCGTTCTCGGCGTGATAGCGGAGGCCTTTGAAGAAGATCCGCCCAGCCAAAAAGGATAGCTGCAGCGCTTGAATGTCAATCCAGACTCGGTACTTGTGCCAGGTGAAGGCTCTCAGCCCGTAGGAGACAAGGGTAGCGAACAGGCGATTAAAGTAAAAGAGGAAGAAGAGCGTCAAACAAGAGCAAGTACAGAGTTCGATAAACCATGTCCTGATAAAGATTAGCACCAAGCTGGATCATTCCTAGGTGCACCTGTCATGGGAGCTCACCAATTGAAAGAAGTATTCCTCGAGATGGGCACTCCGACCAGGTTATTCAAATCCGACATATTTCACACGACTTCTACCATGCGACGATGCGCTCATGGTTGCCGGTATTTCGAGAGCGATTGCATCGTCTGTTGCATTTGTAGAGGCGCACAGTAAGAGAAGACGGCCGCCAAAAGTACCTCGAGGGCATGCAACGGCCAGCGAAGTCGCGTTGAAATGCGGATGCGGATGTGGATTTTAGATGCAGGATGATGACTGCGGTGATGCAGTGTTTCCCCGCAGAAAACCCGACCAAGCGCATCTGCGGATTCCGTCCATCACTTGCACTTTTTCCTGATCGCGCTGCATGACCTCTCTACTGGGTACGCCCCTACATGCGATCAAGCGACCCATCACGTTACCGAAGAGCGACTTCTGTCATTCCTTTACTTCTAACTGGGGATTCTACGAGTCGACGGAATGTTTGATCTGAATTCCCGGTAACGAGACTGAACTCCTCTCGCAACGCCGCAGGTGCCTCAACAGCATCGCGTGCCATTCATCATGGAAACAATGGCCGCTGGTGGTGGAACGGGCAGCAAGCTCACGAGACTTATCATTATCCTGGCGGGAGTATCGTCGTTGCTTGCTACTCTAATATCGTTGGTGTATGTCGCCATATCCCCAATCTCGTTGAAATGTACAATGCTAATTGGGAGGCCAGATCAATATGGCTCCAATCCAAGAATTACAGGAAGCCTTTGCTGCAACGATATGTCATTCGAATCCTGCTCATGGTGCCCATCTACTCCGCTGCCTCGTGGGCCTCGATCGTGTCCCTAAGAGCTGCCTTCTATCTCGATCCTCTCCGTGACATCTACGAAGCATTCACGATCTATACTTTCCTGCAACTCCTCGTCAACTTCCTTGGCGGCGAGCGATCCCTCATCATCATGATGCATGGACGAGCTCCTGTCTCTCACCCGTGGCCTGTAAGCCTGTGGTGCTCCAAGATGGACATTTCGGATCCGCATACCTTTCTCCTGATCAAAAGAGGCATTCTGCAATACGCGTGGCTCAAACCCATCCTCAGTGTTGCCACCATCATCCTCAAACTCACGGGGACATATCAAGAAGGCTATATCTCCCTGACCTCGGGCTACTTTTGGACGGGCCTCCTATACAATGTCAGTGTGACCTTGAGCTTGTATTTCCTAGCCATGTTCTGGGTCTGTATGCATGAGGATCTCAAGCCATTCCGACCTATGCCAAAGTTCCTATGCATAAAACTCATCATCTTCGCCTCGTATTGGCAAGGATTCTTCCTGTCTATTCTTCAATTCCTCGGGGCCATCCCGAATGACGTTCCAGGCTACACGCCGGACAACCTTGCTGCGGCCATTCAAGACGCCTTGATCTGTTTTGAAATGCCCATCTTCGCAGTTGCGCACTGGTATGCCTTCTCCTGGCATGACTACGCCGATGTCACGATTTCGGCAGCTCGTATGCCAGTCAAATATGCCATGAGAGATGCCTTTGGTCCCAAGGACTTGATTCAGGATACAAAAGAGACATTCAAAGGAAAGGATTACGATTATCGAACGTTTGATTCTGGGGACAATGTCATTGCTCATGAAGAGTCTCACTCCCGGGTTGCCAGGATGATGGACGGCATGAGATATGAACGGGGAGGCAAGGGCAAGTACTGGATTCCAAAGCCTCAGGGGCCAAGCAGTCGGACACCACTGCTCTCAAAGGATGGGTCATCAAGGGCACCGGCGCCAGAATCTCGAGGCAAAGCTCACGACTACCGAGCAACAGAACCAGATATCGAGATAGGTATTGATGCGGAAGACGAGAGATTGTTTACTAATGCGCGAGCTCTGGAATTTGGGGATTGGAACGTAAGTTGTTGATGCCTTCTAAGCCGTGGGTGGTATATCTAACCGCCCTCCTTCTACAGTATCCAGTCATCACCGCACATGAAGCACGACGCGAGGACTGGCTCAGGCGGGATCCAAACTTGCTGACCACCTCTACAAACCGCAACCTCTTTCAGCCGACTCGTGACCGGAAGAGCCGCCGTCAGAGTGAAATCCAGGAGAGCATCCGAAAAGGCAAAAATCGAAGCACGTCGCCCTCCGAAAGCTCCTCGCACCAGGGTGCCATCGAAGCAAAATTGAAGCGCCCCAAGGAGCGTTCCCCTTCAGCTTCTGGCAAATCCGACCGCAGCCAGCTTGTCGATCTCATTGTCGAGGACTCGGAGGCAGAAGAGGCGGAGCGTGTCAGGGCTCGCAAAGAAGGCAGTGACGCTTGGAATCGAAAACCGCAGCGGCATTTTGTGCGCACCTACGGCATCGACGAGGCGGCTCCAGAGGGGCAAACGATACGAGAAGGTTGGGATCCGGCCAATGTGCCCTCGAGGCCGCCACCACCTGAGAGGGCTGTGAGTGATGATGAGAACAATTTTGTTGATAAGCTGGACGAAGAACAACCCTGGGCAGAACGCGGAGAAGGACAATATGCCAGCATGATCGAGGAGGACAATGTGTGGAGCCGGAGTTGACATTTGTAACATCATTTCGTAAGGCAAGAGAGCCCCGTGCGACCTCTGGCACCAGAGGCTTGTTCAGATTCTTGGTATGGTTTTCTACCTGGAGTACCCTTTGTTCTGGTACACGTGAGCAATGAGAGCGTTCAAGCGAGGATGGTTTGTGTCGCCACAGGCATCGGTCAGTTCTGGTCTCCTCAACGGTTGAGGTATATAGCATACTTTGTAGGGACATTGCGAGCATGAGCATGTAGAGCCCATCGGATTAGTCAATGCCCTTAGACCGTCATTGAAGAGTCTTGTTCGTTGCCACAGCTCCAGCATATATCATGGAATAGTCACGCACCATACAGCCTCGATGACTCACCGGCTCGCACGTCGCTTCTTATTTGAGGGCGGCGGGATGTGCAGAGTCATAGCAGCCCCTGTCGGGGTATCTGTAGCTATGGAGTAGGCCAAGTAGGGTTTCTCTCTCAAGACAGTGGCCAGCCCGGAGCAAATATTACTAGCCCGGAGTTAACAGCTCTTACGGCACCAGACGGCGAGTGCGGCCTCATTGGCGGGGTACCGCCTAGTCGCACCACACACTTCACTCGATTAAGCCCCACGTGAGAGCTTGCTTGGCAATTTGCCGCACTCGACTCTCTCATTTCTAACCACCAGGATTTTCTCATTTCAGTCCAACCCCTCCCTCACCCTCTCCTTCTCTTCCCCTTCCAGTCTTTCCTCGTCACCGCGCGGCTCAATCAGCTGCATTTTCCATCCTTCTTCATCTACGCAAGCGCAGGTTCTCGCCAGGCGTTTGGCAGATCGAGCGAGCTCTCGATTCTGCACCAATTCTTTTCAATAGCTCAAGAGAGCGCTTAGTCCGCCGTTCTAAGGCATTTCAACATCAAATACCGTCAAAATGGTCAACGTACGTCTATCTTCTACTGGCTCTCGATCGGCGCCATGGCTAACACTTGGACAGTTCACAATCGAAGAAATCCGCGCTGTAAGTTGCCCCTCTTCCGACAGCATCCCCATTGTGAAATTGGATTTCATTGGGCTCTGCTGCTATGCTCGATATGGACTAATACCCGAAAAAGTTGATGGACAAGCCGGCGAACATTCGCAACATGTCTGTCATTGCTCATGGTGCGTTGTCAACCCACAGTCTTGAGAGTACACAAGCTGACTGAAACCGCAGTCGATCACGGAAAATCCACCTTGACCGATTCTCTCGTCCAACGAGCCGGTATCATTTCTGCAGCAAAGGCAGGCGAAGCGTAGGTTTTGGCCATCGCCATGCATTCAACTGAAAGATAGTAACAATTTGACAGTCGGTTTACGGACACAAGAAAGGATGAGCAGGAGCGTGGTATCACTATCAAATCGACCGCCATCTCCCTTTATGCCCATCTTCCGAACGAAGAAGACTTGAAGGACATTCCCCAGGTAAGAGATGTCCAGCTCGGGTTGATCACTGTGCAGGCGATTAACTCAATCTCAGAAAGTTGATGGTAATGAATTCTTGATCAACTTGATCGACTCACCCGGTCACGTTGACTTTTCGTCCGAGGTCACGGCCGCTCTCCGAGTCACCGACGGTGCCTTGGTGGTCGTCGACACAATCGAAGGAGTCTGCGTCCAGACCGAGACTGTGCTCCGACAGGCTCTTGGTGAGCGTATCAAGCCCGTCGTCATCATCAACAAGGTCGACCGTGCTCTGCTTGAATTGCAACTCCAGAAGGAAGATCTCTACCAGTCCTTCCTCCGTACGATCGAGTCGGTCAACGTCATCATTTCCACCTACCTCGACAAGGCCCTTGGTGATGTCCAAGTCTTCCCCGAGAAAGGCACTGTTGCATTCGGTTCCGGTCTTCATGGTTGGGCATTTACCGTCCGCCAATTCGCCGTCAGGTATGCCAAGAAATTCGGCGTTGACAAGAACAAGATGATGGAACGTCTCTGGGGCGACAACTACTTCAACCCAAAGACCAAGAAATGGACAAAGACCGCTGAGCACGAGGGTAAGAACCTCGAGCGTGCTTTCAACCAGTTCATTCTCGACCCAATCTTCAAAATCTTTGATGCCTTCACGAAGGGAAAGGTTGACCAACTCGTCGAATTGTGCGCCAAGCTTGACATCAAGATCACTAGCGAAGAAAAGGAACTCCCCGGCAAGGGTCTCCTGAAGGCTGCCATGAGGAAATTCTTGCCGGCCGCTGATGCTCTCCTGGAAATGATGGTTATCCACCTGCCATCTCCTGTCACAGCCCAGAAATACCGAGCCGAAACCTTGTATGAGGGTCCGGCTGACGATCCAGCCTGCATCGCCATCCGTGACTGTGATCCCCATGCTGATCTCATGCTCTACGTTTCCAAGATGGTGCCGACTTCTGATAAAGGTCGTTTCTATGCCTTCGGTCGTGTCTTTGCCGGTACCGTCCGATCCGGCATGAAGGTCCGTATCCAAGGTCCCAACTACGTCCCTGGCAAGAAGGAGGATCTGTTCGTCAAGTCCATTCAACGTACCGTTCTGATGATGGGTCGTACCGTTGAGCCTATCGATGATATGCCAGCTGGCAACATCATTGGCCTGGTCGGCATTGATCAATTCTTGCTCAAGTCTGGTACTCTCACCACCTCCGAAACTGCCCACAACCTGAAGGTCATGAAGTTCTCCGTTTCCCCTGTTGTGCGACGATCAGTCGAAGTCAAGAATGCCAACGACTTGCCGAAACTCGTCGAAGGTCTCAAGCGATTGTCCAAGTCCGATCCTTGCGTCTTGACCCAAATCTCGGAGTCTGGTGAGCACATTGTCGCTGGCGCAGGTGAGCTTCACTTGGAAATTTGCCTGAAGGATTTGGAAGAAGACCACGCTGGTGTCCCTCTCAAGATCAGCGACCCAGTCGTCTCTTACCGTGAGACGGTTGGCGGGACCTCCAGCATGACTGCCTTGTCCAAGTCACCCAACAAGCACAACCGTCTCTATGTCATTGCCGAGCCTCTTGGGGAGGAAGTCTCCAAGGACATTGAGAACGGCAAGATTACCCCTCGTGACGATTTCAAGGCTCGTGCCCGTATCCTTGCCGATGAGCATGGCTGGGATGTTACAGATGCTCGTAAGATCTGGGCGTTCGGGCCCGACACCACTGGCGCCAACTTGTTGGTTGATCAGACCAAAGCCGTCCAGTATCTCAACGAAATCAAGGACTCTTTCGTGTCCGGCTTCCAGTGGGCGACTCGTGAAGGTCCCATTGCTGAAGAAGCCATGCGATCAATCCGGTTCAACATCATGGATGTGACTCTTCACGCTGATGCCATTCACCGTGGCGGTGGTCAGATCATCCCTACTGCTCGACGCGTGCTGTATGCCGCCACCCTGCTGGCCGAGCCAGGTCTCCTCGAGCCCGTCTACTTGGTTGAGATTCAAGTCCCGGAGCAAGCCATGGGCGGCATCTACGGTGTCCTCACTCGTAGAAGAGGTCACGTCTTCTCCGAAGAGCAACGTGTGGGAACCCCGCTTTTCACTGTCAAAGCATATCTTCCCGTCTTGGAGTCTTTCGGTTTCAATGCCGATCTGCGCGCCGCCACTGGTGGTCAAGCATTCCCTCAATCCGTCTTCGATCACTGGCAGATCCTTCCTGGTGGTTCGCCTCTTGATTCCACTACCATGGTTGGCAAGGTGGTTATGGAAATGCGTAAGAGAAAGGGTCTCAAGGAGCAAGTTCCCAGCTATGACAACTACTATGGTGAGTTTCCCTTTGCTCTCTCTGGTATATTGGACAACTGCTAACCGTACAAACAGACAAGTTGTAGAGCACGCGGCGTGAAGGCATTAATAGACAAGACCATGACTTTACGAATTGCATACACGAGATTATGGTCCTGCATTGTACGACGACGACCTCCAAAAGCATGTTTCCGCGCAATGAGATGCTTGGAGTGGGAAGGTGGATTCCAAGAAGAAAGAAATCAAGGGGTCGAAATGAATGTATCATGAAAGATGATGGGCCCGTCAATGCTATCTCCCATAGGCAGGGTTTCTCGCTCGATTTCTTTTCCCTGCGATGTGATAGATGAATGTGTAGCCTCTTGCCCGTCGCAGTGATAGAGGATTCCCTGCAGGTAATAGAACACAATCAAATCGTTGATGAAATTGACGGTTCCGTCAGCACCAAAAGGAACCGCAGGGCATTCCCACGTGACCGGATTGGCGGCCATCAAGTTCCCCCTCGAGCCTACAACGTCAATGTATGTCCTCGAGATGGCGGGACAATATTTGAAAACACCTACCATCGGGTACCAATTGGATAAATCAATTGGATAAATCATGTTGATGCGAATGCCGGAAAGTGTCATCTCAACTGGCTACATTCAAGCGGTCGTCGCCGCTGACTTGATTGAAGCACTCCATCAACCACTAAACTGCCGCCCCCAAGGATGGAATGAGTGCCGCCTCTGTTGGGGCACTTGTCTACCTCGCAAGGCGACCCTTCCCTTCTCTTCATGCACAAACTAGAAGAAATGAGTTTGCGGTCTCGATAGGTAGGTGGCCGTGTGCATCGGGGGAAAAAATCAAACTCCCACAGTCGACGGTGGTTTGTTGTTATGCGAAGCAGCTCGTCTTTGTAAGGGACAAACATTCCTTCCAAGTTCCTGCAAACGCAACTTCGAGCGTCTTTGCCTTTGTCCAACCCCATATCGCGGCTTAGTATTGTTCTCCTGCTGACAATAGGCACATTCCTCCGTTTGCTCATCACGCAAGGGAGCACCCTCCCAAGTGACATGAATCCTGACAACCGAAACGAACGGAATGATTATCTCCCATTCCACGGTCCAGGTTATTCACGCTGCCACCTACTTCCTGAATCCTGATATATTTCTGCGGCCCTGAAGCTCGCAGAGGAATATTGACGGTCCAGAGACCTAGAAATAAGGAAGCTCGAGACCACTGAGCAATTACTTGGTAAAATGGGAGACAGACGTGGAAACCCGAAGAGGATCGAGAACTTTGCGAACGTCGTGAACGCCTACACCTCTCAGTACGGCAAGAATGATGACCAGACCACTGTGACAGACGAAGAACGGAAGACGAGACAAGCGGCGGCGGCCGAGATTGCTGATTCGTGAGTACATGGCTTCAGGCGGTAATCAAGTCATTCATTGCTCCCATATCGAGCACGCTCCCGATGGACTACATTCTATATCAAAAAGCCTCTCAAAAGAGAAAGGAAAAAAAGTGGCCAGTGCTGACCATAGAACGGTTTGCCCGCAGATACTACGACTTCGCTTCTGCGGCGTATGAGAATGGCTGGTCCACTCACTTCCACTATACGCCCTTCCCACCGTCATTCCCTCCGTGCGAGAGCACAATTGCCACGGCGCTGTCCTTTTACGAGCACCGCCTCGCCTTCCTCATGAACCTGAAGCCGCACATGAAAGTCCTCGACGTGGGTTGTGGGATCGGCGGTCCCGCGCGGGAAATCGCAAAATTCGTGGGCTGTGAGATCGTGGGCGTGAGTATCAACCAGGGCCAGATTGATCGCGCCATCTACTTGACGAGGATGGAGGGTTTGCAAGATAAATGCACGTTCGTCAGAGGAGATTTTCTCGTAAGTCTCAACCTTCTTCCTGCTTCTCAATTCCCCTGTCTCCCTTTTCGAATCCTGTTTCTATCCCTCTCCAATGTGGACAACATCCCACAAAATCTTCGGAGAGGGGAGACAGAAAGGGAGACAGAGATCAAGGGAGGGAAGATATTGCGTGTACAGAGATGCTGAACCTACACGGCAGAACCTCCCCTTTGCTGCCTCCTCCTTCGACGCCGCCTACGCCATCGAAGCCACTGTGTACTCGCCCTCCCTTTTGCACGTGTATAGCGGGATATCGCGTGTACTCAAGCCGGGGGCCGTGTTCGGCCTCTCTGAATGGGTCATGACGCCGAAATACAACCCCCACGACAGGAGGCATGTGGGCATCCGGAACCGGATCGAGAGAGGGAACGCGCTGACCATGAACACGAGCGATCAGGCCCGGGAGGCGATGAGAGGGGCCGGGTTCGAGATCTTGCACGAAGAGAATTTCGCGGCCCATTTCGACTACACGAAGAGCCTCATGGAGGATCCAGCCGCCGCCGGCGGAGTAGGAAAGAGGGCCCCCCCGGGAAAAGGGAGGAGGGCGCAAGGACAGGAAACCCCGGATCTGGATCGTCACCAAAGCCCCGTCCTCGTACCCTTCAAGTCCTCCCCTTGTGGCTCCAGCTCCGACGACATCGTATCTCTCCGTCCAGCCCCTCCCCCGTCCTCACCTTTCCCCTCCTCCCTCCCGGTGCCACCGTCGACCTACCGACCATGGTTCTGGCCCTTCGTCAGCGCCACGCACCTAGCAACAACCTGGACCGACTATTGGACGGTGTGGAAAATGTCAAAGTGGCCGCGCCGCTGTTGCTACTGGATGGTCTGGGTCGGAGAGCGCGTGGGCCTGTGGGACAAGGGCGCCACGGACGCCATGATGACGCTGGCGTACTGCGTCGACAGTACCACCGAGGCGGGCAGGGAGGGGATTTTCAGCCCGTGTTGGTGGTTCATCGGGCGTAAGGCTGGCGATGGAGACGCCGAGAATATACAACGAGACGGGCAGGACCGAACCAACGTCAACGGAGATCAGAGTGGAAAAGCAGACGAAAACCTGAGCGTCCGATATCCCGATGAGCCGCAGTCAAAAGAAGGAGCCCAGGTGTGCGATGCTGGTCGCAGGATGCATTCACAATAACAATCTACTTCAAAGTCCTGGAATACCCAGGTTACGAGTCATATGCACGTTGCAGAAGCTGAGGCGCCGTTATCTAGTGTTGTATTCGCAGCTATCAAATGTATCGACCATCGCCTCCCTGGGCTCTGCCAATACGACCGAAGTCTGGTCCTCAAATGGCACGACAATGCAGCTCTGTGGGATATTCCATGATATCCTCAATTTCCAGCGAGAGCGATGTCAGAGCAATCCTAGACCCCCATAGCATACGCAAACAAATCCGTAACATTTCATACCAATTTTCCATTGCACAATTCTTCGTCCCACCATTGCCCTTCATAAAGTCTCTGCGCTATGGGTCCAAAAAATGCCGCCCTAATGTTATGGTCCTCACTTCCTTTCCTTGCCAGCAAGGTTTGGAGATCGGCTTGGAAATCGAAGTCGACAAGCGTCCACTGCGGCCTCAAGGCGAGCAGCAAAGCTCGACTTGACACTATTCTGGGCGAATCCGGCCTTGACAAACTTGGCCCATGTGTTGGTCAGGACCAATTCTTTGATGCTGAGCTCAGCCTTGTCGAAAACAGTCTCATCGAAAGCGTCGGGAATGCCAATGTTAGCGGGCAGTCTCTCGCCGAAATTGGTCATCTTTAACTGTTGCAACTGAAGTGATTCACTAGTGTCACGTTTCAGCTCGTCCCTTCCACCTGCTCCTATGACTGTCGACACGACTGACAGTTGGTCTTTGCCCATTTGGCTCTCCAGATCCTCTGAGACCGTGGATGACCAATAGTTTTCAAAAGGGGTAGCGGCGTTGGATGTTGGCTCTGCGCAGACAAGGGCGGCATATTGCTCAAAGACGGCCTCGAGGTCTCTGAGATGAGCTGAAGAGATGTTTATCGGAAACTCCGAATATTTCAAGCTCACGAAGGAAGCATAAATTCCAACAGCTTGTTGAAACTGTCGTCGAACCACGTCCGGGTGTTGGATTCTGGTAGGTCCTTGCTTGCGTAACACCCCGGACCTGGGAGCTGCAGTAAGCCAGTTGGCCTTCCAGTCTCGCACGTGAATTAGAAAGCTGATGTTCTCTCCCGAAAAGTCCTTCAACGCCGAGAACATCAGGAGAGGAGTAGGATTCAACTTCAAAGTGGTCTCGAGGGCGCTCATGGTGTACATCTCTCCTTGGCGTGCGCTTGTTGTGCTCTTGACAGACTGGCGCGTAGAAGTCCGTGATCGAACTGCAGCCGTCCTGGATCCTGCATCAGATGAACCGTCGAATTTCTGCTTTTCCTCCCACTCGGCAATGATTTCGCGTGTTTCAGTCTCAAGTTTTCTGTGCTTGAATATCTGGAAGAAGGGAACAAAGATAACTGAGGCTTGCATGATGACAATAGAGGGAGAAAACCTGAAATGCGTGAGTGACAATCCACGCCAGTAGGACAATAAGAGCTGATCTCACCATAGAGGAGGGACAAAGTACCTGTCCGTAGTCGTTTGTAATGGTGGAGCATATAGTGCAACTAACCACATAGGTGAAGCGGGTAACCTGATATTGTTAATGTAGGAGCGTGGTGAAGGGCCACAGCCAACACGCACCCAGCAACAATGCAGGCGATGGTTTGTGTCCGCCATCCGTGAACGTCATGGATATTGCGAACCCTCCAGAGGAGTATCGGGGCATACATCCAAGACCAGAACATTTGCCAGGCAATAGACGGCCACCTAGACAGTATGAGAGTTTGAAGCTACTATGTTTGAGCATCAAGCTTACCATTCCCATCCACGTCGGCAGCGTGCTCTAATGTTCTCACCATCCGGGCCACCAGACCCGGCATGAAGCTTCGGGGAAACAAGAAAGATGATGAGAGTGAAGACAACCTGAGGCGGTCAGTCGCAGGGCGCTTGATTCAGTGGCGGGTCACCTACTTGGACACTCATGCCAATTCCGATCCATGCCATGGTGTTCTTTGTGGCATTGTATGTCTTGAGTCTCTGCCACCACTTGCGCCACAGAGGAGTCTTCTGGTTTGTAGTCGACTTGGATTCGTTCAGGACATCTCCTTGCGCATATCTTTTCTGCGCCGTTGCAACAGAGAGCAATTGCGAATTAGTCGCTTGGAAGAGGGCAATCCCCAATGGCAAGTAGATGCTCATGATCCAATATTCAGTGGCACAGGGGAAGAATCCATTGAGGACGTAGGCGATCATACACAAAACCCAGTACACATGGAGAGTTGCAACGGCGCTGACTGCCAGAGGAATGTTCCGAATGCGCAGGTACGGGAGGTGTCGGTTGCGAATGAGAAAGATGGCGGCTGGGAGCAAGAGACATGTCCATGCTATGACGAGGCCAATGTAAGTAATCCCGAGTCCGTCAGTGTTGAATCTCAGCGCCATGTCGTAGCCATCCGCGTAGGAGTTTTGCACTTTGGTCGATACATTAAGGGTACCTTGATCAGGACTATTAACAGCGCGAGGCACGGAGCCTGCACATGGCGAAGTAGCTGAAGCCATCCGTACCAGCGGGTAGCGTGTTCAGTAGGGAGATTTGGAATAAGCCAATGTCTTGATGTCGATATGACGGTGCGGTGAGAGATTGGAAGGAGAAGATGGAGATGCTGGACAGATGAGTGAAGTAAGACGAGCGCGTGTCGACGCAGGTCGGCAGTGTGCGTCGTTCAGAGCTGATAGTGTGCGCTCTCAGAGCAGCAGGTGAATTAATGAAGCGGAGGTGATATAAGGCGAAGGTATGTGGCACAAGGTGACGAGGAAATAAGAAGACGGAAGAGGCAGGAGGGAAGGGATTGAGAGGAAGGCACGAGGGAAGTACAAGATGAACACAACTGCACAACAAAAGACAGAAGTGAAGCCGAAGTGAGAATGTCAGATAGGAGAGATGACTTCCTCTCTTTCTTTTTTTTTTCCCCCTCCCGTTAGTTGACACTTGATCGTCACCTCCAGCTCACGAAGCTTTCCTGTGCCTCTCGATCATGGACCATCGTTGCTTTGGGTGCGGCACGCGATGGGTTTTATGTACTGTTTCATGGGCAGTGCACTTGCCTTCAGATGTGTTGCCTCACCCCTCCCAGCAGATTGTTTGTCCCTGCGCACTTTCGGGGCGCAGTTTCGCACGTGGGAGAACATCAGTTCCTCGTCGCCCCCGATCTGGCCTGAACGAGGCCTGTCACCTTCCCTTCTTGCGGAAGATGATGATGGAAGAGGAGGAAGTCGAGTTACATCCCTTTACGAGCCTTGCAGGACGCGGCATCGGGTCGCCTGGGGCCTTGGCCCTTGGCCGCGAAGAAACAAAGACGACGCCGCCAGGTGGAGTTGACGAACCCCAGTCATCTTCCAAACGTCGTTCCATGCTGATTCCCCTGCCGGTTCGTCTGCACAACCTTGTCCAAGATTAAGCGATCGACTGGTGTCGTGCTTCATCTCCTAGCTGATGAACCCGGTCGAACGTCCCTTAATTCTCTACCTGGTCAGCTACTGGATACAAAACACAAGACGCAACCCATCTCACGCCATCTAGCTGATCGCGGATGTTGTCACTCCACTCCCCGTCGCTTGCAAAGCTGAGCCACTCAGTTGCAGAAATAAGCGACACCATAAGCCCCTTGGTTGGGTAACCACTCCACACGGAATAGTTTGGGCAGAGAGCTACAACCTCCTCAAGCGTGCAGTACTTCCGAAGGAGCATCGTGGAAAAATCATTGACAGATGCACCGTGTTTCTCGAAGTAACAGATCATAACTCTGGATGGAAGACTTCCTCGCTTTGCCATGGTTGCACACGCGCAGTTTTACACCGGTTCTTGATGCGGCTGTGTTACTCGGACGGCTTAAAAACATTCTACGAGAGAACACATCAGCCAGGGTGGCGACGAGAAATGAATACAGCGCAATCTTGGTGACACTTCTATTCGGCTGGCTGGCTTCGGCTCACGCACCGAAAAGGAACGCCAAGTTACGTTGGACACCTGCAGTCCCTTTGTGTACAAGCCTTAGTGATATGTAAAGCATCTTCGGAAAAGAGGGCAATTACTGAAACAAAGTCCAGCACACGACCACGGGAGTCAACGCACATCCTTCCAGGTAGCCAACTGCTAAGAGAAGGTAGTATATCGTGGAAAAGGTTATCGGACAAACAGGCGCGTTTCGATGTGTAATGCGCAGAACCGATTGATTGGGGCCTACCATATCATCTCATTCTGGCAATCGTACCTTACGCTGTCGGCAACGTGCAGGATGTAACGGAAGATTGCGAAACAGACACGGGCCAGAATCCACCAACCATACATGGGATCAAAGGGGTTCGTCAGGGTGGCCACCTAAAGAGGACGACGTTGCCATGGAACCACGTCAGATTCACCTTTTTGCCCTGGTACATGTCAGCAATAAACTTGCATGGCTGGTTGGAACATCAATGGCTGTCAAATTTCCTCAGAGATCTTGGTGAAAAGGGTACGATCATGTCAATGTTGATCAGTTACTATCTAGTGCAAAGAGTGTAATCATCGGAAGGAGTCCACCGGTGGGAAGAAGACGTACATACCTTCAAAAGGGGGCTGTCTGTCACATTCTCAGACATTGAGGGGGTCAAAGAAACAAAATCATGCAGAATCCCTAGTTGGAGGACTTCGAGTAAACCGGCGGCAAGGAATGTGGTCGCAGCAGATCAAGCAACAACTGTCGGCACTGTCAGCTTATGTTTCATAAATTTCATAGTCCTCAACGAAAACAAGCTGCAGGTTTCTAAATTCAGGATATGTAAGAATTGAATATCATCTCTTCGGCACTGTTGAGAGGCTCCGGCGAGAGCCTCCAGTGCCAAATTCAATCGCAAATTATAACATCATATGAGAGACGGCTCAGAGTAAACGTAGAAACACTCACAAGGAAACCAAGTTGTGGGCCTCATCTCAGCCTCAGAGAAGCACGAACTCAGGAGCCGATGGACGTCACATACAAGACATGGAGACTAGAGATCGGGAGCATGCCTCAGCAGCACACAGCAGTGAGGAAAAAGAACGTCAAAAACAAAAGACGGGAAGAAAATTCGAGTGGTCTTTCGCGACGCGAAAAAGGGCTCGAGAGGGCTTAGTGCCGAGCTTCGGTCTTGGCGGAAAATGTGTCTTGGCGTGGACGCACTATCTCGAATTTCCCTTGCATGTTGCGAAGGTCTCCCGAATTGACTGTAGAGGCGACAACATTATTCCCCATAACTTTTCGTATGCTTGCCAAATATCCCCTGCTCCCAAAAACACAGCTAATATTTGCGCATAGTCCTCTCTTACCGGCAAGATGTCTAACGTCGATATCAAGCCAGCCGGGTGGAAGTTGGTCGAGGTTGGTCGAGTGGTCACTCTCCGCTCAGGGCCATACGAGGGCAAGCTTGCTACCGTGGTTGAGATAATAGACCCGGGCAGAGTATGTTCTGACTCTTGAGAAGCAAAGGGGAAAAACATCTGCTCACGAAAACTTCCAGATCCTGGTCGACGGCCCCTCCACGAAAGAAGATGCAGTTGTCCCCCGACAGGCTATCGCTACCAGCACCGTCTCCCTCACACCTTGGGTCATCCCCGGCCTACCAAAAGCCGCCGGCACTGGCGCAGTGAAGAAGAAGTGGGAGAGCTTTGAGGTCGACAAGAAGTGGGCAGAGTCATCCTGGGCGAAGAAGAGAGAACAACAAGATAGGAGGAGAACCCTCACCGACTTTGAGCGATTCAAGGTGATGAGACTGAAGAAGCAGGTGAGCCACACTCAAGCGATCTATACGCCGCCCCAAATCGGAGCCTCTTGCTCCGAGGTTCACGGGCGTCTTGTGGGAAGTCAACACTAATGGACAGGATTCTAGGCACGATTTGAAGTTCTGAAGGCACAGGCGAAGGTTCGGGCAGCAGCAAAGGCATAAATTCGGCACGGATACGGCGTCACAATCCAACTCCACAAATTCCAAGATGAACAAAGATATGCGGGCTGCAGCATGTCCGAGGGTAGGCACGACTGTCGGTTCGATTGACGAACACAATCCGCGGCTGTGGCTCTCTTCTCTCCGCCCGCGCGGGAATTTCTGCAGAAGCATGATTCAATAAATTCATGAAATGCGATCAAATATTCAGACCAAATTCTATACAGCCTGGCTGCGTGAGGTGTTGTCCGGCTTTCCACGATATTCAGTCCTGTGGTGGTTCCAGCTCTGTTGGAGCAATAAGTAGGATGTGTCCGATAAGCCCAGACTGCGAGGTCTTTCCACACACACTCATCCGTTGCACTCTTTTTAATCTCGGCTATGACTATTCTTCTTGACTCCATTGTTCGGTCTCACCTCCGACACATTTCGGTCTCTATTTGCCCATGTTTTGGCATCTTCGACACTATCCCCCTTTGCACTCGTAACGTCGTTTGAGCCTGACAAGACTCGTGCTACTTCGGCAAAACCCATACATAAGCTTCAACATCTCACAAGGCAGAAGTCGGAACTTGTTATAGGCGTAAGTGGGAGGCTTTCAGACGATCGTATACTTCTATTACATATCAAACACTCCGAATGTAATATACTCCAGCCTGAATACACCATAGACGACTGCCGTCCCTTTCAACGGTGCGCGGCACGTATACCATAGTAATGCCAAACAGATCCAATCTGTCCCGCGTCAGCGATGTCTCCCGCCACAGCCTTTCTCAACAACCTCCGCACCAGCGAAGATAAAGAAACGCGAACTGACATGGCAGAAGTGTGAATGTGCACATCCCTCTGTAGCTGAGAGAGGCCAGAGGCAACAGGGACAGTAAGAGTTTCGTGAACGATGCTGTTCCACGTTTCTCCAGGGCCGAAGTCCTCCGTTGTATGACTGCTGCATTTCTCTCCCGAAGCGTCCGAACAAACCACGGAATTTGCACATCACCTCTCTGAGAATAGAGGCAAACCCTCAATCAGATAGCTCCCCATCTAGGAGACGCAGAAGGGGTAATTGTAGCATTGAATCGCGGGATCTTTGAATGTATCACGTCTTGCTTCCAGGTGATCGCTCACAGTTTAGGGCATATTCCCGGCCGTGGCTGTGCTCTCTGAGACCGAAGCCCGCACTAGTTCAACAAGACCGTCAGAAACTTACCGGTCCATGCGGCGCCTATTAGCAACCAGGCTCAGTCACACTTTTGGTACACCTACCTTGCTAGGTATTGTTAAGAGAGGTGAGCTCATGCTTGGCCATGACGGTCGGGACCGAGGACTCGTGACAACATGAAGAGGCTCGCAATGCCAAGCCGCATTCGACACAAGACTGGCAATTTACCCGAGGTTCGTCAATTCCACAATTCAATGAACAATCAAACGTCCAAATCACAAAATCTCATTGTTCATCAACCGCTCAGAGAGGCTCAACTGTAAGATCCCTAGCTCTCACTACTTGTCGATCCAATTGATTGGCGCTCGAAGATACCGAAGTTATCTATCGCAAAGAGCGTCAATCCTACCCCACAAACCCCAAGCAAAGCCTTGCTAACATTTGAAACTGCGCAGTACTTTTTCAGCAAGTCCTCTCCTTCTCAACCAATCAAAATGTCGAACCCAAGAATAGAAGAGCTCCCTGATGATGAGCCCGACAAGAAGGCAGCAGCAGAAGATGCCTCCAGCTCGTCTGACTCTGAACCCGAGGCCGCTGCTGAAGGAGAAGCCAATATTCCTGCTGGTTCTGCGGTCGCAGTCCACAGCCGAAACGAGAAAAAGGCGAGAAAGGCAATTGGCAAGCTGGGCTTGAAGCATGTTCCGGGAATTACACGAGTTACGTTGAGGAGACCAAAAGGAGTAAGTTCTCCTCCACACCATGGCAATATAAAATCACGGAATATCTCCTGTGGTCGCGTGGATATTGTGGCAGCTGTAGTAGATTGCTGATTCTCGCGTATAGATCCTCTTCGTCATCTCCAACCCTGATGTCTACCGATCGCCAACCAGCAACACCTGGATGTAAGTTGAAATTGTTAATCTGCGGCGAAATGTCCATTTAACAAGACTGCTAGTATTTTCGGCGAGGCTAAGATTGAAGATCTTAACTCACAATCCCAAGCCGCTGCTGCTCAGCAACTCGCAGCCGCCGAGGCAGCCAATGCAGATCACGCCGGCCACGACCACGGACCGGAGAACGGCAAGGGCAAGGCGGTTGAAGACAAGAAGGCAGAGGATGAAGAAGATGATGAGGAAGAGGTTGACGATAGCGGTCTCGAGGCCAAAGACATTGAACTTGTCATGACCCAAGCATCCGTCTCGAGGAAGAAAGCTGTTAAAGCTCTGAAGGAGAACAACAATGACATAGTCAACTCTATCATGGCGCTGAGTGTATGATCAGGAAAAGGCAAGCCAAAAGTTTCTGGATCTGCATCGTTCTACAGGGGTAGTCAGTCTTCCAAGGGATGGTTTCAGTGGTCCTCAGCAATCCAGGCAGTATTTCGACGCATACAGAGCTTGCATATCGAGCTATGTCTTCAGATGCATCTGAAAGAATGAAACTGACATCGGCCAACTCTTTGTTGTCCATCCTTACGCATTAATAAGTCCCAAAACGGTCTCCCGTAGATGTAAGGTATCAGGGCGATGTCAGGTGCAGCAAGTCAATCACGTGATCAGCTCTGGCATTGAGTTTCGCCGAAGCTCAGGGACCTTCAACTTTGCACCTTCTCATAATCAAGCTCGACGACTCTCTCTCTTCTCCGGCATTTTCACCCTCATACCTCTCAAAATGGCCGCTCAAGTATGTCTCCCAGCTCCTATCAATTCCTCCCCAGCTTTTCCGTGATAAATCAGCCTGCCCGAAAACCATTTGACTAACAGCACCTTTTCACTTCCCACCACAGTCCCGCGCAGCAATGAAGCTCGACTGGAGCAAAGTCGGCACCCAACTCGGTCTCCGCGGCAGCACGGCTACCGCCCTCGCGAACTTCAAGAAGCGAAACGACGACGCCCGCCGCCGAGTGCAGGTGCTGCAAGACCAGCCCTCCACCGTCGACTTCGGACACTACCGCTCCGTCCTGAAAAACACGGCTGTAATCGATGAGATCGAGCAGTACTTCAAAACCTTCCAGCCGAAAACCTACGACGTTAGTAAGCAGATCAAGGCCATCGAGAGCTTCGAACAGGTGGCAATCAAGAATGCAGAGGACACCAAGGGTAAAGTGGAGGTCGAGCTAAGGAGCTTGGAGAAGGCTTTGAACGATATTGAGGGTGCAAGACCGTGGGATGAGACTACCGTTGACGAGGTTGCTGCCGCGGCGCCAGAGATTGACGAGTACACGGCTAGGCTGGTCAAGAAGGGACGGTGGATGCCACCGGGGTACCAGGTACGAATACTGAATCTCTACTTCTCCGCCGCAGAACGACAAATTTTACCCGGAGACTAGACTGCTAACTTTCTGGCTTTACAGGAGAGGTTCCCCAATTTGTCGGTGCTGTAGATGTCGCGCTACAAGGAGAGAAGGCGGGGAGAGAGAGGAGCCCTTGGTTGGGAGCGGCAACCTTTTCCTCGGAATCAATGCTTTTGTGTCCCCATCCGAGAATTTATGTATAGTGGCTTAGATCAAAACATCAACAATTGTTCAACAAGTCAATTCTACCAGATCGGTCGTTCCGTTACCCCCCCCTGTGGTCGCTTGGGAACTGGGATCCATGAAACGGACACCAACTCGCTTACACCGTCGGAAACAGCAGGAATGACAATCTTACAGGCTGCGAGAACCGAGACCAAGAACTCATTCAGGGCCAAAATCAGTTTTGATGCTCCCTCGATCTATTCTGACGCAAATCAATCCTCTACTACCAAAAGAATTAGCAAGTCCACCCAAAAATACTCAGTCATGTGTTGCTAGCTGTCGTAAACCACAGTTCTGTCCCGCCTTTGCGCGGTGAGAGTTTCCTACAACCCGGAATCCTCCTGTTGAAACACGGCGGTCTGGCTGTACGTGTTCCAATCGCTGCACTGCTTGAACCAGTCCTGTCCGATGCCCAACGTCTTGATCTGATCGGGCTCCTCTAGGAACTGGGCACCCAGGCCCAGTCCTACGTGCCAGGCGATGTGGCAATGCATCAACCACGCGCCAGGGTTGTCCGTTATGAACGCGATGACCAGGTAACCCGAGGCGGGGAGCATGGCGACGTCCCTGCGGGGCGGGTTCTTGTAGTTAAGGGTCTGCGAGTTGTTGAAGATGCCCTGCCCGGCGCCCAGGACGTAGAAGTCGTGGCCGTGCAGATGGATCGGGTGCGGGATGGGCGGCGCGATCGTGGGCACGGCCTGGATGACCCAGTATGACCAGGCGTTGGCGTTGGGCAGGGGGATCAGGTTCATGCTGGCCGGGTAGCTGGTGTTGTCCGAGAGCACGTACTGCAAGGTCGGGTCGTCCCAGGGCACTTGGATGGCCGTGAAATTCAGGTTCCACTGGAACAGCGTCTGCTGGGCCTGGTTCTGCACGATGGCGAAGCCGACGTCCAGGCGCGACGAGTGCGGGATCGTGTAGTTGCTGGGCACGTCGAGTTTGACGTACGGGATCAGTTGGCTGTTGGGGTCGTTGCAGTCCGCTCCCGGGGGCGCGTTGGAGCGGGTTGCGTTGGAGGGCAGTGAGGTAGAATTGCCGCCGGCGTAGGAGAAGATGGCCAGGGCGTTGGTGTTGAGGCTGCTGCTGCAGCCGGCCTGGGGCACGACGTGGAACCAGTAGTTTCCGATCGGTTGGTTTGCGTCGATGACCACGTCGTAGCGTTCGCCGATGCCGATGAAGAGCCACTGCGTGGTGAACGGCTTGACGGGCACAAAGTCTGCAGTCATGACGGTCATGTTGTGCCCGTCCAGGCCGACTTTGAAGTTGTCGTTGGTTGAAGTGTTGATCAGGCGAAGACGGTGCTTCTTGCCCTTGGTCAACGTCGTCCGGCTGTATCGACCCGCGGTGCCATTGACGTTCATGTTGGTGCCGTTGATGAGGATATTGTTGCCCGGCGGTGGTCCGCGCGGGAACCCGCCATTCTGGATCAATGGCCCCAGCTCGAATGCACTGCGGTAGTACCAATCGGTGATGGGGTAGGCGCCCAGATCTATATCGTAGTTGGACGTTGCAGGCCCGTTGATGATCATTGTGCCCACGACGCCGTCCGTGTATTGGTCCGAGAAGTGGCTGTGGTACCAGGTCGTCCCAAACTGGGTGCACAGAAAGGTATACGTGCGCGACTGGCCTGGCGCGAGTGGACATTCTGTCACACCGTTGGTGCCGTCCATGTGGTTCGTCTTCCACTGACGTAGACCGTGCCAGTGCATGCTGGTCCCGTTTGTGGTAAGGCTGTTCTTCACCGTGATCTTCAGCGTATCGCCCCAGTTGGCGACGATCGTGGGTCCTGGAAACCTGCCGTTGATGGCGTAGACCGGCCTGGAGAATCCGTCTGGAGCCATAGTGATGTTTTGTACCTCAAGATAGTACTCAACCACCTTGCCAGTGTTGGGCCAGGTGCTGTCATAGTTGGTAGCGATGCTGAAGCCGTTGCCCCAGCATTGGCGCGTAAAAGGTCCGTTCGTGCACTGAGCGTCTGGCGTATTGGTTGTAGTTGCCGAGCCAGCAGCGGTGGAGGACGCTTGCCTCGGCAGAAGGCCATTGTCAATCTGAATTAGTTCAGCAGTGGGAATATAGGCAGCAAAGGCCAGGTGGACAATGAGTGAAACGAGGGACAAGAAGACCAACATAGCGAGCGACTACGACAAGGGCAGAAGGAAACAGTGACGGGGCAGAACGCAGGAAACAGAAACAGCTGGCATACAAGAGATGTCAATATAAAGGTAATAAGATCCTGATATGCAAACAGTTACCTCCTCCCTTGCCATGGCAAAAGGCTCATTTTGGTCGGCATAGTGGATAGTGGTCTGATCGTGATTGGAAACGTGGTACACTGGAGATTTCGCCCGGGTGTCTTGGATTCCTGGCAGCATTTTGGGGCTCGATGTCGCACAAGCAAAGTATTTGACAATCTCTTGAGGCACCGGCCCGATAGTCTCGGTCTCACCTCGTCTAGCATGACCAGATCCGGACGGAAAGGCGTTGTCGACTCCAAGAAAACAACCGACAGTTCTTGGGATCTAATTTCCGCGACATACGAGCTGTACCTGTTGTTTTCAACAAGGCCATGAGAAATCCATTCACTCGGCTGATCGAGTCAACAATACAACAGTCCTGATTGAAATGCTGAGAATAGCGAATCAGTAAACAGTCGATGGTTGGAGGCCACGAGGCGACAAAAGTTGTAATATACTTCACTGCATACCAGAAACGGTCTAGTGCCATTGTCCAACCAATCAGGACTACTGCCCCTTTTTGGCAGCGGAGCCTGGAAGTCATCAAGGACAACATCATTTTCTTCCCCCTCGCTTCATCCGGTCAACTTTGATATCGAACCCACAATTTCAATTGTCTGATGCTCCTTGCAGCGCATTCACCGAATTCATACAATCCTGGTCTCGGTCCCATTCCCAGTCAGCCCCAAGTATTGTATTGCGTGATTCTGTCTTGGCGAGAGCGCTTCTCCATGTTTCTTTTATTGGAAGCCCTACAAGAGTCTTGGGTTACACGACGCGGTCTTGCGGACCACAGCAGAACCAGAAACCCGGATGCCTTACAATGTCTCTATGGCAGTTTCCGGGCTCTTCTCATGATATCCGGCGACCTCGGAACCTCCCGACCCCGAGACAATCACATTGTGAATGAAGCCGAACTTTCTGAAATCAGAGCTTGCGGCGATCCATTCCACCGACTTCTAATTTCGAGTTCGATTTCGTGTCCTGGATGTGACTGATTGTCGATGTCTCAGCTGGATTTTCGCCAAAGCCAGACTTCGTCGATGTCTGCAGGGTTCTCCAGGTCTACTTTCGCTAGGGAGGGGAGACAATTCTGTCTCAGTTCTCAATTTCTTCTGCAAAGGGGAGTGATCCTTGATCTCTGCCGGCAACAATGAGCCGAGCCAGCTCCTCTCTGTGTTCATATAAGCCAAGTGCTGTTCCTTTGCACAAGAATACTTTCATTTTGCGTGTGCGTTTTTTGTCGTCGATATGCGTTTCAACCTGTGCCCTGTTCCCGCCCTTTTGGCTTTGGCAGGTCGGTCCGCTGCTGACTGCTTGTCGTATGGATATGATTTCGTCAACCAAGGAGGACCTTACTGCATCAACACGACTTCTACAGCATATTTCTCGTTTGGAACAGAATTCTTTGGTATGTAAGGAATACGGTAGAAGAGCCAACTTGATTCTGACAATGACAAGGCTGCCAGCCAAGCGACGTCCAAGATGCCGTTACGCCAATTTTGGTCGATCCAAATAGCGACGAGTACTTCTGCTCCGACATCGCCGTCCAGCCAGATGGGGAAGATATGGTATCCACATGGTATTTCATTGTTCTCCATGGGCAAGTCTGCTTCCTGACAGCAACTAGCAACGTCCCCGGGAACGAAGTGACGAAGAACAACATGTTCTCTGGAGACTGGACAATCGTCATCGAAGGCCTGACATTTGCCTGGATGAGATCGTTTTCCATCATTGCGGCACCACCAGTGGTCGTCACAACTACTCCAACTGCCACATTCACAGTCACATCAACCCCTTCTACCACCATCACAACAACAATCACCAACGTCTTTTCGACCACTGCATCCCCTTCCACCGTCACAGTTCCTACCACGACCACGACAAGAACCATAACCACCTCTCCCGCCCAAGTAACGGTATATTCGACGTCGACCATCACACGAACACGTACCAGCAGAGTATTTTCCAAAACCGTCTCGACCACTACTGTCACGACGTCATGCAGAACACAGCCGCCAGCGAAAGATCCTACGTGTACCATTCGGCCTACGAAGGCTACACTTGCTGCAGCCAACGCATCAATCACGATCCTCCCACGAATGCGTCAATTCGAGCGACCTGGCAGGAACGGGAATAGGCGAGCTAATGAACGGAGAGATGACACGCCAATCGATAGTGGCCCAGGTACATTGCAACTCAAATTTGTCTCAGCAACGACCGCGCTGACCGCTTCCGTAGATCAATGTACCACAACTGTCGCCGATACTGCCAATGCTATTTCTTCATACACTACAGTTACAGCCCCGACAAGTACTGAAATTGATACTGAAAACGCAACAACGACAACCACTGTGTAAGTTAAGCGAATGGGAGTCAAGCAACAGTCACTAAGTCTGAGCACCAGCACGCCTCCGCCCGTGACGGCATATTCTGGAAAGGCAAAGACAACAATCACAGTAACAGCACCCACGCCTACCCGCACTCGTACAACTCGTACTTATCAGACAGTTTGGACCACCTCGACAATATGGGCAACGTATGGATTGTGGACTTCGTTTTCTTCTTGGAGCGTCTAGCTAACGACACGCCAGAATCACCTCGACTGTCAAGACATCGCCATCCGGTTGGGTCTGTGCTACATCTGCAGGGCATTGAATGAGAATGACAGCAGGACGGACGGAAGGGTTGTAGGAATATTCAGACTATAAAGGATAAAGGGGGCTGCTGGGGCCGGCAACTATTAACTAACTTTTGTACTTTCCTCTTCTCAGTCAAGTAGTTTATTCGCACTTCCCGCGGTGACCGTGACGGATCCAACTGCTAGATCTCTCTCTCTTTCTTTTTTTGGGATGCTTCAGCCGCTTCTATTGATTTGACATCTTCTCTGATAACTTCCATCAGCCTAAACTAGCGAGGCAGTTGTCGCTGGTGCCAAGTCCCACAGTCGCTGGCATGAGGATCTCAAACTGGCGGTATGCCTCACCCGATTGCCCCATTTCTCGAGCACAAAAGCTACTCTCTCTTCAATCGAGTTGCATGTCGCTGGCAACAACACGAACCCGATATCACTCAGCCGCAGCAGGTCGATGAAGGCTTGGTGTAGCTCAAACCACTCTCTTGTGTCTTGCGGCATCAGCCTCACGCCATCATCAGACAGCCAGCGCGGAACAGGTTCGCAAAGTATGACGACGCCTTGACGCATTGTCTTCCTCAACGCTGCCCAGGCAGACGTCCCAAGCATTTCTTTTGTGACTCGCGGTGGACCGTATAGTTTAGCATAAGCGATTGGGTCAATGCCAGATCGATCGGAGATGATGAATCCTTGACTTTGGAGTTTTTGTTCCTCATCCAGCTGCGCCTCGAGCACACGTTTCTGGAAACCCATCGCTTTCTCTGACCCGGTTCGAATATCGTCTCTGTTCACATCTGCTGCCACCAAGATGCCGCGGGCAAGCTCCTTGATGATAGCAAAGGAAAGGTAAGTTTGTTGTCTTCGTATATGCTGGGAGACAGCTTCAACCAAAGTGGTCTTGCCGGTGCACTGGGCCCCAATGATGTATATCGAAGGCATGTCCGCCATGGACGATCCGGTTTCTCAGATACAGACCAGTTGCGGTCGAAGGAAAATGGGGCTACTCGAACAATCCCACCTTCGGAAGGCCTTGGATGATTTGGCAACCGGGGCCCCTGCAAGCGCATATGCAAGCATCAGGCAGCTGGTGGCTGCATACCATCACGTGCCAGCCTTCTTTTGTCGACCTCAGCTCCCTCAAATTGCTCCTCCATGCTGACGATGTGCCGGATCCTTCATTTCAGTCATGGACAGAAGCAAGTATACGCTACAGAAAAACATCGCTATTTCGGACTCGGAGTGGCGGTACGACATCGCCGACTTGCCAGGATCAGAGAGATGTCGTCAGGCTGGACGCGTCAAAGCAATCCAACTGTTCTGTACACCCTCGGTGCAGGGCATATACCTGCATTGGACTCCCATCTCTTTGAATCGGGCCACTCGAGAACACCGCCTGGAAGATCTTGTGCAGATCAGCGTGTCGGACTTTGGACCGGTCTATGACACCCAAAATGTATCTTTACCAACAGACCACAAACAGGCTGTGGACTATGTTTGTCGTTTTCTCTCCTCTGGCGTTGTGATTAACGATGTGCGGTATTCATTCTATGGACACAGCAACAGTCAACTGAAGTCTCGATCCTGCTACCTCCTAGCCGGCTCAAAGCAGGAAGTAGCCAAAAAGGTTGAGGCTATGGGAGACTTCAGCAAAATCAAGACGGTTGCAAAAAAGGCAAAGCGGATCGGCCTCTTATTCTCGACTGCTGACATTGTACAAGATGTCCCAAACACCAGATGTCGAGATATAGAAGACATTGAAAGAAATGGATTCATTTTCACTGATGGATGTGGCCTCATTTCAGAAGATTTTGTTTGTCTGCTGGCTACCAAGAAGCCCATAATATTTCGGAATCGGCAGTATTATCCCTCAGTGCTCCAGATTCGATATCAAGGCTATAAAGGGGTGGTATGCAGTGAGCCTCGGATGGAGAAGGGTCTCTGGCTCAAATTGCGGAAGTCGATGAAGAAGTTCAGCGGAACAGATGACATGAGCTTCGCCGTCGTAGCATACTCAAAGGTACAGACCTCTTCGGATGCGAAACAACGGGGCACTAACATTCAAAGCCCTACACATACGGATATCTAAATGATGAAATTATGCTCCTGCTCAACTCCCTTGGCATTGACGCGGCCGTCTTCACCAAGAAACAGAAGGAATATTTCGGGTTTCTCGACCAGTCAAGAACAGACCCCGTATGTGCCTTTCGCCTGTTGAGCTCTCTGGGCATGGCCGCCGAGGCTGAGAAGCTCCTGATCGAGGGTATGGAAAAGGTCGAACGGACGATTCGGAAGACGGTTGTCCAAGAATACGGTAGGATGCTAAACAAACACCAAGAACAAAAAACCCGAATTCTAATACCCCGGTCTCGACTATTGTTCGGGGTATGCGATCCTTATGGTTTGCTCAAAGCAGACGAGTGTTTCCTGCGTGTGACACTGGAGGAACTTGGAGCCCCTCTGACCATCACAGGATTTGATGTCCTGGTGTCGAGAAATCCCTGTCTGCATCCCGGGGACCTCCGCAAGCTCAAAGCCGTCAATCGGCCGGAACTCAGCCACCTCACAGATTGTGTGGTCTTCTCCACGAATGGAAAGCGGCCGACAGCCGACCTCATGTCTGGCGGCGACTTGGATGGCGACACATGTGAGTTGAAGCAGTAAGGGTTGGTCTTTGCTGACTTAACGCAGTCTTTGTATGCTGGGACTCTGACCTGATTCCCCAGGCTATCTCAGAGCCAGCTGACTACCCAGGAGTGAAGGAAGCAATTAGATTCTCTCCTATCACCGTGGATGATCTGATCGTATATTTTGCTGGCTACAACAACATGTCCCTTGGACGTGTCAAGAAGGTGTACCTCGGATGGGCGCGAGCTCAGGGACCTCGCTGCAGCCAGTGTCAGGAGCTCAATCGACTATTCTCGCAGTGCGTCGATGGCAACCGTATCAAGATACCTGACCCGCTCCTCGACCCCCCTGACGCTTCACTCAACACAAGGCCATTCATCCTAGACATCCTGCATGAGGCCGCGAAGGAACATTGCAGCTCAGTACAGAAAATAGATACGCCACTCAGCATCGCAGAACGGCAGACATTAGGGCATAATGTTGACACCATGGGCACTGCAGATCGGGACACTCTGGAGTTCATCCTTAGCAACCCGACTCCTTTTTCGGATTTCGAATTGGCTAAGGTGACCTTGAGCTGGTGCCGGAGAAACAAGGTTCCTTTTGAGGAGTTTTGGGCCTATTTCGACGCCTCTCAACTCACTCCCGACGAGCAGGCGTGGATGTTGACCGAACTGCCTCCTTCACCCAAGTATCCGGCGCACTTCAAGAATGGACTCCTCCAGTCAAACGTTCTCTCGCGTGAAGACTTGCAAGCCTTTGGGCTAGACCGGCATTCTCTACATTGGAAATGCGTCTTCGATTCTCGGTCCGATCCACTGCGAAGGCTCATGGCGACGGTCAACCAGACATTCCCGCAGTTCGCGAAGAAGCTCCTTATCCTCCGCTTGGGCGAACGACTGAGCATCGCAGTCTACTTTCCACGGCCGATCGAGAATGAAGATGACGCCATCGTCCACGAGACCGTGAGACTGTTTGCGTTCCCGCATTCCCACAAGGACAGAGCCGCACATCGACGAGGCGTTCCGACCAAAAAGAATTACAGATTCTACTACGACGAAAACACGATGCAACTGTATGAGAATCATCGCAGCAACACCTTTGTTTTCTTTGACAGGTCGCCCAATGACGACAGCACCTACGGAAGCATACAAGGCAGAAGCAACCGGGCTCGGGCTCGCCAGGAGACAATCGACCAAGGGATCAATTGCGACTGGAGGGTAAGTATAGCTCTGGCAAAATTCAGTGCTCAACTTGCTACTCACATTGGGCGGACGCGGAGGGAGCCGGTGACTGAGGCGGTAAGTCACAAAGTTTTGGACCACACATTGAGAGGCCGTGCTGGCTAAAGATCGTAGGAACTCTATGTCATTAGCAACAAAGATGTCAGGGCATTGCGGGATCTGGATCTCTGGCTTGAGAGCGTCGATACTCTCGAGGTGCTCCCTAATTTTCCTGACGAGAAGCCGCCATACAGCCTCCCTACTCTTATTGACATCGACTGGAATCTCTACAGTGACTTTGTGGTCCAGGTGGTGCGGCACAAGAACTACACCCTCATTTTGGAAGCAACGGATCCTCAACTCGTAGACCTGCTCAAGCTGGGCTGGAAGAATGACCTTGTTGACCTCGTGTCAGAGATTTATGGCCGAATGCTGATGAACCCTGAAACAACGGTCCGAGCAACCACACTGCGGTGCGCCCCTGAGGCCATTCGACGCCTCGTCGAATTTCTCTACTTCAAGCCTGCGATGGCAATACACTTCGCACGCCTGTGTCCATGGTCTTCGCTGCCGGCTCCCTATTCGAATGCACTCCGGCAGGAGGGATTGGCTATTCTGCGTGCTCTTGTACTTTGCGCAAACAGGGTGGGAGAGCTGGTGGTGGGGCACATGTGCGCCATTCTTAAAGAAGACATCTCTCTGACTCTATCTGCGGTTCGCGAACTATTAGAACTTGCCTCTATAGCAATTGCAAGTCCGGATTTACTACTGACGGTCCTGATGGAATGCAGAGACGCATTTGCCAATGCTATTCCAGACCTTGATCAGCATGTTGTTGCATATTTCTTGCGGAATATGTTCGGGGCGGTGGTCGATCATTGCGCTGAGGCTAGTGACAATGATGAAGCTACACCCGGGTCATGGACGTTGAAGCCAGGGGCAGCAAGCGGCGAAAGAGTCTCATTTGTGACTAGCCAGCGGCGCATTGATGCTCCCAGGCTGGCCAGGCTCGCAGTCGGCGACCACGTGCGATTCGTTGCAAGGACCGCAGCGACAAATTCTTCTGCTGCCCGACCTACAACCTTCGACGTCTTGGTGGAAACAGCAAATGACAACGGGGTCAAATTTCGATGCCTCTCACAGCCTCCCACATTCCTCGAGAAGACTACTTGGACAATGAGACACTGTGGTCCAATCGTGAACACTCAGTCAGCAGGGGAGGCATTAGTGCGTCTTCTTGTCGAGAAAGATCAATCCTGCAGCTTCTATCATACTCTCCTGAGCACCAAAAATGCAGCCACGGGAGGCAGCAGAGCAGGTGAGACTGCCTCGAAGCAGAGTCTCGATCTAATCGAGGGACTGAATGAAAGTCAGAGTCGAGCTGTCGGTGTGTCTATTGATTCTCCGTTAACTTGTCTCTGGGGACCACCTGGTACCGGGAAGACCTCGACTATAATTGGATTGTTGCAAAAGTTGCTGAAGGAAGAAAAGGCCGGGAGGATATTGGTCGCAGCTCCGACGCACAATGCTGTGGACAATGTTTTGCGGCAGTACATGAGGAAAGCGCTGGACATTGACCCCAGTCTGCCACAGCCGATCCGGGTCTCTACCGAGGTAGGTGATTTTGCACGCTCATGAAGACACTTCTCTAACAAGTCTCTGTCTAGATGACGAAGGTTTCTGAAGATTTGAAAACTTACACCATTGATGCGATGTTGGGAAAAGATTTGAACCAGTATCCAGCTGCAAGACGCAAGGCCATCGAGCGGGTTTCCAAGGCTAGGTTGGTGTTTACAACTTGTGTTGGTGCAGCGTTGGGACTGCTTCGGAAACAAAGCTTCGACACAGTCGTCATTGATGAAGCCTCTCAACAAACGGAGTCGGCATCTCTTGTACCTTTAGTCAAAGGTTGTCAGCGAGGCATACTCGTAGGAGACCATGTTCAACTTCGGGCAACCATCAGTCCCCATGCGTGCACATTGGACTTTGATGTGTCGCTCATGGAACGCCTCTGGGTTGAAGCATCGGACAACGACATAGGAAGAGTCATGCTGGATACTCAATATCGCATGCATCCGAGCCTGTGTACCTTTCCGAGTCACGAATTCTATGGGAGCCGCTTGCTGTCAGCCGACATTTGCCACACGATAAATATCCCTGTCTCCAGTTTTCCGTGGCCGAAACGAGCAGTTAACGCCCAAAACTCAGCGAGCGCTTCCGATAGAGCGGTGTTTGTTCAGTGCAGCGATGCAGAGGACCTCGGCAGGAAATCCAAGGTCAATCAAATCCAGGCTAAGATCTGCAAAGAGATACTGAGGCTGCTGACGACGGCGCCGGAAAGCGATCAAAAATGTGCAGGCATGGGATCTAGCTCGCCACCACCCTCTATAGCAATCTTGACGCCATACGCGCGCCAGGCAGAACTGCTCAGACAGTATTGTGGGGGACACGCCGTCTCGAGCATTGACGGATTCCAAGGCCAGGAAGCGGATGTTATCATCTTCATTACCGTGCGATGCAACTTACAAGGGGAGATAGGGTTTCTGAAAGATATGCGGAGGCTGAACGTTGCGCTGACTAGAGCCAAAGCCGGGCTGATCATTGTGGGAGATCGGTCGACGTTGACCAGGAAGAAGGGGCAGGAGGAGGCATGTCGAGTATGGGATCGCCTTATTGAGACGTGTTCGAGGGTGCAGCTTCCTGGTGGAGGAGGGAGAGGCGTAGCAACCTAACGATCATGTTTGCCCATGCATCTGGGGCGTGAGCGTGGAGGAAAGGCTGGGCAAGGCTGGGTTGTTCCGGTGGCAGCTGCCAAGGCTGTCCAATGAAACCGCGTACGGAGAGTTGCTGACCAATAGGAGGAATTGATGTCTTAGTCGGACAGATTATTCCTCCGAGCCAAGCTGGAGTCGTTCCGCTTCTCTCTTCCTTCTCTAAGATCCACCGACCTTGTAGGCAGCGCGAGACTTCAACCTTGTCCTGTAACCCTCCGCCGGGCTACGTTGTGAGCAACCTTGACTCTACCTGAGCCTCCTCAGGCTGCGCATCATGAATCGCACCGTCGCTGGAATTATGGCTGTCCAAGGCAGTGCTGCTCTGAAAATCAACAACACGAATTCCGTGTATAAAGACTATGGATGACCCTCCGCTGTTGTGCTAATCATCCAGAACAAACAACAGCAACAGTAACAATAGCAGCAAGAGCGGCAGCAGCAAAATCCCGCTCGAACAAAAGCACCAGCGACCAAGACATCTCCAAGAAACAATCTTACCACACATTCAGCAATGTCTTCCCCGACCGTCGCATTCTTTGGCGCTACCGGCGGCGTCACCAACGCCATCCTGGTCCACACCCTCAGGGCGGGCTACAAAGCAACCGCTCTCGTGCGCACGCCTCAGAAGCTGCGCGACCAGCTCAGCGCTCAAGGCCTCTCCGCGGAGACCATCAGCAACCTGACCATTATGCAAGGCAACGCCCTCGACGTCGAAGCTGTTAAGCGCGCGCTCTGCGCGTCTTCGCCGACGGGCCTCCCCTCGGTCGTGGTCACTGGGCTGGGCGGCAGCCCAAAGCTCCAATTTGACTGGCGCCACCCCTTCCAGATCGCGCAGCTCGACAACCCCTCGATTTGCGAGACGGCCGCGCAGACCCTGCTGGCCGCCATGCGCGACATCTACGCCGAAAACCCCGCCCTCAAGGACAACAAGACGCCGCTCTTGGCCTTCATTTCCACGACCGGCATCACGCGCGGACCCGAAGACGTGCCCCGCGCCATCCGCTTCCTGTACCACCAGATGCTCACGCTCCCGCACGTCGACAAGCGCAAGATGGAGGACCTGTTCCGCGGCGACGCCGCGTCCGCCGACCCGGCGTTCCGCGCCATTGTCGGCATCAGACCGACCTTGCTCACCGGCGGGGCCGACTACAAGGACGCCGTGGGGCTGGACAAGGTCCGGAGCGGCACCGAGGCGAAGCCCGCGGTCGGGTATACCATCAAGAGGGCGGACGTCGGCGGTTGGGTGTATGAGAATGTGGTCCGTGAGGCGGTGCAGGGGGGAAGGGGCAAGTGGGAAGGTGAGATGGTCAGTCTGACCAGCTAGCTGGCATAGTTAATACAAAGCTACAGAAGTCAAGCTAGATTGGGGGCAGGTGATGAGATGGAACGGGATGGGATTGGCGACTGCGCACGGGAGGGGACGATCAGGAGTTCTCTCAGATATATCTATCTAGATTACAGCTAATTCACTACACCGGTTGTTTCAAGAACTGAGCATTGGTTTATTTACATCATCATCATCATTCGTTCTCTATGATCGGCAGCGCCATGAGGAGCGCATCGGGTATCGTAGTAGTACTAATAGTACAGAGAGGTAGGTATTATGCAGGTTGGGAACAAGGTGAGTAGCCGCTCTTTCTCCTGGTCTGTCCAAGCCACCTTTTCTGTTTTCGAAAAGGAAAAAAAAAAGGAAATGGGGTAGTAGTGTTGAATTCAATGAAAAGCCCCTCCTCGTCCGCCAGTGTCTCCCTCATCTGATCAATTTTGGGTTCTGGACCCTCTCTCCTTTCTCTTCCACAGTTCGAGAGAGCCCCTTGATCAGATAGTACTCGTTGTATGGTGGGTGCGCATCGTCCTACGGTGTCTTCGGTGGTAACGGTTGCAGGTGAGGCAGGAGATGACAATGTCAAAGAGCGAGACGATGCCGTTGATGATGGCGGTGAAGATGGCGCCTATGCCGTTGACGATGGCCATCAGCACGGAGCCGATGGTGCGGCAGATTGATTCAAACTGTTGGTCGCGTCGTTAGTATGTGATTAGGATGGTGAGCACTGGGTAACATGGGGAAGACGTACGCAGGAGACGACTGCACCCATTGCGGCAGTGTGTATGTGTGTGTGTGTGTGTGTGTTTGATGAGATGAGGTATTGGTATGTTTGGGTTGTGATTTGTCTGTTTTGTTCTTGGGATTGAGGATAAGTTGGCGAGTAGGATGAAGGTAGATTTTTGTATGTCTTTAGAAACAAGGGGATCAAGGTGTCTGGAATGTTCACAGAGGGAGGAGCAGGAGCAGGAGCAGGAGCAGGAGCAGGAGCAGGAGCAGGAGCAGGAGCAGGAGCAGGAGCAGGAGCAGGAGCAGGTGGGGGATGACAGAAGCCGCCTTTGTACTTGTATCACTTCACTCTTGCCCGGCACGAAATAACATCACTTTTTAGCCTAGCGCTCAAACATTCTCTCGCAGGAAGTTGTCTTCCGGCCAATACGAGCTGAGTGGGAGATACGACGTCATGAGGCCATGACGTCGAGGGAGGGAGGAGGGAGGGTGGGAAAATCTCATCTCGAATCACATTAACGCGTAGATTTCGCACCGTTCGTTGTCCGCTGCCAGCCACTTCAAAGACGATGCCCATCGTACGGGGTTGCCCGTTACACTAGGGCTGGGATGGGAAACAGCCATTATAGCATTATGCCATGGTGGGAATCAAAGCGGAAATGATGTGTCTAGCGAAGCCTGTCAGATGCCAGTTGACGTCCGATTTGGAGCACAAAAACAAGGCAGATGCTGGCAAGGCGGAGACACAGAAAGACCTTCAGAGAAAGAAAGCGTGGGGGCATCGACGTCATTTGCAGATCCGTGCTGATGATCCTGGGCGCCCAGCGGCTGCGTGACTGGCTGATCGGAGATGTTTTTGTGGCGGCTGTGGCGCTTATGGCGGTTGTGGCGTCGCCGCATCTTCGATTTCTTGGCTGAATTGTGGCGTCGGTGGCGGTGCATGCAGGAACAAACCCAGGGCGAGCCAAGGGTCCGGTGTGCGAGAAGCGGATGGAGAAAGATAGCTGTGATGCTGTTCGACGACATCTCCAGGTGCTGCGATGGGCACCTGGCAATTTCCGGCATCTTGTTTCTACTCCTCATCGGTGCGCTGACTGCAATCTCTACACATGTATTCTTCACCGTAGGAGAAAGCGCCGTCCGTTTCACAGTCCCTATTCCCCCACAACTGCAGAGCGAATATCGCTGGAGTCGCGAACATGAAGACAAAGGCGACGAACCACCGGACGAGGCAAGACCCTGTCCTATCATCTGCACTGTCTGATGTTGACTCTTGGCACAGGTCTACCATGGCCGAATATACCCTCGATGCCCAGCCGACGGTCGCCGTCTTGGACCCCCTGTGACTCCAGCCAACGCGTCGGCGATTGACTCTGCCATCTCAGCTGCAGCGCAAGCTCAAGTCGAATGGTCGCAGACTTCTTTTGCAGAACGGCGTCGAGTCCTCCGCACGCTGCTTCGATATGTTCTCGACCACCAGGAACAAATTGTGGCCGCGTGCTGCCTCGACTCGGGGAAGACCAAAATCGATGCTTGCTTTGGCGAAATCCTTGTCACGGTCGAGAAACTACAATGGACCATCAAACATGGGGCAAGAGCTCTCTATAGATCGAGGCGACCGACCAACCTCCTTATGTGCTACAAATCCAATACCGTCATCTATGAACCTCTTGGCGTGGTAGCAGCTTGTGTGAGCTGGAATTATCCCTTCCACAACTTCATCTCACCCGTCATTTCCGCCTTGTTTGCAGGCAATGCAATCGTGGTGAAGCCGAGCGAGCAGACATGCTGGAGTACCTTCTATTTCATCGACATCATCCGTGGAGCACTTCGAGCCTGCAATCACAGTTCTGACCTCGTCCAGAATGTCGTCTGTCTACCAGAGGCTGCAGACTATCTCACCAGCCACCCAGGTCTCAACCACATCACTTTCATTGGCAGCAGAGAAATCGCGCACAAGGTGTGCACATCAGCTGCGAAATCGTTGACTCCGGTAACGGTGGAGTTGGGTGGGAAAGACCCTGCCATCGTACTTGACGACCCAACAACCATCAGGACCATTGACGACGTGGCCTCGATCCTCATGCGTGGAGTCTTCCAATCTGCCGGTCAGAACTGCATCGGCACCGAGCGCGTCATCGCATTGCCTGCGATCCATGACAGGTTGCTGGCCAAGGTCCTTCCAAAAATCACATCGCTTCGTCTCGGCTCTGTTCTTCACTCCTCTCCCAACAACCCACCCGACATGGGCGCCATGATCTCCTCACGCAGTTTCTCCCGCCTCGAGAACTTGATTTCCTCTGCCGTCGCCCAGGGCGCAACCCTCCACTGTGGAGGCAGACGACACAGTCACCCTGAGTATCCCCACGGAATCTACTTCGCACCCACACTGCTTAGCAACGTGACTCCTGAAATGGAAATCGCGCAGGCTGAGCTCTTCGCGCCTGTCTTCTTGCTCATGAAAGCAGGAGATGTGGAGAGTGCAATTCGCATCGCGAACTCGACAAATTATGCCCTGGGCGCGAGTGTCTTTGGACACAACCGGTGCGACGTGCAAAAGTGCGTAAAGGAGATCAAGGCGGGAATGGTCGCGGTCAACGACTTTGGAGCCTACTACGCGTGCTCTTTGCCCTTTGGCGGCGTAAAAGGTTCCGGCTACGGACGCTTCGGCGGCGACGAAGGGCTGAGGGCTCTGAGCAACGTCAAGGCCATCTGCGAAGATAGTCCGTGGGCAAGGGCACTGGGCATCCAGACGAGAATCCCGCCCAAACTGCAGTATCCCGTGTCCAGCCACGGGTGGGAGGTCTGTAAGGCTGTGGTGGGCACGGGATATGCCTACACCCTGGGCCTGTCAGAGTGGGTTGGGTGTGTGGTCAGGCTCCTAACGGCCTTGATGAAGAACGCAGACCAGGGACGGTGACACGTGGCACGAAGTCAGAAGGCCAGAAAGAGCAAAGAAGAACGGGGGAAAGAAGAAGCCGTGCCGGAAGATGATACGGGTCGTCTCACTGTCCAATATACTACCAAGCAAGTCAAGTACTCTATGGACCCGAACAGGGTGGAGCCGTCGATTCTATTCGGTCAACCTGGTTCTATGATACATCATGCCAGAATCGTCGTAATAATTAGGTGGAAGCAACCTAATCCAATCCAACCCAACCCACCGATGCCCACCCCAACCTAGCTCTAGCCGCGCGAACCTACCGTAGGATCATGGTTCTTTTCTATTCAATGACGGCGATCTGTATCGCCACTATGACCACGATATTCCCAACATGATAGCCGCCCCCACGAACATGGCACCGAACTGGAGTGCCGTCTTTCTCAGCTCGTCCCATTTATTCGGGCCCGTCTCCAGCAGCTCCGGGATCACCGCCACGGTGCCGACGTACAGGAACGTGCCTGCTGTAAAGGGCAGGAGCATGTCTCCCCACGAGAGACTCGTGCCCCAGATGCCTCCTCCTCCCGCCAATGCGTCCTCGGCTGCGCTTTTCGACCCGCCGCCGCCGCCGTACTCTTGCACGAAGATGCCGATCAGCGTGCCCAGAAAGGCGCCCACGGCCGTGACGAACTGGGCGCCCATGGCTTTGCGCTTCGAAAACCCGGACTGGATCAGCAACGCAAAGTCGCCGACCTCGTGCGGAATCTCGTGGAAGAAGACGGCCATGGTCGTCGTTGCGCCGAGAGCGGGGCTGGCGTAGAACGACGACGAGAGCGCCAGGCCGTCGGTGATGTTATGTGTGAAGTCAGCGATTAGGTTGAGGAGGCCGGCGAGTTTAACTGACGGGTTTGGAGGTGCGGGCGGTGTGGAGGCCGAGGAGGGAGACAAGGATTTGGTGTCTTTCTGAGCCTTGCGTTGTCTCATGTCCCCATCTGCTGCTTTCCCCTTTTTTGAGGAGGTGGCTGTTGCGGAGCCGTTGGTAGCAGTTTCGTGCTTCTCCTCGTGCGCATGTGAGTGGGAGTGGGAGTGGGAGTGGGCGCCGCCGTCACCTCCGGTAGCAATACGCAAGGCTTTATCCATGACCATGAAGGTGACCAGCCCAACAATGATGCCCACGCCCAGGAGCAGATTTCGGTTCGGTTCGACCATGACGAACTTGACTTTATCGTGCTCATCTTCACCCAGGAAAATCTCGGGGAGCAAGTGGAAGAGCGTATCTCCCAGGAGGCCTCCGACAGCGAAGGCGACCATGATGCTTAGCGACGAAGGGTCGATGTTGGGAGGACATAGTGCGAGGAGGAAATTTGGAGGGCCCGAGATGTAGGCTGTTGCGAGGAGGGCGTTGATTGCTGGGGAGGAAGAGGGGAAGAGGGCGGCGAAAAGTTGGGTCGTCAATGAAGCTTGCGCCGGGTTATTCTTGGCTTTTGCCTCTGAGAGGGATTGTACAAAGGCGCATTGCTGTCGCCCAAAGCCTCAGCGCTGGTTTATGGTGTTGGAAGGTTGGTCTTGCATACCTGGACGTTCTCCTCGATTTCCTCCCTCGTCAGCAGGCCGCTGTCCTTGCCCTGGACAGCCTCTACGCACACTGAGATCACCAGACCTAGGAAGAGTGCATAAACAGAGTATGTGACCATGCTTGAAAGTCTGAAACGTGGGGAAGCCATCGTCGCTTGTCTTCAGACCGAGGGTCAAACGGCACGCGACTGCGCAAGCATTGAAGAGGCACCAAAAGGACTCTTGCGAAGTGCTAAGAATTCAGGGGCGCGTTGGCGTTATCGATAGCGGGAAATCATCGGCTAAATACACATTTTTGGCCTGCTTTGAAACTGCGGATTTTCTGCTCAATGGTGGAAATCATTTGGCAAAAGAAATAGCCTCCGACGAACACCCGTTCTATTGTTCGACAGAAGCACTGAGACATTCCTACAAATATGGGTCGCGAAAGACAGAAAAAGAAGAACAGGTCTTCCATTCCGAAAGCCAGGCCGAAAGACAACAGGACAAAGGCTGGCAAGAAGAGAATCAATTTTCTCGGCAACGAGACAATTGCGAAGAATTGGTACGAGTTGCAGTCGTATAGGCGCTCTTGAATGCCGACAACTAATGTCTTACGCAGGGATCGAAAGCTTACGCTATCGCAAAACTATAAGCGACTAGGGCTGTCCTCCAGATTGAATGCTGCGACAGGCGGGACAGAAAAGAAGGCGAGCAAGGACAAAACAGACACACAATGCATTAAGAGGGATCCCTTTGCCATTCCCGGGCCACAAGCTGCCAACTTAACACCCCAAGAAGTCCAAGTCGAACGAGACCCGGAAACAGGTCGTATCGTCAGGGTCATCAGACCAGAGAACGGCGGGGCGAATGACAATCCACTGAATGACCCCCTGAACGACATTATGGATGTTGAAAGGGAACAGCCGACGAGGCAGCCAGCAAATGGCATCGTGGCAGAGCTAGAAGCGCAGGTTGCAGAAGAGGAAGAACTGTTGGCAAAGAAGAAACGACCACGACAGCAGAGCCAGCGGGAAGAAGAATGGATCGCCAAATTGGTGGAAAAACATGGCGACGACATTAAAGCCATGGTAAGAGACCGGAAACTCAATCCAATGCAACAAACAGAAGGCGATATTGCTCGGAGGGTGAAGAAGTGGAAGGGCAAATACGGCGAAATCACGACATGAGTCAATGATGCGACAGATCGTCACGAAAGACAGCTGGTCTCCGAACCCATTCCACGGTGTATCGCGCAGGACAGATACCAAATTACAGCAAGATACACGAAGAAACATGGCAGTGCATTGGCTAGGCCCTGTAAATGGACTGGGCTGCGGTGGTACACGTCCAACGTACAAAAGGACACCCGACAAGCAGCCTTTTGGCTGAGAAGTTTACCGGAACTCTGTTATGGCCCGTGAGAGCCCCAACCAGGAGCTACTAAGCTGTACCTGGATGAGGACTATCCAATCAACAAGGCTTTGATTACCGAGCCGTCAGACCTTTGCAATGCGACACGGTGTCTTGGTCGGGGGATTTCTAAACTGAATGCTCGACGAGAGCTGGGAACAGGCGAGCCGAATGGAGAAAGGGGCAGCAAACGGATGTCGATGCCACGACTGCAATGAAGACCATGAGAGTTGAGGGAATCATTCTCCCACCTGCCTTAGTTGGCCATTCTTGAACAAGATGCTGAGTAGAGGCGGGAGGGATCATAGGGAGAGATTACGTAGGACGGAGCTGCCATGGACGGAGCAAATGGACTGAAGTCGCCGGTCGCCGTTCTCTCTCTTTGTGATCAGGCAGCGGGAAGCAGGCGATGCCCAGAGTTTTGGGGCGGAGAAATGCAGAGACACGATTGGCCATGGCGCCGGCGGACCAAGCGGCTTCTTCTGAATCGCCTCGTGCGCGTTTCAAGCATCCTCAGTTCGCATACTACCATCTATTATACAGTTCAGTAGTACCATCACCACCGGTCATGGATCCTCTCGTTTCCACTCCCTTCGTTCCCGTGCGCCCCTCCCCCCGGGCTGTCCAGACGACACTCGGCTCAGGTGCACAAATACCCTCCCCAATATCAATCCAATGTCCCCTTCCTGGTCTTTGTCCTTCCGCCTGGGACGCGTCCAAAATGTCACAAGACGACGAGCATTATCCATACCGTCATCAAAGAATACGTCGTGACAAAGAACATCCGTATTCCGAGCTAGATTTTCTGCCGGACTCATAGTCATCCCACCCAGCAAAAGGTCCTCATTTCACTTGGCGAAGGCCTGCCGGACCGGAGCAGCATTGCCATCATGATGTTGGCTATATCATCTTCTCCCAGGTCTGTTCGGTCAAACCAGCAGTGCGCCATGAACGTGGTTTCAAAATCCATGCCAATAAAGAGCCCTCTCACCATCTCACCAACCTCCAAAATGAACAGTCCTTGTGCCACTCCTTCCACAACAACAGCTCCACTTATCCCAGACAAGATATTGCCAAACTTGTACCTGTCAGAGTGAGTCAAACTTGTCCCATGCGCTCATCTCGTCCTGCACGCAGGGTTGGGCTGACGCTTACTGGACAGCATTCACACTGCCGCCGCAGTTCTAAGCCCCAACTACAACACACCGAATCGGCCAAGGATCAGATATGTTCTCTCTGTCATTGACAATCCAGATAAGCAGCCCAAAGTGCCTCCAGGACGTGAAGCAGAATTCGTCCTCAAAATGATCAGCCTCCGTGACCACGCCAACTTCGACCTGCTCAGGATCCTGGAGGAGGCCTGTGCGTTCATCAAATCAAGTCTTCAGAGTAACGATGGTGGAGTCCTTGTCCATTGCCAGAAAGGGGTGTCACGGTCCGCCGCAGTTGTAATTGGCTTTATCATGGAAGAGATGGACCTTGATTACGACACCGCGTTCCGCTATGTTCGTGGTGGCCGGTCAAAGGCCAAACCGAATTCGGGGTTCCAGAAGCAGTTGGAGTTATGGGGTCAATTGCATTACAGTATTTACGATGCTGACGGCAAAGAGAAGCAAGAGTACGCTTCCTGGAAGACTGATAATGAAAAACAGATCAAGAAACTGGGCTCACGATGGACTGGTTAAGGCCTCCGAAAAATGGAGTTCTCAGCGGCTTCAAGAGAAATTGCACTGCTTCGATTGAGCACAGCTCCAGAGCTTACGGACGTGCAGCATCAAGCTTCTCTGTCCTAGCAATTGTCTATCCGTTCTATCTGTGGATTCAGCGGGACACTGGGTCGCTTTCAGCATGCGCATGAAGCGTTGCTGGCGGGTTATTGGTCATGGTGTTGGGATTGCACATATCGAACACAGGACACTGGATGGATGTCAATAGAGCTGACTTGGGTGGTCGCACCACTTCTGGAGTATGCATAACAGGAATCGGAAGGTGGTTGGGCCGCAATTTGGAGTTGCGCATCAGTACAGAGGTGAGCTAAATGCAGTACATATGCTGACAGAATAACCCCTTGAACAGCAGCCGTGCCTCCTTTCTCTTCCATGCTCTGCTCGATTCCCAGACTGTCTGGAGAGCAAGACATCTTCCGTCCAGCTGTCTGCTTGGAGCGGATGATTTTCTTGGCCTGGGCATCTGGGCATCTGGGCATCTGGAGAGTTGTGGCGGAGCGGAAGTCTTTGCATGTTCCGATCCCCATCGATCCCCCTCCCTCCGACACCCAATGGGCGCCCACGCCACAAATAAGCTTATTTTCCGACTCCATACCGACTCCCGATGGCTGCGATACTCCTCCAGCTCACTTTCTCAGTTCACTTTCACCTCTTTCACTGTGTTCTTTCTTGTTGGAATTCCTTTTGCAGCCTCCGACACTCTGAGACATCTTTCCCGTCGCCGGGCTGTCATCAACTCGCGCACAATTGGCTTCCCACATTGTGTCCGATTTGAGACCGTACAGTATCGTCCAGACGTCAGTTCACCTTTACTCCGTCGTGGGAAAGTAAGGTCCCACGATTCCTTCTTCTCGTTACTTATCCGTTCACTCTTTCGTTACCTTGTTGCATTGAGAAGGCCGTCCTGCTATTTAACCGCCTCACCTTTTTGAACTCCTGCAGGCTTCCTCCTCTTCAACTTCGCTTTCGTCCTTGTGGTGTTTCCTCAGGTGATAGTTTGAACAGGAAAGGTGCGTTTCTTCTCTCCCAAGTTGCAATGGGAACATGCATTTCCTTTGACGCTTCTCAGTCTCCTTCAGCATTTCCACGCGGAGGACACCAACAGTTGTGGAACGTCTTGCTAACATAGGCAAATGCAGGACGCCGATTGAACCTTTGCGAAGGACCTTCTCTCCCAGCATTCTTCTTTGTGAGTCTGATATCCTGGCAACATCACACCTTGGGAGTTGCATTTGGTTGTTTGTTCGTCGCAATAATGCAGGTCACTATGTTTGTTGCCGAAGACAAACAGTAATCAAGATTCCTCAGTTTGCTGCTTAATACAGCCCCCGGTAATCTGGAGAGCACACCCTGATTTAATCTGCTTACTCCCATGAGTATGTTGGTTGTCTGATACACTGACATCCACCTATATATACAGACATCAAATATCACAAGCTGGAAATAAGAGGTCCAAGATACCTGGACTCTGCGGACTGCTGAGACCGTCCAAGATCTTCTGCCGTCGACACCGACCAGTCTTGTTGTAAGTCTATCCTCTCTTGTACATCATTTTCTTGTCAAAATTCACTCATCTCATCCTCTCTCCATCTCTTTCTCTCTCACATGGCCCAATTCACAGCAATTCGTTACTGCAGAGAAACTTCTGGCGCTGGAGCCTGAGACATGATGTCCACGTGGCCGGCAGCGACGTCAGGCGGCAAGGAAGCAGTTGACATGTGGACGACGACGAGCATGTGCTCCTTGTCTCTCGCCTATATATACCCCCTCAGACTCTTCTTTCATCCTCTTCCTCTCTACCATAATTCATCAAGATTCAACAGTCTGTTCTTCTGCTTACTTTGCTTACTCTCATTTAGTCTTGATACATCGACACCTCTGATCATTTACCAAACCGTCATCTGCTTTCGAGGCTTCTTTCGTCCTTGTGTTTGATTTGTTTGCGGTCGATCTGTCTTGCGTTCGTCAGTTCAACGTCACTTTGAGGTTTTTTTGGTAAGTCATTCCTTTGTTCGTTCTGCTCTCTCCTCCAACCAGACTATTTGAACCATGCATTACCGCAAGATTGGGTGTTGCGGCATCGTATTTGTGCGAATATCGACGTTGGGATGGTGCGATGTGAGTCCATCCCTCTCAGCTGTGAACGACACTCTTCCATGGTTGTCAGCTGCAGAATGTCCTTCGACTTGTGATTTGGAACAGGGATGCACCTGGAAGCATCTGCACGTCTTGCGGCCACTTACGACAAGTCGAAACATCCAGCATTGTCTACTTACACAACAGTCTCCGCTCATGCCGCCAAATCTGGTCGTTGGTTTCCCTGTCAGGAAAGCGGGTCAACGCGGAGCCCCAGCAAGGCTGATGACATCTGTCATTCACTGTGTGCCCCGCTCCTGGAAATCCACCTACACGGAGGTCGACAAGGATCTCTATCTATCGACATGTGACAAGCTCGCCATAGAAGCGGGTCCGCGCCGAGAACGACAAGGCTGACTGCAAATCGACATGTGCTGAGCCTCTGTGCCGAAATGTCTCGGCGCCGAGACAGTCGGGGGTTTAGACTTCCAATTCGACAAATGCTCAACATGCAACCACAAACACGGATGGACTCAGACTGGCAAAGTTGAGATGATACCCTTACATGCTCTTAGCGATGCATTTGTGGCCGTCAGGGTCACATCCCTCTCGCACCGCCTTGTCTTCATGCTCATACTTCATTTCCCCTTCCTCAAGGACGGCTGAGAGGCAAGAAACTGACAAAATGCTTACGTTTAGCGTTCGACTTTGTTTCCGTTGCAGTTTCATAATTCAAGATGGTCTCCACACGGGCACAGAAATCCAGAGAGACGACCATTGCTATCCAAAATATCGATCGAGCCTGCGCGGCCACTCAGCTCACACAAGTGTGCACCAGTACAGTGGTCTCTCTCCCAGACGTTGCAGGAGAATCAACCGTGTCCCCTACTGCCGAGCCTGATGTCGCCATGAAAGACATCAGCATTACCACCAGGTCTTCAGTGCAAAAGACATCAACGGCGTCACGGAGCCTTATCGTGCGCTTCAAGCTTCCAGTCTGCAAGCCGGCTGGGGTAACAGAGACGAAGGTTCTTGTGGACTCCAAGCTGACCGTCAAAACCAAGAACTCGGTTGACGGGGAACCAATTCGTCAACGAGCTGCTGCTGCTTCCCATGGCATCAAACGTGAACCGTCCGATGATCAAGGTCAGAGATGTGTTGTTCGTTTTCTTGGATTGAAGCTAACTTTACATAGATTCTGCTGCTTTTCCCAGCAAGAGAAGCAAAACATCTGGCGGAGGTGATGACAAAGAATTCAAATCAGAGGTTGCTCCTACTCAGGCGTCGGGCGTCCCCACTGTTCCCCGTTGTCTTCGTGATCGAGGCGAAGATGGCACAGTCACTGGACGGATTAGAGCTACCAAGAAAGGTATGGATTTTGCCAAATGCTTCCACGAAATGGTCACTAACCGCAGCATACAGCAAAGGAAGACATTCGTGGTCCCTTTGTGACTTTCTCATCGAAATCTCTTGGCAGGCTTTTGAAGAAGATGAAGAAGCGACGCCCCAAGACACCGTATACCAACAAGACACGCTTCCAGTTCGGCCACGACCATCTGTGGTATTGGACGTCGCCATCTCCGTACGAAATCCGGAAGGTCTCGCAGATTCTCGAGGAAGAACGACCCGCAATCAACGAGGTTGCCACAGCAGAAGGAACTTCAACCAACCCGTTCCATGCTGGTGCTGGAATATCTGTCGACTCCATCGTCCGCGTCATCCTTTCACAAGCATGCACCAATGAGTCAGCATTGGATGCACAGCAACGGATGCTCCTCGCATACCCGTATTGGGTCAATGGCAAATGGGTCGCAGGCAAAAAACCGAACTATCACGCAATGCGTGCACAGGGTCTTTCGAAACTGGAAAAGGTCCTAAAAAAGGCGGGGCTGGTGAACAAGAAACCAAAAGCCATCAAAGACATTCTTGACATTGTCTATGAAAGAAATGTTGCGCTTTTGAAACCCTTGAAGGATGGCGAGGTTGTATACATCGGCAACGAACGCGGTGCTTCCGATTTTGTTCCTGGCTTGTTGTCTGTGGACTACCTCTGGGACATTTACAGACAAGAGGGCAAACAAGCTCTGCTTGACCATCTTGTGTCGCTTCCATTGATCGGCGTCAAGTCGGCGTCCTGCCTGATGTCCTTCAACATGTCGTTGCCTGTCTTTGCCGTGGACACCCATGTCGCTGGGATGGCAAAGCTTCTCGGTTAGGTACCCGGATATTGCAACGACGAGATCATTATGTGCACTCACCTTGACACTGTGTTGCCGGATGATCTGAAGCTTTCTCTCCATCAAGCCTTCTGGAACCATCGTCGCAACTGCGCGCGTTGCAGTGCACGAAACAGTCAGTCTAGTTGGGCCTACAACAACACCGAGTGTCCTCTGGAACTTCTTGTCAAGCGTCCGCAGCAGCCCAAAGCCGAGGACAGCAAGCCAGCCAAGGTCCAGACTGGCCCACCGAGACAGAGCATCAAAAAAGAGCCTACAGACGAGGAACGTCTGGCACAGGGACTGGTGAAAGTCACCTATGAGATCGACGACGATTTCGATGCAGCAGGAGGCACCGGAGTGACCAGAACGATCTGGATCACGGATTTTAGTGCGGAGGAATATGATGTCAAGGAAGAAGATGATAGCATCTCTGAGGAAATGGTTATTTCAATCAAAATGAAATGAAGCATGGACGACGAGCACCAAATATATGGTGGCAAGAGCAGAAACGTTCTTCTGGTATGGATGTTTCTGAGGGCATTTGAATTTTGATTTCGTAGTCGCGATCTGAGCAACAGACTCTTAAGACGCATCTTGAGCTGGCAATAAAATGGACGTACTTCGAAGCGAGGTTCTTGATCTCTTTAATAACGGTAAAGGGCTGCTCCGTATCCCCACCCCTCTCTATATTTGTCCTCCTTGGCATGGACTCCTTCTATTTATCTCCAACATCTTCAATCGACGACGACAGGGCTGGTATAGTCCTCGTGGCTGACTTCCGTGGATATACATGATGGGAACGTGACTAGGACTTGACGTCAAAAGGTCCATCGACATACGATAAACGAGGCGGGATTTTGCAGGAGGAACGGAATCCTTCCTAATCGTCGCCCGGCGGAGGATCGTTATACTCACGCTATTCATCACGCACCAATGGCTCTGGGCAGTTCCCAGTTATCAATCGCTTCCTGGTCCCGTGAGCATCCGGGATCAGGGATTCATTTAGGGCCTGACTTTCGCCTCCTCCAGACCTCGAACAGGACAAATGCACTCAGCGCAATGCTACCTTTCCCCACGACGATTACTTCTTGATTTCTACAAGTACACACTAGGAGACAGGTGCCGCTCGCGTGCTGCTGGCTCTATCGCGGTCCATTCTTATCTTCGCAGCCCTTGGTGGGCAAGCTTGGGCAAGCTTTGTTGACCCAGAGCTTAGGGTCGCACGACTAGGATGAACGACATGCCAAAACAGGCAGCTCGCGGTGGTTCCCTCTTGCTTCCTCTGCGACCTTAGCAGCAAAAAGCACAGCTTTCTTTCGCATCCCTGCGATGTGCCTCCATCGTGGAGCTGCAGGCCCGTCGTCATGCCCTCCCCCCTCCCCGGCACGCTCTTATCCATGCAATTGAGGGTTTTGGCAGCGTTCTTTCGGTCAATCCCAAGCTCGTGGGGTAGGATCGTCGTCCCTACTGCAGCTGTCATTCCATCGTTACAATGCCTCGGGGCGAGCCAGGTGGAAACGAGAGGGTAAGGTAGGCCGTGCATGAAGCTACCTGTCGTGCTACAAAAAGGACCATCTCTGCCTTCAAGACGCAGGTCGAGGTTTCCCTTCGGTGCCACCCTCGCTCTTCTCTATATCTCTTTTACTTCTTTGCGGGGCGCCTTCTGAAGCGCAGCTCCACCATGATCTCTTTGCTTCCTACAGCTCTGCTGCTGGCCTCGGGCGTCCAGCTCGCCTTCTCTCAGTTCGTGGCTCCGCCAAAGAACTTGACAAGCAAGACAGGCTATGCAGGCGTCACAGTCCGCTACAAGTCCGTCCCCGCGGGCATCTGCGAGCAAGACCCCGACGTGAAGAGCTATGCTGGATACGCCGACGTGTCGCCTGGTCAACACATCTTCTGGTGGTTCTTCGAGGCTCGGAACATGGATCCCACGACGGCGCCGCTCACCATCTGGATCAATGGCGGGCCGGGCTCGTCTTCTATGATCGGTCTGTTTCAAGAGCTGGGACCATGTCGAATCAATCTGGACGGCGACGCGGTGAACAACCCGTACTCGTGGTCCAACGTCTCCAACATGATCTTCATCGACCAGCCCACGCAAGTTGGGCTCAGTTACTCGTCCCCCGTGCCCGGCTATGAGGACCCGAATTCCGGATATCTGGTTGAACTGCCCGGCAACACCTGTCCAGAATACGCCAGTGATTGGTCCTGCGGGACATACTCATACTGGAACGAGTCGTTAACGGCGAACAACACGCCCTCGACGGCGCCGAACATGTGGAAGACGCTGCAGGGATTCATGGGCGCATTCCCGCAATATGCGAGAGAAGGAATCAACTTTGCGACTGAATCATATGGTACGTTGGTTTGGCTTTTGGTGGAGGAGACGTTGCTATGATTCTGCTCCTCTACCATCGCACCCCCAGAGATCGGAAGAAAGGCACAGGCTGACCAGTGCCCTAGGCGGACACTATGCGCCTCTCATGTCGGAGTACTTTGAAGAGCAAAATGCGAAGAACATCACCGGAGCACACAACATCCGCCTCGAGCACGTCCTGATCGGCAACGGCTGGTACGATCCGTTGATTCAATATCAAGCCTACTACAACTTCACCGTGTTTCCGGGAAATACCTACAACTACGATCCGTATAACCAGACCATCAAAAGTGCGTTTCCCCTGGGTCTTCCACATTCTTCATACCGTTATTTTGATTTCCCCCCTCCCCCTCCTTCCCAAATAGCCATGTGGCTTTCATGTTCCCCGGGCACGTCTTCGAGTGATTGAAGACTGAACTGACGACGATTGCCCGCTAGATCAAATATACAACAGCCTGTACGGACATGGAAACTGCTATGACCAGACGGTGGACTGCAACACGCGCAAAATCGACGAAATCTGCACGGCGGCCGACAACTTCTGCTACCAGCAGGTGGAAAACATGTACGACATCTACCTGAACCGCGACGAGTACGACGTACGGTACCTGATGCCGGACCCGTTCCCGCCGACGACTTATATCGACTACCTGAATACGGCGCGTGTGCAGGCCGCCATCGGCGCGTACGTCAACTACACGGAGAGCAATGCCGCCGTGGGCAATGCCTTTGGCGCTACGGGCGACGACGACCGCGAGATCGGCACCGTCGCGGCCCTCCAAACCCTACTAGCCCAGAACGTTTCGGTGACCATGTACTTTGGCGACGCCGACTACAACTGCAACTGGCTGGGTGGGCAGGTGGTGGCCGAGCACGTCGCCAGCACCGCAGCATCGGGGTACAGCAGCGCGGGCTTCATCAACATCTCGACCTCCGACGGGATAGTGCACGGCCAGGTGCGCCAGGCGGGACAATTCGCGTTCGTGCGCATCTTCCAGTCCGGGCACGAGGTGCCGTTCTACCAGCCTTTGGTGTCGCTCGAGATGCTGGATCGCGTCCTCGCGGACAGAGACATCGCCACGGGCAAGGCGCCGCTCACGCCCGCCTACAAAACAAAAGGCCCCCTAGTGAGTGCTTATCGTGAGGGCAACGCCACTATCCAGTTCGACCTCACTCCCGCTGACGCCATCTACAACGTCACCACCGCCATGCCCCAGAACGGGACGAGCAGTAGTGGTGGAGGGGGAGGAGGAGGCGGCGACAAGAAACTCGCAAAGCGCGCGAAATATAGTCTCAGACGGGCGAGGAAGATCAAGAGGGACAAGTTGGGCGGATGGGCCAAATGAATGCTGAAGCCGATTTGATTGACTAGCCCCAATGACACCCGAGTCCTATGGGGCTGGTATGTATGTACCTACTGTAGGTAGGTATGGAGATACCACATGGAGATCCGCTGGCGATAATCCAGCATACTCAAGTAGCTCCAAAAAGCCAAACAAGCAAAAGCAAAGGCAAAAGCAAGTCCCATGTCATCCATCTCATGGGAAATCAACACCACTCCCTCTTTTGTTTTTGTCCAAGTGGTTCCGATCCATTTGAGCATTTACCTGCGTACGTACCTGCCTCGAGTGCCTCCGTAGTGGAATTCCCACCTTCAACAGACAACCCCCCTTTTCTGGCTCCTGGATCCGAACGGACCATGTACTCTGTACATCCATGGCATAGACCAAGCGATATCGATGTCCCCGTCCGTGGCATCCCTAGTTTTTCCCGTCCTCGCGCGGCAGATGGAGAGATCTGTGCTTCGGACTCGTGTGACGCCTGCGCAATGCGCCTGGGACGCGGTGGTAGATCTGCAGTGACACTTGTGTATGTACTGTACGTCAAGGTGGGAAAAGCGAGAATAGCCGTGTAATCATCGCGGAGGAGCCGAGTCCGGGACTCCTGTCTATTCGCGCTATGCATTTTATTCTCTCTCACAGATTGTGACCGTTGCTGGCTCCAGATTGTCAGAGATCCTTCGTTCCTTCCTCCTTGCAGGCGCGCCCGTGTCTGGACTTCCTACATATAGCACCTTTGCCAAAGACACGTGGAATATTCCGTGGCTCCGTCCAAAGGGTTAATTGCTATGAGACTGACGACCGGCTTCGGTCTCCTCGTCGTGCGCAAGCTCGGAATAGGTTTTGTTCTGTCCAGATGAGCGGGAAGTGAATATTTTGTCTGCTCCTGAACAACATATGGGACATGGGTCATCATGGTATCAAACGGAGCGAGAGATGCATCGGGACATATCTTGTACATTCAAAGTTGTCTGCGAGTCGAACCTGCATGTGCCTGTGGCATACAGGGGTCATGTTAAATGGCCAAATGAGCCCCGGACTCTCAGCCTCAACACTTTCGGCAGATGGACTATGATAAGACGTTGCAGCTTTGTTGTAATTCGAGGTGGCATCGGAGTACAGAGAGGAAATTCGCAAGGCATCGGAAGCTTTTTGCCTTTTTGAAAAGTCGAAACTCTGGTATTTTTGGGATTCATCATGGGCGTATCTATTCATTATAATGGTACACCTGTCGATGGCTAAGGTCAGCAGATCATTACAGAAGAACAGATATCCCCAGGGACTTACAAAGTAATCGGGGAGACCCCAGATCTCGAACCCAAGCCGCTTCGCCATCTTAGCGAAGCCCTCCGTCTCAATAAGATGATAGAAAGGAAAGGCAGGGAACATGGCCCCATCTCGGTGCACCTCGGCCTTCACCAACAGTGCTGTCCCGCCCACACCATCCAAGGGCATCAGACGCCGTTCGTCGCGATCCTTCTCCATCTTGGCCAGCTTGGTCATGAGTGTTCGGTAAGTGGCCATCTCAGCATATCCCTCCAGCAGGACGTCATCAGGGCCCATCTTGCTGGCGAGCTCCTGTGCCACGTCGCTGTCGCGCCAGGTGTTGAAGTCGTAGGGTCGGATATCCTCTTCTCCTTCGTCATTAACAAATCTCTGCATGCAACTGGGAGCGATGACGGCTTTATCGTGACTGGCCAGGTCCTGGATCATCGTGGGGGGACTCTCGACCACGTCGCCATCCAACCACAACACCCAAGATGTGTGGGGGCCGATGGTGGTAAAGAGCAGGCTATTCCGTGCCCGAGCCATGGATGCTCGCCGGACCTTTTGATTTTCCATCTTGTGGCGCTCCTTTTCATCCTGGGAAGTCAATGGTGGCTCGAAATCCTGCCGCAAAATAGTCACTGATTGAAACCGTAGCTCGTCCGGGCCTGATTGTGTCTCCCTTATTGCCTCTTGTAGAGCGGCCGTTGCCGCATTGCCTTCCTTCGTCTTTGGAGTGATGAAACCTAGGCTGATGTGCTCGTGGGGGTAGGACAGTGCCATGAGATTGGCCCAGTATCCAGGGTAGAAGCGGGCCAGAGGTGTTAGGATGAGGACTTTCTCGTGCTTCTGGGTAGGATATGCCGAGGCGGTCAAGTTATTGAGCTGATAGTGCACGACGGGAGGCGGACGGCGAACACCACGAGCATTTTGGGCATTGGATTGCTTGCGAAAGGCCGAGGTGGGAGGAGAGAGAGGGTTTTCGGCGGCGGACGTCTGGACTCGTAAGCGCAGTTCGGACTGGTCGATCGAGGTGTTGTGAATGCTGTAAAGGAAGTAGATAAAGACAACCCCTAGGAGGATGCCAAGGGCAGTGGTCCGGTTGCTACTGCGTGGCTGTCGCATGTCGAAGTATGCCATGTCCTCGCAACAGACCAGATTTCAACAACAACAACGACGACAACGACAACGACAACGACAACAACGATGTCACCTCGAGGACTGTTGCGTGGCCTGATGAAGCATGGCCGGGAGAAGGTGGCCTGAAAGGGAGGGGAGCAGGTGATGCCGTGACGATTTGCAGCAAGCAGAGACAAGTCTGTAGAGAGAAAATGTAGAAAAGAGTGAAACGTCGAATTTAAAGGAGTGAATTGTACTCGGTAGTGTGGTGGTTCTTCGTCTTCAGCGCATCGAAGTTGTGGAATCTGAATTCTGGGGGCCGTTGGTGAAACACTGCGGAAGGATCAAAGCGATGCACCGCCACTTTGGGTTCTCTCCCCTCCATACATTTCCCAGCCACAGCAAACACGAGCTCGACGGGTATTACCTGACTTGCCGGACTTCACGGGTTCTTATTAATAATAATAGAGGACAGAGTACGAGGTACTCGGTACAGTCAGACGCAGCGACTGGCACAGATCAGTCTCCAACACTCTCCTTGCTCGTTATGGTCTATCTATGCCTCATGGTCATGCCATCTAGACCACTTTTTTCGTACCCATCGTGACAATGCTCTGAAGTGACCTTCACACTCGCTATGCAGAGAATACCCCAGTCACTCGCGAACGGAAAACCCAAAATTGCTCCAGCCAACTTCGGCGCATCAGTTCTGTAGACTTCCAACGCCAATGCCAGCATCTGAAGCAATGCTTGATGCAATCCGTAGCCTGGGTGGTGCCTTGACGCAGGCCCAACCTCATCGGGCTTCGATATGCTAACAACAAAGGAAAATAGGAAAGTCGCTGACAAATGGACAGGGTCGCAGCCTGCAAATGCACCTTTCCGCTCAACCCGAAAAAACGTTGCCGCTGTCATTCATAGACATCGGCGTGTCTGACCTTCTTGTTCTTCTTCGATTCCTCCTGATCCGGCGAGGCGTCACTCCGCGGACTCCTTGCCGGACCTGGGCTTCCTGCTGGCGAGACTTTGCCTGCTCCAGCAACTTGGAAGTAGTCATCGCCTTCCTCGAGAGCCAGAGGCGTGACGGGTCCTTTGGGGCTGCCCAGCGGATCCAACCGTGGTGCACCAGGCTTGATGCTCATCGAGGAGGCTGCAATCTTGGCCGACAACGTAGTCCTTTCGATGAACTCGCGTTGCTTTTCACGCATCAGTCTTGGTGACTCCATCACGACGGGTTGCGTTACCCGGTTCAATCCAATGGCTGGGCTCTGCACTGGCGAGGATGGTGTGGCTGGTGAGTCGAGATGGCCGAAATTGGCAGGATGAAACCGAGGAAGCGTCATGTGCATGTTCCTGGAAGGTTGCCGGGCATGTGGTGCTGGTCGACCCCGTGTCGGCTGAGGCGAGAGTGGCTGCTGGCTGGCATGGAGTCTTGGAGACAACGGCGAGGTTGGCGTGTAACGCCCAGAGTACGTGTCACGGTTCATCGTGTACCCCATGGAAGCAAATGATGGAAGACAGATGGGAGAAGCGAAACGTCGCAGGCCGTGTGTTTCTGGGGATCGCTGCGACGTCTCTAGTGACTGCCAACTGTTGTGTGCATGCGGCAGCTGTAGCACCGATGCAGTCGACTCGTATGAAGAGGCTTAAGGCCCGTCAGAGGGGGCTGGCACTCGTCGCCAAATTCGGGTAGGACGGGCAAGGACGGGCCAATATGTAGAGACAAGGCCCGCGAGGGGTGCTGGAAATATATTTGCCACCGACTGGTCGATTCACTAGGTGGACTCCCGTGTTGCTTGTTGCAGGAGTACGAGATAGATAGGGGTGAAGCTGCGTTGGTTTGTGTCGGTACTCGAATTATAAAAGAGTTAAAAGAGTCTGCAAAGTCCGCACCGGCAGAGATGGAAAGCGGATAGATATTTGACGTGGAAATGTCAAAGGTTGGCGTGTCGCACACGTATTGAATGGTAGGTGGAGGAGCAGGCACCGAGTCTGGTCTCCGAAAGATGGGTCCGTTTCAGCGTTGTTGGTCGTGTATGCCTCTGGTCGTAGTACAAATGAGAGTCAGACTCAGAGTCACGAGTTTGGCTTGGGGGGCAGGGATGTGGCAGGGACCTGTGCTATCGTACTGGGGCTTGTGTTGAGGGGCCGTTTGATCTGCAATGACTGAAAAATTGCGTGAGAAATGATCAACAAGACGTTCCGGGATTGCCAGCAGTCAAGCGCACGCTGATCTCGGGGCCGGAGGGTTTTTGATGTTGATAAAGGATGCCAGCCTCGAGAAGTGCGAGTAGAACATGTGCCAGGGAATACAGACCAACGTACCGAGTATAGGAAACCTGGTCACCAACCTCTTTTCCCCGAGCTCTTAAGGCGTCATCATCTAACCGAGACCGAAAAGATCTTCGTGCTTATGAAAATGCTAGTATATCAGGAGGCCTCCTCGGTGCCTTATGATTTGAAGAAGGTTATCCAAGAGAGAAACGGTTTCCAATGATCAATGCAGGGCCGTGTAGACAGAAGCCCGAGGGAACACGGAAAGAAACTTCGATAGGCATTGGCTGATTGCGAATCGGTGGATACATCGAAAGGGATTCCCTGACAGGGTCGATGACGGTAAGCGTTGAACTTGAGAGAGCCAGCACCACGCCACCCGTTCGGGCTGACCAACAGGACAGCGGGCCATGGGGCAGATGGCAACGACGAGCAAGGGGGCCAGGTCGGAGATCAAACAATGGGGCCTCCGAAAAGGCCTTGGGCGCCGAGACAGACAACCTGGGCCACCAAGGCGGCACAGGTGGTGGTAAAGGCGGCGTCGCAGTAGATTCTGGACAAGAGCAGAGTCTCGTTGCGGTAAAGGATGGGGATGGGGATGGGGATGGGGATGAGGATGAGGATTGTTTGGAAGCGCAGTCACTGCAGAATTCTTGCGATGGCTTTGGGGAGGCTGAAAAGAGCAGAAGTCAGAGAAAATCCTCGTCTGACAACAAATCAATTCTCGACCTTCCGTCCGTCCTCGCCGTCTTTCCGTGCCGTCCTTGGCCGTCCGACTCGCGCTGCCTGTCTGACAAATGCCAATTAATTAATTCTCGAACCGTCACCGCTGCAAGCACGACGAGCAGTGTGCGCACTGTCCAGATGAGCAACGTGGCAAGCCGGCCAACTTGGTGACCAAACTCTGCAACTGTCCACTTTCTCCCCTTTTAAAATTGCCGAACCATGGATTCCCCAGATCCCCTTTCTGGGTACCTACAGTAGGCACCGCGTAGTGCCAGCAACTGGATCCGTTGATACGAGACGAAAGGCCTCTCACGCAGAGTGCCCGCAAGCAGTGACCTCCAAGTGACACAGGGTGGAAAGTACTGACATCAACACCAGGACACCATCTACCACCCAACCTGTGCCGTCGTCCCCGCTGGTCAAGAAATGCCGAAAACCGAGTTCTCCTCTCCTACCACAGTAGGTTGCCAAGTCTGCCTCGGCGGCTGCAACAAGCATGATGCAGGGCAAATGGAGCCATCGTCCAGACTGTTCGCCGAATGTTTTGTGCAACCTCTGGGAGCCCCTTTCACAGGTGCGGGGCGCAGGGCAGCTACACCATTCTTTGTACCCAGTATCGATCCAGGTAAGCGCAGAAAAATAGTTGTCGTCATGGAGGGCGAGTTTTGCGGGGGAGGGAGAAGCGAACACTCAGAATTTCTTCCCGCATGAAGCCGCTACTTGAAAGACCAATGGGCCAAAGATGATGCAGTCCTGCTGCTGTCATTTTCCAGCAAGAACGGGTGGGATGAAAAGAACTCTTTGTTGGACCCGCTGAGACCTGCGCTGTGCTCGGGACGGCAAGCCGAATTGAAGTATACCACGTAAGTGGCACCCTCAAAGTCCTTTGCTACCAGAACGGCGGTGGCCTTTGTTGGTAATGAGCATTCCGTTTGCCTTGGAAACAGTGGCCCTCTGTCATTCATCCTGTACTGTCAATTATATTCGATATACCGGTCGCTTTGGGTTATTGAGGACTCTTGAGGCACATGGTCCGTGACAGACTCGGCCACTTATTTTGGGAATCTTGCTTGACGGTATTGTTTCCCACATGAACGTCCAAGCATTCGAGGCTTACCGAGGGGCAGCGCAATTGTAGAATGCTAACCGAGCACCGACGTTTTTCTGAGCCCTCCGCATTTGGGCGGTTTCAAGAGGCGAACAGCCCATGAACCTATCCACTCATCCGGATTCTACTGACTGCCACCACCGTGTGACGGGCATGGGCCGTCACATTTCGGGACAAATCCCAAGCCACCTGACAGGACGATCAATAGTCTTCTTCTCCGACTGATCCGTTCTCGCTTCGGCAAGATCGTCGATGCGGTTGTTTCCCCTGTGGTACACATCTGTTGTACCTAGGTAGGTAATACAAGGCAATGTGGAACAATTTACTAAGACATACCCGCTACATATGTACATACTATGCCGTAGAAACCCAAGGCAAGCCCCTCACACACCTTTCTTTATTTCCCGTTCGCACAAAGTAGATATGTATAGGAGCAAAAATGTTATCACTTCCAAGCCGTGTTCCGCGAGGAAGACGCGGGTTTATCTCAAGGAGCATGGCACCGGCCACACAATGGGAAAGAGGGGCCCATCATCTCATCTATAGGCGGGGCCTCAAAAGGAGGGCTTACATACCATAGAGATAATGGAAGACGGCCACGGAGATACGCCTCACTACAACAAGGGAAGTACGCCATGCTCACTTGCGTTGTTCTATATCCACAGTGACCGAAGAGCCCGTTGATTCTGAAGAATACGACGTCCGTGCACCGAGTCTGTACTGCCAAGTCAAAGCCAACTGCACAACGAGTTTAGAGAGCATCAACGGCCCATCAACGGGGCTTACAGGCTAAGTACACTGGGAATCTCCTTGATGCCCTCGCTTAGACGCGTCCGACATGGGCGCCCCAAGTCAAGAGTCGGGATTTCCTCGCTTCGCAGATATGCCGGTAAGATGTTCGGTCATCAGCCACTCTCAAGGTGCGCAATCGCCAACAGGGAGGGATAGCGTACGAAGGTACATGCTTGCAGCAACAGTTTGGCTCTTCCTATGCAGAGATCGATGTACCCCTTCTTGACCGGCTCGCCTGGTTCATTGACTGAATCGTATTTTCGTGGCGCAGCACGGCGGATGTTTGAGCAGCCGAGTAGGCTCTGGCCTTTCCCACCAATGGCCACTGCAAGCCTTGGGCGCAGTGCCTGAGGAGCCTGAGGAACCACCAGACAAGCGAACCAACTGCTCCTCGTGCTCCTCCTCTACTTGATACTTGCCCCAGCGGAAAGCTGCAGCCGTGCAGATTGGTCCCCCTTCTTGAACGGGCTAGCCAGGGACCTCGTCGACCATTCTTTTCCCAATGTCGCCTCCTCGAAACATCTGAACATTCCAACATCACCGATAGAATGAGGCTTATATAACGAGCTCCTTCATCTGGTGGCATCCGCCTCTTGAGAAACCCCTTGCAGTTTTGGCTGCAAACACGCGCCATGATCACTCCTCCGCAGCCAGCCATGACCGCACCCCTCGATCTTGAATCTGCCGGCCGTGAGTTCGACAAATGGCTGGATTGGAATGGGACTGCAAATACCTCTCCACGAGCCCCCAATGAAGACAATCTCCTTGCGACGACTCAAAACCTACTCACCCTCCCAATATCTCCATCGTCGACCGTGAACGGGGATTCCCACCCTTCGCAGCTCAAGACCGACCTCCTCACCGCTCTTCCCACTCACGATCTCCTGACTCCCCGACACAGTTCGGCATCTCCAGAGTCACGATCTAGTCTCGAGATGCGACTCAGCGGAGACACCCTGAGAGAACAGCCAACTCCCAGCATACGTCCCATGCTCAAGCGGAAACTGTCGCCCACAGACGTACCAACCACAGACTATCGCCATGATGCACCCACTCCTGCTGCCAAAAAACGCCCCCACAACATTATTGAGAAGAGATACCGTGCCAATCTCAATGAGAAGATAGCTGAATTGAGGGACAGCGTGCCTAGCCTTCGTTTCGCACAGAAGTCAAAGATACGGGATTCCGCCAATGGAGAGTCTGACGAGGACGACTTGGATGGCCTCACTCCCAGCAATAAGCTCAACAAGGCCTCGGTTCTGACAAAGGCGGTCGAGTATATTCGGCATCTCGAGTTTCGCACCAAGCGGCTGGAGGAGGAGAACAAGTCTCTCAAAGAACGGCTCGAGACCCTGGACAAGGTCATTGCCCAAGGCGGCCATGATGCCCAAAGAACTGCTGCTTTTACAAGCAAAGTGCTCATAGAAGAATCGTCACCTGGTTCAAACACCCACTCTCCCTCTTCGTCCGAATCGACAAACACAACTTCAAACCCTCCACAAGGACTCATTCCACAACCCGAGAGTTGGAGACGGCTACGCCAAAACCAACCCCAAGAACACTATGGCCACATCTATGACACTCCCACAGAACGTTCAAGGTTCAGGGGCAAATGGCCTACGAGGATTGTGCTTGGCTCCATCGCCGGCCTCATGGTTATGGATGGCCTCAGTGAGTCTGATATGGGCTCAAAATCCCGTGAAAAGGGTCTATTTGGGATCCCCCTCGAGCTTCTTGACGGCTGGAAATTTCTGCGGTCACCTCGAATATACCTGGCCGCTTTCAGCCAATTCTGTCAGGCAGGTGGCATCATACCATTGATCAAGGGATTCATTGCCCTGACATTCCTTGCCTTCTTTATCTTCTCATACTTGTTCAATTCGAAACCTCCGCCAAAGACCGACGTCGAAGACTCGGGCACGCATTCGAGACAGGTTCCAGCTCCGGCCTCCCCCATTCAAGTCCGTCGCCGCGCCTGGAGCACTAGTATGCAGGAACTACACCTTCCTCATCATCACTTCTTTCCCGAGTGGATCGCCATCACCTGCGAATGGCTCAAGTATACCTTTGGCTACGTCTTTGGGGCGCGGGCCTATGCTTGGCTTACTGGCCGCACTGCTGACGACGACGTGGCCCGGATCAAGGCTTGGGACATTGCCATTGACGCACAACTGGCTGGCGGTGATACCGAAGTCAGCCGAAGCCGGGTGCTCCTGACCATTTTTGGCGCCGGGACTCTTCCTCGGACACCTTTGCGGTTGATGTTAAAAGCACTTCATTGCCGGGTGCTCTTGTGGAACGTGGGCTCACTCGGAACTGGAGTATCCAGGATCGCTAACCGCGTCGGGAAATTCTTCGCCAACAGGCAATGGGGCCACGCCAAAGATTCACGCGACAATCTACCCCTGCATCATTCGGAATCCCTCCCTCCGTATCTTTCGAACATGCTTGATATGCCGTGTGATCATATATTCCTGGACACGGTCTGTCAGAGGGCGTACAATTTGATGTACGACCGACCCACGCACGAAGGTTCTACCAATCCTCTGTTGGACGTTGTTGTTGAGGATCATGCAGTGAGATCGCCTCTTGATGCTGTTGCAGCATGGCGGTCAATGGTTTCATTGACGCAAGCTTTGGAGGTGTCTCTACACTCACCCGAAGCATCCGATCGTGTCCAAGAGCACTTGACCGCTGCGCTTAAAATTGCGCCGCCTGGCTCCGCGGCCGAAACGCGGGCGTTGGCTGCAGGCTCGGTCCTCAGTAATACTGCTCGCACGGACTATTTCAAGAGGGCATCCGACGCCATGAAAGTTTTGTCGCCCCCTGTTCCGCGGCCAGAAGCTGCAACTCGACCCCCTTATTTTATCGACTCGTCGACGCCGCCATCAGCCAGGACTGATATCATGAACTGCTTGCATTGCGCAGAAACTTTGCGAATACTCGACTGTGAAGATGGCAATGCTGAGGATATTCAAGAGAGGGCATTGGCATTTTTCTATTCGAAAAATCTCCAAATTGAAAACACGCACCTCCTGACGCAGGCAGCGAGGAAGCATCTTCTCCGGCGACTGCCAGCTATGGATGACCCAGCGATCGCTGGAAGAGAAGAGGTTCGCGTTCTACCACACGATCACATATTCTCGGCTGACGTGTTGGGTATGCATGATAGCGAAAACAAGATTCCACGCCGGTATAGTGCGACCAGCACCGACTCTGGCTATGATAGTCAAGATGCTTCTATATCCGGCTGGGACATGGATTCTGGGTCATCGCCCAGCTAACGCTCTCGCGAAATACGAGATTGTGGTTTGAATGTGTAACTAAAGAATCAGAGCTAGTCTTGTCTCTAATGGTGGTATATACGATAATGGCATGTCTTTTCCCTAGCACAAGGTTTTTGGCGCTTGTACAACACTTTCGACAACATAGCACTTTCTTGAACTACTCCGTCTAAGGAAGAAACTATATCATGCCTCCGGCTTCAAGGAAGGGGCTCCGAAGCAAAGGACTGGGGAGATTGTTTCAAATGACACAAATACTATCGTCTGACAATCACAGACTTGGAGTCTGTGTGCCATAAACTCGTCTGCCGTTTTTCTCTCCTTGACAAGCTCTTTCTTGTCTTCGACCTTCTTGCCAACCAACTGTAGCGTTCCTTGGGATGGATGCAGTTGACAATGCGAACGATGTCATCTGGCAGATTGGCGTCTTTGACGCTCATTGCCATCCAACCGATATCATGGCCTCAATCAAGGACATCGCCAACATGAAAGCGAGGGTCCTTACTATCATGGCCACGAGATCAGAAGACCAGGATATGGTCCGAGATACTGCAAGGCAATACCCTCTGAAAGATTCGACTTGGAACGCTAGAAATCCATCCTCGAGATACGTGGTACCTGCGTTTGGATGGCACCCTTGGTTCTCGCACCAAATATACGATGATGTCAAGGAGGATATCCATCCCGACCAGGTTGATCACTACCAAACTGTCCTGACTCCGACGCCGGATGATGATGAGTTTTTGAAGGCTCTGCCTGCTCCGCGATCGCTTCGTCAGTTTCTCCAGGAGTTGGAAGAGAGACTGGCCGAATTCCCATATGCGTTGGTCGGGGAGGTGGGCTTGGATCGTTCATTTCGACTGCCACAGGGCCCAAGTGCCATGACCGGTGACATGAAGAACAAGACGGGTTGTTCAGACAAGGACTACACCCCCGGCTCGCGTGAAGGGAGACCGCTTTCGCCTTATCGCGTGAGTATTGATCACCAAAAGGCGGTCGTGAGGGCTCAGTTCGAGCTTGCGGCAAAGCTACAGCGCCCTCTTTCTGTGCATAGCGTCCAAGCCCATGGCTTAATCTTTGAACTTATGCAATCCATGTGGAAGGGCTATGAGAAGCCATCAAAAAAAGAAAGAAAGAGAGCGATGGACGCTCCAAATGCCCATCAGGGCCAGGACTTCCCAAAGGGCCGTAACCAAGAAAAACGTCCTTCTTACCCGCCACGGGTATGCATGCACTCCTATTCCGGGCCCCCGGATGCACTGAGGCAATTTCTCGCGCCTACTGTCCCAGCGGAGGTCTACTTCTCCTTCTCGACGGCGATCAATTTCTCAAATGCGTCGACAGCAAAGGTCACCAACGTCATCAAAGCGGTGCCAGACGACAGGATACTTATTGAGAGTGACTTACATTGCGCTGGAGAAACCATGGACCGGCTTCTTCTGGAGGTCATACACAAGGTCTGTGAGGTGAAGGGATGGGACTTGCAACAAGGGGCTCGGCAGCTGAAAGAAAATTGGGAAAGGTTTATTTTTGGCGCTGCTCCTCTAGTATAAGTACTTACTTTACTTTGCAAGCAGGCTCCGCAAAGGGATGTATTCTACACACCCAGAATTCCTACCACAATCACAGACACAGATAGACTGACCGTTCTCAGGCTTGTGGCTGCATGTGTGGTAGGGAGAGTTGTTGCTCGATCAATCTTCTGAGCCCATAAATCCCAAACTCCGCCAATGACTTACACGGCCGCTCCCTCGTGAAGCCTGACCAGTAGGGAAGGGTTTACTCCAATATGTGAGACCTTTTGTTACTTGAGTGAGAGGTCATGGCTTCACCCATCGCCGTGCGTCTCTATTTTCCTCTTCTTCTGTGGACCATGTGGTGGTATGTGGCATGGATCTGCCGCACTTCAATTGACGGTCTTCACTGAGGCCTAGTCAATGCAATAAACTGGCATAAGTCGCACTTGAGGCGGCACAGTCCTGCAAAAAGATACAGTCTAGAACAAACAACAAGATGGCACCCCACGCCAGTTGATCCAGTGTCAGACTCACAAACCGTGTTGAAGGCTCTCCAGTTGTTGCGTGTCCAGGGCTTAGGAGAAGTCGAGAATTAAGTGAATGTTGGTACAGGTGAATGAAGACCGCTCAAGGTGTTGCCTCACCAGATATGCGTGCTTCTTCTTTCAGAGAGTTGCAGTTTATGACAAAGATCACATTCAGCAGATCCCATTGACAGGATGCATGGTCACCAGCCAGATCAACATCCGATTCCCCAGATCGGCCCAATGTCAGACTCACCAAGGGATACCTTTCATCTCAATCCTCCTCAGAGTTTCGCCTACACCGACTTCGTTATCAAAGCACCGCTCCCCCGACTTCCTCATGGTATGCCTGCAGAGACCGCAAGGCGAAAATATCCACGCACGCGCTTGAAGAGGCTGATCAGGGCCGTGGAGGCTCGCTTGGGAAGACACCGTTGTTTTTTCAGCGAACTGCAGCCGAAAGATCAAAAGAAGGAGTCACAATTCGAAGTGAGCAAGCTCTACGCGAGCTATGAGGTCGAGCATTGGCCGGGCGCGTTGGCGCAGTTTGACTGGACGCAGTTTGTCATGGCGAATATCGAACGCGACGCGATGCGCAATGAATATGGACCGACTGTGAAACTGACACGTACGTTCCCATTCGACATCTTGTATACTGTGAACGCCACTAATATGTCCACTCAGTGCCCATACTGCCAGCTTCGGCCGTGCCGATCTACCAGGAAATGTTGCGGCAAGAAAGGAGTGAGTCGGCGAGGATGGACGCCAACTTGGGCCGCATCACCGGAGTGGCCTACAATGGTGACATACGTACCTACCCTGCTGGAGACTCTCGAAGACAGGCTTTGTGCGACGGGCCGATTCAACAGCACGGATTGATGCGGACATCGTTCATGCCACTACTTTCTTCCTCTCCAAACATACGTGACGCCCTCTTTGAGCATAGCAGAGAGGAGCTTGAGGAACTGGTTCGCAATGACCAACTGTTCCGCAGGGCTTGCGAATACCATCAAAGAATTGTTCAAAAGGACTTGAGACAAATGTACCGCTGCTATCTGCGTTGCATTGGTCGGCAGCCTGGAATGCACTTGTGGACGTGGCTAGAAGTTACACACGAAGCAAGAAGGTTGATTAAGATGACCTTTATTCAGCAACTGAAAAATTGGATACAACAACAACCAAGCATCAAATTCGACTTCCAAGACGTGACGGAGACAGTCCTAGACCTTCAGCTGAGATACTTGACTTCACGGGCCCGACATTTCGACCCCATACCCACACAAGCTTCACCACAATTTCAAACAGAGCTCCACCGCAAGCATGTGATTGCCGCGATGCTAAGACAGCGACGGATTCTCCGAGAATGGACGACGTCTATCGCAAGGCGGTCCAGCGTGCGCGATGGCGAGAGGTATCGGAGAGAAGGCGAACATATCTTGGATATGTGGACTGGCACTGTCGAAGAGTACGAGACGTTCAACGAACGGAACAGAAAGGAGAATACGGTCACTACTGCCGGTATGTTGCCTATGGCGACTCAGCTTCGTGTTCGTCCGCCGAGGGCTCAAGTTCAGAGTCATGCAAGGGTGCACGAGAAACAACAGTCGCCGGATGGAGCGCAGCTTCCGCTGCAAGTGCAAGGACAGGCTCAAGTGCAAATGCCGGCTCAGGGACCAGAACAACCGCGGACACAGATCCCGGTGCTGATGCAGGCGCGAGAACAGGGCCACTCCAAACCCCAGGACTAGACCACTCGCAAGAGCGAGAGCAGTTGCAACCACAAGAGGAGCTACACATATCTGTGCCAGGGATGGAGCAAATCAGTGCACAAGAGCAGATGCCACTGCTGGAGACGAAGGCATTGGACATACGATTACGACTACCAATAGACGGTAACTCTACTGTCTGAGCCGTCGGAGGAGAAACGCGATGGGAGGCACGCGTTTGAATTCTTTCCTCGTCCCTTGTAATAGGACGAAGCCAACACAAAGACAGCGAGAGCGAGCAAGGGGGGGAAAAAGAGGAGAAATTGGAGTCAACAACAGGTTCGCGCTGGGAATCACAACGGTCAGTACAAGCACACAGGTTCCTCGAGCTGGTGTCGGGATGAACTTCAACGACATCAACTACCTAGCAAGCTAGGTAATTAATGGATCACTGCTTGGACCGGGGGAGGTAGATATCAGGTGTACGGGGTACAGAGTACCTCCAGTGGACAAGCAAGCAAGCATGCAAGGGACTGAGATTGATCCTGCCGCGCTCTCTTGCAACTTAAGCCAGCCGGGCCGCCCGGTTCAGTCACTCCCTGCGCCGAGTCGATTATGTTCCGGTTCCGCTTTTCTACCTGTGGCAACGGTAAGAGGGGAAGGCGAAGGAGGAACAGGATTATGTGTCGAGGCGAGTGGATGGATGGATGCGACGATGTTGCAACGATCGTCCAGGTTCTTACGCCTGGACACGTACCGTCATGCTGAATGATCTGAGCTGCGCAAGAGGGAACATGCACGGAGTATGTGGCGTTGTTGAGCCCATCACTCACTTGGGGTCGATATCATTTCCACTCCACTCCAATTCGATTCAGCTCGATTCAATTCCCATTCCTTGAATACGATGATCTTGCCTCGTTCCTCTTCCCTGCGTCACTCTCATGACTTGCTTTGATACTATAGCACTTCAGCGGCAGCGAGGAGCATGCCTAATGTGTAAGGGCCAAACCCAGGACGTCGCCCGAGACATTGAACAGCGCCAAATACAGATATATGGGCCCGGCCACCCCTTCCTTCAGCAGCGCCATCCACGCCGTACACACCCACGCCCACCCATCACAGCGCCCGTCCAGCTAGATCGATGAGACGGGCTTCATCGGCGGCCCCCACTCGCGCTGGGCAGTGTGAACAGTGCTCCCCTTTCTCATCCCTTTCGAAAACAATGCTCGCTAGGACCCCTCTCCACAGGGGAATCACGACACGGTTCTGCGGATTTGAGACTCGCGGCGAGACACATATTGCCAATTTGCGCGTCGACCACTGCTGGAGAGATGGACAAGCAAAATAGTTGGTCTTTGTGGTGCTCCACAGTGTCACCTCATGGGAGGCAAGAATCGCAATTCGGCTACTAAGACCAGCAAAATTGTTTGAGAGGATCTCAAGTGATGGCCGTGGGCTGACCGGCATCAATTGGGGGGATTTTTGCATGGCGATAGTCCGCTGCTAATGTCGACGGTCTGGATGTTCGTTTGAGATATCCTGGAAACGGTAGTCTCTCCTTTGACTGAGTGTTGCGGTGGCGAAGTCCAAGGTCCTCCAACACAGCACGCAAATGGGACAGACTCGTTGTCAACCATCCCTTGATATGAACTGATGTTCATCCCTCTTGCCATCTCAGCTAGACCCTGACAGATACGCCGCCTCGACCTGCCCACTGTTATCAGCAGTATTCTTGGCTCCGCGGTCGTCTTTTAAGAAGCAGTTCCCTTGAACACCACCCCTGCTCAGCGCAAGGGTGATATTAGCGCCGTAGACAACCGCCTTACAGTCTCCGCCAGCGACGTTGTATGCAGCGCATTGGTCGATGCAAGCATCAACGCTGTACGCTACAACAGCAGTGAGGTCGGTTACAGTTCCACCGCTGAAGGCGTCAACCCCGCTTGGCCAATCTGTGTCGCAGAGGATGGTCCAGGTTGCAGTGCTGAGCAAGGGGGAGACGTAGTCTGTGTTGTTGTCTGCAGGGCAGTTGTAGCTTCCTTCGCCGGAGGCAGTGGTCGTAGCAGTGGAAGTCGGAGCGGTGGAGGTGCTCGCTGTGCTTGTGGACAAAGATGGAGGTGAGGGAGTCGTGGGAGTGGCAGGATCCGGGGTGGTTGGAACAGCCGGCGCCGGGATAGTTGCTATTGCTGTTGGTTGTGTGGTGGATAGAGATGTACTGCTAGTCTTCACGACAATAATGTCAACAAGGTGAACGAATACAATATGAAGCATTCCAAACCTACGTTCGCTAAATCGGCCGCCTTCGCGCTTCCTGAGCTGTTCTTGCTCGCAAGTACGCCTCCCACACTTCCTCCAATGATGGCGGCGACCATCAAAGCCGTCGCAACGGCAACCACGATTATGAAGGCCCTGGTGCTGAGACCACAAATCTTTCGCTTCGATTTTTGCTCGGACCAGGCAGGCTTCTCTTGATCGTTCTCCAGAAAGACTTCCAGACCTCCACCTCCTCCGCCACCATTTGAACTGTCGTTGTTGGTATTATTCGGGTTGGCGTATGCATAGGCGTCCGGGTAGGGCTGCGTCTGTGTGACGACCTCTTTCTCATGGTCGACGCCAGACACAACCTGCTTGTCGCTATAGGACGAGTGATTTCCGACGGACGAGAACGCTTCGGCAAACGGTAGTGAGGCCATTGAAGCTCTCAAATGCCAAAGCGCAGTTAACGAGCAAAGATGGCGCTGGTGAGAGGAATGAGCTGTGATCACAAGATCGAGAGCGGAGCATGAAAGAGCGGGTCCCAATTTTGCAACCCCAGTGTACCCAGTACTTGTAGAGAAGTGGAGACTGTTCCCAAGTCGTCACAGTTCGAAGCGGGCGCAATTTGGGTTCGCGGCGCAAGGACTTTCGCTGCACGCCGCTACACCGGGTATAAAGGGTGGCCTTACCTAGGAGGCGTTTTGGAAGTACGCCAGAAACCCGGGACACCTGAAAAGGGCAAAGGGCCTGGCAAGATAGACCCATGATTGCAGCAATGGGACGTCTGAAACAAGCCACATACTGTAGCGCCAACACGCGACACTCAGGGTTTGATCGGGAAACGTACCTACCGATAACATTGGAAACAGGCGTGATTTGCCGAGCGAGAAGGCACAATCAATGTGCAAACAAACCTGCATGCATCGAGTTCGAGACCAGAAACATGAGAGGACAGGCTTCGATTCGGACACTAAGGCCGTTTTGATTGGAATTAGGGACGCGGACAAGCGAGCAGGCAAGCAGGGCACTGGGTAGATGAAAGGAGAGACGAGGATGGAACATGCGGAAAGGCTTTAATCACAAACCTTGGCAGCGTGCATCAGGTGATGGCGCCAAGGTCGGGAGGGGCTCTCAGGGGCTAGTACCCAGAAGGCTTAGGGGCTCAGAGCGACCCTTTAACCGTTTCAGCCTCGCAGCCTCGCAGCCTCGCCACTCCTCACGCCTGGTTGTACAGCTACAGCCCAACCACCACCAGTAAAGCCAACCGCTCATCCAGGACAGCATCTGGATAGTACAACATGAAAGAGCCAGTGCAGCGCACTTCTTCAGGCGCCAGTCATATTCTACACGGTATTGATCGGTTGATGCATATGCCCTGCAGTAAGGCGGCGTTCCCGCAACCCTGTTAATTTGTTTATCACGACCTTCGTCCTTCCTGGGGACCCCTTCTTGCTCCTTGCTTGCCCGGGCGAACCCAGTTGCACCACAATGCACAGTCCGTTTCTGGAACTATAGTTGCCTGTCAGCACCTTCTTGGCTGGGATGACTTGAGCCTTAAATGCACGGCAACAAAGCCAGCGTTCTGAAGGGCTTCACGGACCTTGCCACGCCATTGGGGCGTCTTTCTGCAAGGCGTCGGCTAATCCGCTTCCAGCAATACCACGCTCGCCAGGAGAGACAAGGCACAAGCACATATGTCGCTCTGGCACTGGCCGGCCTCCAGCTAGCCACTCGAGGCTATACTGAGCTGTGTCGCAGTCTATGAGCAGGACCCATCAGACGCTACAATCGTCCATGAGGCAGTGGCACTCTCGCCTTGTTCGACTTGCACGCAATGGAACAAATACTTGAACATGTGGCAACAGAGAGAAGACAAGAAGAGACTTAGAATACGTCTTTACTCAACCTAGAATCCTTGGTATATTGGCGGCTACTAGAGAGTACCTTTCCGATTTCTATTATAAAGCTAGGTGTCCGTAGAAGAGCAAATAGTCACAAATTAAGGTTGGCTTTATAGTTAAGTGAGCTAGCCGTTTTCGGCTCCCTTTCTACTCCCTGAGGTTCTACTACTTCTAGGTTTTATATAGAGAAAGATAAATGAGATCCAATTCTAACCACCATTAATCGGCATCCCGGCGTGGTGAAATGTGCCTATGGTTCCTCGAGTGCCACCACGACTGGTACACCACCCATTGCTGTGATCAGCTGTCTGAGGGTTTCACTATTCTCTCAGTCCCATACTCTCCTGTCGTTACCACCCTTGCTCATAAATACTGAGATTTGATGCTTCTATGCCCAGATTTCATGAACTATCGACAATTCAATCAAAATGGCTCTGACGCCCTAGAGATGTCAATATTTGCCATTCACCAACTTTAAGATGGTATCTGCACGGAACCATGGTCTTTTCATCATAAAACCGATTATCAAACTAGCCACTATTCCTGTTGACGGTCGGTGCTGTGTATGCGTCCCTACGAGACCCCGGCCTGGTACTCCGATGCACATCGACAAACCAGCCGAGGACCAACCCGAGTATGGTGATGGGTAAAGTTACAGCAAGACTCCCTCCCACTCCTCGGCCAACCAGCGAAAGTCTCTGTGGTGGCACGGTTCCGGGTCCGCCCTCCACCTGCCTCAGAGTATCACGAAACTCAGATCGCCTATCGAGCACAATACCTAGTATCTCTCTTCTCGAGAGTCTCGGTGTGACCAGCCCGGTTCTGGCCCACCCTCCACGACCAATCTATAGCTGACGGAAGGGGTTCTCCTTGTGGTTGCCTTTGAATTTCCAAAGGGCCCCTAGAATTCTATATCCCCTCCCGGACGGCTTAATGATTGAAACAAAGTCCTGGCTCAGATCGGCTCAATTTCTTTTCGCCTCTTGATAATCCAGGTCTGGGTGATATGCGCAGAGGCCCAAGACCGAGCTCAAGCACATTCGTTAGCCATGATTCATCCAACTTAGCTAAAGTTGAGTCTAGGCCTGGTTAGGCGGATGGAGCAGCACACTTGAGCCTCAGCGTTTCAAGCTTGGCTTCCCGCTAAATAGACGCCTCTCCCATCACATATCGCCTTCATTCCGTGCCCGCTTTTCGATTGCCGAAGAGGCATGTATTATGAAGGATACGAACGTCATGAAAATGTCAGCCAGTACTCATTTCTCTCGTCGTAAGATCATCTAATAGTAGCAACCATTGGCCCGATCCGTTCCCTTTTCGCTTGAACAACGACCATACTAGCTTTAAGATCCCTCTCGAGCATGCAGTCGGCCACCAAGCCCAAGCAAGTTGAAGGCTGATCCACCATCGACGTGCTTCGGCCAAGAAATATAATATCTCCACCATTATTCTCCCGCTGGCCGACCTCGGTTGTTGCATCTGCGACAGCATCTTGAACCGGGTCGTACGAGATGCTGGTTCGGAACGTCACCCTAGGACGGAGCTCTTCTGGAAGAGTGCGCTGCATTGTAACGAAGAATGCATCGTCGGACCTCTCGCCCGAAGTTGAGACACGAATCTTGTCTTCGACGATTCCCTTAGTTGAAACTGTCTCCTCGATGACGGTATCCTCTCCCTTCAGCTGGTAGTGCGTCATTGTGGCTGTGATCTCGGGGTTCTCTGCCAATTGAAGAACCAGGCGAAGGGCCGCCTGTCCATCTGCGCCGCCGAAGAACGGCACAAATATGTGATGGCTACGATCCACCGATGGGAGCTCGGTGATGTGTTCCCGTCTCATGCGTCGCGTCAGCGCAGACGGAGACTGCTCGAGCGAGCCACTGAAGGCTTTGTTCACGAATACAGCCGTGGTACAGTTGGCAGTGTCGAAAGCCTCCGTAATAAAGCTGGAATAAGCATCACTTCTGAGCTTGCGCTCAACAGTGTTTTTGGAAACCATTGGCGCCTCACTGAGGCTGCCAGTCTCGGTCCATGGGAGTAGCAAGAGGTCTGAGCTTTCCTCGGTAGCTCGAGTCGTCAGACTCTCTGCGTACGAATCCTCGGGAACGACAGCTACTTCTCCAGACACCGCCAGGTTGTATAGCCGCCCGAGAACTCGGAAAGCGTTCAGAACCGGATCCAAAGCGCTCAGTTCGCCAGCTTCGGAGACTTTCATGACTGATGTTGTGCGAGCTGTGAGCTGGACAATGCGCATACCATGGATTTGCACAACTGCACTCCTTGTGTCATCTGCTGATGAAGACTTGCGATTCTGGTCTTTGTCATCATATCGTGGATGAGTACTCCCGCTGCTAGGCTTACTTCCAAAAAGAGAGACGAAAGCCAGTGTGTTCGGCCTTAGCACAATTAGCATCTCACTCAAAGGCATGTCTCTCCAGGTAGCAGAGTCTTACATGTTGTCAAGGCGAAGGTATACCAACAGACTGCCGATCCTCGTTGAACCCATCTTCTGTAGCGATATGTTGTCGCTGGAACCGCCATCGCGATTGCGCACCGGGGCGCCAGTGTCCCAATCGATATCGCCGCGCTTCCACGCGTCAAGTTTGCGCTGGTACCAGGGGGGGTAGAGAGCTGAAGTAAGTGGCGTTGTGGCAAAGGTTGTGATAAGCGCCATGACAACGAACTAGAACAAGTTAAAATCGGATTCAATAACAGTGCACGTGCAAAGTCGCGCACCACTGTGAAGACGCGATCACTCAAGATCTTCGCCTGCAGTCCGATGTTGAGCACTATCAGTTCCACAAGGCCCTTACAGGACATGAGAGCGCCTATTGAGAACGACTCGCGCCAGACCATTCCGTTCAAACGAGCGGCAAGAGCGGCGCCGAAGAATTTGGTCGCAAAAGCAATGATTGTGACCGCAATCAGGTAACCCCAAGTGATGGCGTCGTCTAGAAGCCCGAGATTCGTGGAAAGTCCGGATAAGGTAAAATATAAAGGAAGGAATAATGCAGACATCAAATCTTCTATCTTCTCCGTGACTTTAAGAGCAAATCCGCCTTCGTGTGGGCAAATCAGGCCGGCCAGGAATGCCCCGAAGATAGGATGAACGCCAATTGCGCCCGTGAAGAAAGCGCAGCCGAGACACTGAAGAGCACAACCATTAGCGAATGTCAGAGGCATTACGAGTTGAGACTGAATCGTAATTGACTCCGTGTTCTTAACAGCCTCACATGTTGCCAGTAAGAAAACATACCATTAGGACAGTCAACACCATGACACCTTGAGTTGGACCATCTTGTAGCGAGTGTGTACGTCGGAGCACCCACATAAAGCCCGGCCGCACAGCGAAAGTCAGGAATAAACAGAATGCAACAACCGTAAGAATGACATAAAGAGCTGTAATGCCGCTCCCCGAGTTCACCAATGCGACGCAGAGAGCCAGCAGGACCTGTTAAAAGTTAGATGAACAAGGTTCCTGGGACGGAAATGTTGCATGACTTACCCATCCCACGACATCATTTCCAACACCGGCAGCCAACGTAATGATACCGACAGGCGTAGAGAGCAGCTTTAGTTCGGTGAGAATCCGACAGAGCACCGGGAACGCTGTAATGGCCAATGCGACTCCAATGAAAAGCATAAAGGTCCCATACGCGATTGGTTCCATTCCAGGCTCGGTCGAGAATTGATGGTAAAGGCCGAAGGATATCGCGCAGCCCAGTGCAAACGGTAGAATCATACCAGCAAGTCCAACACTCAGTGCAACTTTCCAGTTGCTGAAAAAATATCGAAGGTCAACCTCGAGGCCGATGATAAACAAGAAAAGAATGAGTCCCAGGTTCGCCACATTGCTGAGGTTGGAGATTGAATCCGCAGGAAAGATGGCGTCCGTGAAGCCGGGGATGCGACCAATTACTGATGGTCCGAGAAGAATACCGCCCAGTACCTCACCGACAACTCGAGGCTGGCGGAGGAAACCGAGGGGGAAATGCAGAGCCCGGCAGACGATGAGGATAATGCTCGCTTGGATGATGAACAATATGATCTATGCGTTGTTAGTATCTGGTCCAGCAAGCCTGGAGTGGCGAATGCGAACGGGATTTTTTGGGTCGTATATGGACGGATTTCCGCCAGAGAGAATACCATTATCACCACCCGCTCTTTGTGTACTGTGCGGAGATGGCGACGATGTTGTCGAAGTGGCAGTCGCCATGCTTGGGAAAGAGCTGATTCACAATTGCAGAAACAGTCTGCTGGAAGCAACTTAGGCGCGACGGCCAGACGAATCGAAGAGAGGAGAGTGAACAAGCTCTTAGGGGGAGCCCACGACAACGAGAATGCTACATTTGACTGCGACAAATATGGAGTGCGAAAGTTAGTCGAGCTCATTGCATTCAAGGACACAAGGGAAGACAGGGCTGGCGAATAGGGTGATAGCAAGGCAAATCCAGAGCGGAGATTATCAGTCGAATTCCTTCGCAGCCTTGCAGCACGCTAGTGTCAGCTTGATCCCTGAAGCAATCAGTCAAGCTGGATTTAAGCGGCATCCTACAGTATGCCTTAAATTTGCATGGATCGGTAATCCTGAAATTAGAGTTCGTGGTCGACGGTTTGTCCGGGATACAGATGGTGTACTGTAATGGCTATCCCTGGACCGGGGGTATGATTAATATCATCCATCGTGCGGTTGATTAAGATTGCGAGTAAGCAGCCACCTGGGCCGCACGGGCTAGTGTGGGATGCAAAATGCCGGCAGATGTGCGGATATTTTCTTGTGGCCACACGATTGTCAAGCATTTTAGAATATGCACTGTTGCTGGATCGTGCCGGGTGGTGATATATTGCATGTTGATGCAATCGCTATGATGGTATCATCATTGCTTCGTCTGATTGGCCCCCATAATCGGCGGCCTTGGAAATACTGATAGCCTTGCAGTACGGCCATCTTTCATTTTATTTTGGGGGCAGAAGGCTTCTGAATGTGGACTCGAAACACTTGACAGCCTTGCAGCATTAGCGTGGACCTAGAGCACTATTGCATGCAGGACGAGACCTTTCTTTTGGTCCACATGTTCAGAGTGACAAAGGGACAATTATGCCGCGGAGCGTTGACAAAGGCGATATTTAAAGGACGTTCGTGAAAGTTAGAAGCCAATAGACCGTAATATTGTGTCGCCTTGGGCGAGTAAAGGTAATATACAACATGCAGTTTAGCTACAAGGCGTCCAAAACTCAGCAAACAATGCCGCGAACAAATCGGTACCAAAACCATACAGTTCAGGGATCTCGGCAGCTATATGCAATAACTAATCGACATCGAGTGAAGAGCACGATTCAATCTCAGCTGCGTGGTTGCTATTTTCAGCGTCTGGATGCAGTATCACCCCACCCCTCACATCCCGGGACGGTCGATATGCTGCTTCCGAGAGGGTCTTTCTACCCAAACACCCACATTCATGATGCAGTCGTCGGTATGGAGTAATACGTGATTGTACCCCAGCACAGGCGTGCAGCGTGGCGGGTTAACAAAGGATCAGGCTCTCCAAGTATCGGACCAAATTTCTCATTGCGCCAGAAGTGACGCTATGCTGGGACTGTAGAGCCGGTGGTGATTGCAAAAGTGCTCGAGGACGTTTTGTGATAGCTGTGCGGTAGTTGTAAGACGACTCGAATCGAATCGTCTCGTCATCGTTTGGTTTTCCTCCGGCTAAAGAGCTTCGACGCTGAGCAGAGAAACTCATCGATGGCTACACCAGCGGTTTTCTTGCTCGATTCCGGAACATTGATGTCCCAATTCTCTGCTTGAGTTGCCATACTTCCAACCACGCACTTTGTCTTCTCTCGGACTTGTGGAGTCATTATTGCTGTTCTGTGCTTCGACACTATATGTAGCCATAGATGCTCCAATTTCTCATGGGCGGCGGTCGAGTGTCCTTCGGCTGCGCAGAACATGCAGCCGTATTGGTAGTTGTCAGCCACATCACTTTGAGCCACAGTCAGCTAGGTAATTGCAACGGAGAGGGTGGCTTCTCTGTACTTACGATGAGGTGTCTGCCCTCCAGTGCGACTTTGCTAAAAACAGCCACCGATAGCGGATGCCATATTTTTGATTGAAAAGTATATGGTCAGGGAGAGCGTCGGCGTGGGGAGCTTTCGAGCGGAACTTGCACACTTTGCAAGCCCAGTGAATGATTGGCTCTTTCAAAGCCGCCGTGATTTGGACTTCAAGACCTTCATGCACCTTCACACAACACCAAGTCAGCGACCAGAATGAACAATTCCAACAGTGGCCGCACACCGCAAAGAGTACTCACCGCTTTGCGCATCTGCCATGCGCCTTTGCAAAAGCCATGATATCGATTGTGCATTGCAGGTCGCGACAGAGGAGCCCAAATATTGTCCATTCCCGGGCTGAGAGAAAACAGGGCTTCTGCATAGTCTGATTGCGTGCGAAACGCCAAATACTTGTCAGCGCCGCTAGCAGGAGTGGTTGGAGCAGATGCAATCGGCCGCATGGAAAACATCACTCCGAAGTCTTTCGTCACCACCTCTGGTGCTTCGAGAGCTCGCAACACATCTTCGGGCTTTTCAATGCGAGAAATGCGTGCCGAAAGTGGTGTTGCTGTCAAAGAAGGCGTAGGTGATGCATCTGAGGTGTGCAATGCAAGATCGGGAGTTCCTGTTCCGTAGTCGTGCTGCTCTATATCGGATGTTCGCAACTTCAGTTCAACGGTTGGAGGCTTTGGCTCCGGTGGTGGGATTGAGCGTAAAGGGTGCTGGTGCACGGCAATTCCACCGATTGGAGCTCTCTGAAGCTCGATAGACTTGGCCACTGATGCAGTTTTCATGATATGTAAGTGCTCAGAGCTTCGATCGCTTCCAAGGCCGGAATCACGTATCGAGACTTTGCTTGTGTCCTCGACTTCTAGGTCGTCTGAACTTTCTGGTTGTTGCTCCTGGTCTAGGCTTGAAATCGGTCGAGATACTAATGAATCGTTATCCGCCTGTTGACCTTGCAAATTAGTCACTTTAAGCGCCCGGCTTTCTGGTAATGGGAGCGACCCGCTCTTCTGGCTTGTTCGGAGAGCTGTTCCGTTATGTTGGCGGACAGTGAATGTACGATCGGGCAGCGTTCGTTGGAGAACCGATGGTGGTGGCGACTCCATGGCAGAGGGAAGCGAAGGGAATGATGTGTCGAATCTCTCCTGGCCCTCTGAAGGCTGCATGTTTGCATAGCTAAACAACAGGCTGGATGCGGAGGGAGTTGTCGCTTCAACGCTCTCCCTGCGGCTTTTGGGTTCAACCTGCATGCTAGCCATGATGCGCTGACAGAGCTGGTCCATGGCTCTTGTCGCATCTTTGCGGCCTGTCACCGATGATTCATGAAGAGCTGTGAAGTCCAATACTGCGTTGTCCACCGCCCGCGCGAGATTTAATGCTTGGATGATTTCTGATTGAATGCTGATGACCACTTCCTTGAGCGCCGGAATCGCAAGTGCGTCGCCAATCTCGAATGCACTCCCGAACTGTTGATGTCTGTTCTCGCAGTGCTTGCGGCATCTCGTCCCGCCCTACAACACATCATTATACTGCCATGAATGAAAGACACGCTCTACTGACCTCCACCAGTGACTTGTGCAAGATCTTGATCTCCAGCAGCTCCTCGAGCTCTCTGTCTTTCTTCCGTTTCTTCTTTTCCTTGCGCTCCTTTACAAACTCGAGCGTGTCTGCAGCGGCCTGGAAGGCAGACACAATCGCCCCCACAACCCTCAAAACTTCAGCGACAGACTCCATGGATTGAGTAAACCAACATCTCGATGCGACAAGAAGAATTGCGTGTTTACTACTGCCGTGCGGGAGTGCGAACAGCACCCTTGAGCCGAGGCAGCTCCAGACTGCTCGATCAGGCCGCAGCGGACGTTTCGTGGAAATTGATGGCGTTCAGGATCGCGCGTGGCCCCAAAATTGGCGTCCCCCACAAATGCAGCTGAATCCTGGGTCGGCACGCTAGCGTCAATGTCAACCATTGCCAGCAGCAACCCTTAACGCCATCACCGCGTACCCAGTACGCTCTCCATACCAGACAGCTCACTCCATTAGTGCTGCATTCTCTCTAAGGATAGGATCGAATAAGCAAATCTCGATTCGGTACCTACAATCCCTGGATCGAGCACTCGCACCTATCGCCGCCATGTAGCGCATCCTTTGCTCAAGCTAGTCTGTCTAATTCATGATGCGAGCCAGGCCGCCTATGCACCACCTTGTAGAGTTCCCGCGAGATGAAACAACTCTTATCAGGCATGATCAGTCGTGATCAGGCGTGACCAGGATTCGTGGTCTAGGACGGGTCGACTGCCACTCTGCTGTTGCTATTATTGTCGTTGCTCGTTAAGAGTCGACGAGGTGATCCGGTTCAGGATTCAGCATCTATGCTGTGCCTCGTTTTTCTTATTCTTGGTAGTGTGAAAGGTCGCCCAGGCCTTCTCCCTCACTGCTTGTTTGCCAATAAGCTTTCCTTGGATTGGTTTTTCTCTTCCTGATCAACTACCATGGAGTCCGAACGCAATATGACAAATATGGACAACAAACCCTACAGCGAACAGACTGTCTACGGAGGCGGATACTTTCCAGACGAACTTCCAACGCGACCTGCTCCTACACGGGCAGCTGCCAGATGGACAAAGCTGCGTGGATTCTTCACCTTCTCGCCGTATTCCTACAACTTCATCCATACGCCGGATGGGCAGGCGCGAGTTCGGCGTATTGTCATGATTGTTATTCTTGTGCTCCGCAGCGCCATATCCGCGTTGAGCATTGTATCAGCAGTAATCAACCGCAACGTGGCCGGAATCGTCATCTACAGTCTTCTGGCGATTTTGAGCTTGTGGTTCACGGCAACTTGTTTGGCAATCATTGGTAACGCCGCTGGAAATCGAAACTATTCTGGACAAGTCATTGTGAGTCACCCAAAGTCAATCAATTCCACAAGCGTAAAGCATGTTGGCTAACGACTGCGCTAGAAACGCTGGTATTTCGATATCTTCTTGGGAGTCTGTCTGCTTATCCATGCAGGACTGATTGTCGCTTGGTGCTTCGGACTCACGGGCTGGGTCTTGGAGGTAGCGGGAATTGGAATGTGGCTCGCCATTCTCGGAGTTGCTTTCATAGCGGGATGGGAGCCAAAGTCCTACTCATTGGTATGGGTCACTTGAAACGGGATCCGTCTCTAGCGATGTCGTCTCGACCATGGAGCAGCGTTCCAACCCGCCGGTACCACGCGGTGTCGACACCACTCTGAGCCCTGGTGTCGGTGTCGTCGATACAGCGTCGTCGACACCGCTCGGCTTTCCTAATGTAGTCAGTCCGATAAATATAGAGATAGAGTGCAATAGAGTAAAGAGTAGTGCTGCGGCATCTTTATGAAGGTGTTCACTACGAATGGTCTCTTCGTTTAGAGACGGTCGGCTCTCTCGTACGGCTTTTCGTTGTCCGGCTCCTAGGTACTAGCACTTTTTTATAAAGTTAGAGTGTCAGGAATGACTTAGCAGCGAGCTATCTAAGAAGTATATTATCGATTTATAGGCGTAGTGCGATATCGACTTCGAAGCTAAAGAGCTTTAAAGAGATGATCTACGATCCCGTACTATATATATATAGTCTTCTAATAGAGCTAATAGAGTATATTACGTAATCTAGTTTTATTCTTCTATAGATTCTTCTATATATTTAATGAGTGTAGTGAGTCGTACTTACGCGACCCGTGATCGATCGCCCTTAAGGCTATATCTAATACTAAAGTATTAGAGCTATCGTCGTATTATCTAACTAGATTAGATTTCTTAATAATAAATTCTTAATAGTATAAACTAAATATAAGGGACGTAAGTGTTACGGATTCGGCTAAACATCGGAAGGACGGACGCCTGATACAATCAGGCCACCAGCCAAGAGATGCGACTCGAGGAGTGCATCCTTATTACTAGCACACTCCCCGCATAGGAGGCGCACTCTTTCCTCTCTTACGCTTTGAGTCGTGTACAGTATCGACCATATACTATAGGGATATCTTAAATATACGCTTATCGTTAGATTCTGCCTACTTGCCAAGGAATCCCTAACAGTAAGATATAAATAGACTATATTACTAAGAATAATATAATTTAGTAAATAATATAAAATTAACTACGAAGAGAGTGTAACTATCTAGAGAAAGGAGTATAGCTATATATCTATATAGTCCTTCCGAATAAGGTAATATAGAATAATATACCGGTCTATTAGTATACTTTAGTTTAATATACTAGTAGTTTAGCTCTTTTCTATCCTAGGTTTTACGTGACGGGTTCATCCTCGTCTCTCGAGGCTACCTTGTGTTCGGTTGAGCTTCCTGTCTCGGCGCACCCCACGCTCCCGTGGCCTGCCCAAGGCTGTGTCTAACACTAATATAACGATGGAGAAGCCCCAGAACGCAGAGAAGATGGCCTGAAGACTCGCTTTGCTGATCGACAGCGGATAAGATTCCTTCATTGGAATGGTGAGGGCAACTTGCATAGCCGATAGTGCAAGAGAAAGGCACGCGAAGGCAAAGAAGAATGGTGTGATGCATTTGCTGAGGTAGACCTCGATCGACTAGTGCGGGACGTGGTAGAACAATCTTGAGGGTGCAAGGGTTGGCTGGAGGATTCGGACAAGCCAATTCAGCCGTGAGACTCGAAACTGGCGAAAGTGATAGCGCTTCGAAACCTCTTCATCATCAATGTCCCGGAAACGAGCAATAAATTCCGACCATCTGACCCAATCGATCTCTGCAGCAATAAGGTGATATTGCTTCGCTAATTTTAAGTCGAGAGGATGCCTGATTGAGAATGAATAGCTGCGCATGAAGCCTAGCGAAGTTGCACGATTGTAGGTCGAAAAACCATTGCTGCCTATGCTTGAATCGTTACTTCCTGAAGTCCTGCGCGATCCCCAGTGTTTGGTTCGGCTGCACAAATATGTTGACCAAAATTGATGATTGAACAGACAAGTTGGCACAGGCTTGGTGTAGATCTTACCATGATGGAATATGAGGTGCAGCTGGGGATCTTCAGCTGGAATAACGGAGATTGGCGATGGGTTGGACTTGCTGCCGCCATTCTACGACCGAACCATCACGACAGATGTCAAGCCCTCAGAACTGGAGGGATAGACGACGCCTCCCTGATGTTTCGCTCGTCACGTCGGAGTGATCTCTCACCCATCAAACTGGACTTCTTGCGACTACTACGACTTACGCGACAGTTTGAAGTTACCGACGTATGCGACAGGGTCGATGGACTCTTGGGTATCGGTACCCTCGATAAATGATCCCGAAAAGGGCAAGCTCTTCATGAAGCCCGATTGTCAAGTCACCACAGCTGAATTATGGAGAGACGTGGCCATCAAAATTTTGGCAGCTACCAACGACTTGTCACTTCTTTCCTGCATCCAGGATCGCACTGGTGATCTGGAGTCTGATTCCCGGTTGGCCTTCCTGGATCCCTCAGTGGACCATGTTTTCAGATTTACAATCTCCGACCAGTTAAGGCAGTCGAACGTGCCAAATCTCCACAGAGGACCTCCGATCGGTTTATCATGGAATCAGACTCAGACTCGAGCTGCCAAGACCAAGGAACCACCACCACCACCACCACCACCACCACCACCTACCGCCTGGTTGGCGAATGCTACGTGGAAGGACTGATGAAAGCCGAAGCCATTGAGTCCTTGGCCACGGGAGAGAGCCTACAAGGGCCCCTCCCACCGGATCTCATCTTGCAGACGATTCTCGGACAATGGCACTTTACAAAGGAGCGCGTGAAGGAGGCACAAGGGGAACTGAGAAGCGTTGCAACTCAGCAGCTGGAGAAGACGTGGTTCGATATAAGATGAAAGCTCTTCGGTTATGGAAGCGCTGAAGTTAATACTGAAGACGTTCTAGAGGAAACTGGATTGTTCACACTTGCCACCGCGCCTCGGCGGAGCAGCCCCGGTCGCCTGGACTGTCTACCGCCGACACAGAGTGGTAGAAGCCGTTATCAACATCCAACAGCACGGGCACAACAAGCAATGTAGCGGAGGTGTAGCGGAGGCTCGAATGTGGGAGGTAATACCAAGTCAGCAATAAGCGCCTTCTACATTCAGCACGCCAGTGTCAGACGCTCTGCTCTCATGATTCGATGCCCTTGCCCTTTTCCAGCATTTCACCGACTGAAACCGTCTCTGGAGATCGAGTGATGTCTGAAATCGCGGTGACGATGCTGCTGCTGCTGCTGCTGATGGATCGATAGACTCGTGAGAGGAAAAAGGAGGGCAAACATTCCGCCGGTTTCAAAGGAGGTCTTTCTTCCTTCCTTTCTTGTATAAGCTGCAAGCAAGCCATGTACGTACGCGGTATATACTGACTAGATAGCGAGCCACCAGCCACACACAAGACTACAACTACGTCTACGACTACAACTTTCCCAATGTCTCCTTCTTCAGCGTGAACAGGTTCCTCTTCCCATCATTACGGACCCGGCCCGTCCTTCCGATCTTCTCGTCCGGTCCGGACGAAAGCTGCTCTAACGTCTCCTCGTCGGCGTGATTGGCGATGAACCGGTGATCGGTGCTCTTCAGCCTGCCGACGATGTATGCTCGAAGGGGCGTGTTGTCGCGATTGAATTCAACCGTGTATGTCTGTGTTGTGCGAAAATGTCATATCAGCTACCAGCTCATTTCTGGCTCGTTCCGGAGCATTTCCCCCCCCCCCCTCTTCCTCTCTTTATATTTGACACGCAGAGCGTGCGCTGGAGAGCAAGAAATTTTAACGTATAATGTTGCACGTACCTCTATAACAGCTTCGTGTTCTCCTTCGACCTTTGCATCGACCTTGGGGACGGGAAGGTCGGTCACAAACTCCGGCAACGGGTCTCTGTCAGGGTATGGAAACCCGCCTCGCCGACGCGTCGTCGATAGGCATAGCACATGCTGGTAGGTCATGACACCGCCGTTCGCAAGGATTAGGCCGTGTCGACCTTTCCCTTTGCGCAATTGCCGTGTCATTTCTGTTATTGCCTGAGAGGAAGAGAAAAGAGGAGGAGAGAAAATGTCAGTAGCAGATCCCATAGTAATCTCTTCAGGAAGAATGTGGCAGAGACTTACATGCATGGAGTAGTTGTTCCCTGCACCTCCGAAGCTGGTCAGCCCTCCGAGGAGAGTTATCGGTTTCGTCCCATGCGTTATCGGCAGGTTCAGATGTGAAGCGGCTATTTTCGGGACGATTGGGAAACATCTGGGGCGAAATAATACGTGTCAGAGAGACAAACAGAGAGAGCGAGAGAGACAAAGTGTGAGAGAACGGCGGCGGCGGCGGCCACTAGCTATTGGCCGTTGGCGTACTTACGAATAGAAGTCGAAAAGGTCGATGTCTTCCTTGGTGAGACCCGATACACGTAGAGCTGCATCGATGGAACGTTCGATTGACGGACTCGTAAAATAGTTTGGTCGTTCCCAAACTGGGCAATCAAAGATCAGTAACTCCACCCCAGAAAATCAGTGGATTTTGTGCAAGGGCGGTTCAAGTACGCACAATGATTGCTATCCTGCGTCCCGGCGCCGCCGAGGGCGTATATCCACTTTTCCTTTGGAATGCCCAGTTCTTCGGCATACACCGTCGATGTCAAAATACATGCACCAGCCAGATTGATGGTGTTGAATGCATTCATAAGGAGTGGATCTAACATCGTCCCCTTGTCAGCAAACCAGGCTCGTCGCTCTCTCATCCTTCCCATTCTCCGTCGTGCGCGGCGGCGATAACTTACAAGGGAAGCAAATCATGCGGTTGCGCTTAGTGACCGTCCCGATGACCTCCTTCGTGGCTGCCGGCTTGCCGTAATTCCAAGCGTAAGGCTGTTTCTCTGCCACCTGGGCGAATTCGGCGTACAGCTGCGCCGACTCGTCATGGTTTTCCGCTATTGATTGGCCCCGGTGCGCACGGAAAGCGTTCTCGAAGAGTGGATAAATGTGGATGGGGGCTCCTATTGAGTGAATCGCGCCAATATCTTGGTAATTTGTGAGCATATCTGACAAAAAAAAACCCATAAACCAAAAAAGGTGAGTACAGCGTATGGAATCCTGGATTACCTTTCCCCAGATCTCTGCGTGTTGGAGTAAAAGGAGTATCAACTCTTTCCCTCGTCTTGGTCCATCCTGGCGGTGGCAACTTTTTGGTAGCAGCACACGCGGTCACTGTGCCAAAGGAGCGAAGCATTAGCATCTAGACTCGCTCTTGCTGGAACGAGGATCCAGTAGGATGTGTCTCTCACACGATGCCAAAGCCTCTCCACCAGTAACGACTGCGACCTTCGTCTGCCCGGCTGAAATCCTCCTCGCTGCCTGATCGAACAATTTGGCGGGCTTATTGCCACCGTGGTCACTGTAGAATCTATGCCGTGCATCGACCCCTAGTCTTCGGCCAATATCACCCGGTAGGTCGTCATATGGCCAAGTCCATGTGCGGACTACCTCGATGCTGTCGATGGCAGATTGGAGTTGCTGTCTCTTGTCTTGGGCGAGACCGGTGTCTTCCAGCGCGATGGCAATGGAGTTGAGAATAAGTGTCAATGGCTCTTGTGCATCGGCGACGGAGGTTGAACGGTTGACGAAGTCGCCAACGCCGACGACGATAGGAATCTGAGGCGACATGGCTGGGTGAGATTTGAATCTGATGCCGGTAACGCGACGAAAATCTCACTCTTTTTACTGACAACACAAAGTCAATCTTTAATGAAAACTTGATGCCAGTCTCACGACTCGCAGACATCGACCCATCCCAAGAGGTGGAGAAACGCCTGCGTTTGATTGGACATAGGGTTGGACTGCCGAAGCAACGCTGATGACAAGCCACAGTAAGCCGAGTCTGGCCGAGGTATGTATGTCCTCGAAGCATAAGAAGCCGGACGCCGTGCCGCTGTGGTTGGTAGCCCGGTACAGCGGCCGCGCTTGAGCTCGATTCGAGGTTCGGAGTGCTGCGGGTTCTAATTGCACCCGGATCGACGTCAAGCGCGAGATCAAAAGAGCCTCAGATATTCTCTAGCAACCTTCCTGCCAGCCTTGCATGCCCCAGCCTTCTATGCGTTCGGCTGTGGCGTTTTATTCGTATCTCGGATCATCATAAATCCGGATACTGCGAGGACAGGAATGCCAGCGAAAATTCCGTGATCGAACTTCTCAGGAAAGACCTCGTGAAAGTGTGGGTAGGAGCCTGGCCGGATCCAAGTCCGCAAAACGTAGATTTCCTCGACGAGGGAAACCGAAAACAAAGGCGGACAGTTAGCTAAACGGGATCAGTGGGCTCAGCATGGCCCCAGAGATTGAGACACACAAACGCAGGACGAGGCACTCCGTACTTTTGAGAACGATGAGAGTCTGTGAATCCTAGGCTCTCGGTTGCAGGCGGCCTTCCGTGCAGTTCACGCCTCAAGACATGGCAGCCCTAGGAATCACCTTCTCACAGACACCAGGTAACAAGCCTAGGTGATTTGCCGCCGACACTTCTTAAAGTTATATACCAGAATCGAATCCAAAATCCAAAACCTTCACTGAACACTTGCCACCTGAAGCTTCGGCATGCACATGGAGCCGAAAAGAGCCGTACTGAGATCAAGCATGAAGTTGGGCTCCACGATGGAATCTCGTTTTCAAGCAGAGGCCGTGACGGTATATCGTTTTACCTGGTGGCCCACTGGACTCTGCGTGAATACAAGTACCGAGGGAGATGCGGAGTCTCTGGCCAGTGCTGTGCATGTAGTTGATCGAGACAGATACGAATCCAAGATTACCGCGCGAGCTTTGACCCTCAAAAGCTCCGCCTGCAAGCATTCTGCTGGATCCAATGAAGCTGCAAACCTGCAGCTGGTTGATTGCCGAGAGATGCACCACCCAAAGCGGAGGGTGATTCCTTGAAGCTTGGGCGAGTGTCTGGCAGCAGCACCCTCCACTCTGCTTTTCCTTGTCGGTCCTACTACATCCGCTTGGAGGCTTTTATGCGATTTATTGCAATGATGTGGAGATTATCCTAGGCAAGCACATGTTGAAGGTGTTTTCAACAGGTTTTGAGACGCAGAAGACGAACTTGGCTTGCATAGGCATTCAGCTTCACGTTTTAGATCGAATTACCGTGCAGTGTCCCCTAGATATTGGCATATTCATTGCACACCTTGTCCATAGCTAGGGTTGGCAGTCGGCGATTGTTGAGGCTGATCCTTGTGAGAAATCCTCAAATACTTTTTGGGGCCCGGTACATCATCTTCATGGAGACTATATTGTTTCGTCTTCGTGTTCACCAGCGGCCTCAAGCGGGAGGAGAGCGCCGGAGAGCCACTCGAGTGAGTTCTCCGGTGGATATAGAATGCGTTTTCCAAGGCATTGACAGGGGGCCTGTGTAATACCGAAACATAAAATGCCGGTTAATAGTTTATGCGCCACCGGGAAGTCGACCCCTTGCAAGCTAATGGAGATCTCGCCTGCATGGAGATCTTGTGGAGATTTTACCGGCAGATTTTGATGCCTATGCGGAGAAGCTGGATGGGATTTTCGCACTTTCAATTCTTGATTGCGGTGCCCAGCTCCAGGGACCAGGAACCCTCTTCATACTTTAGCCGTGAGATCCATTGCCACTATGCCCGTTCACTTGTGGGGGTCGCCTCCACGTCCGGTCAACGGAGCCGTTCCGTGCTTGTTGGGATCTCGTCATATAAGCATCGGATTCTCTTGGGCTTTGACATATTCAAATCTCACGGTTTGAAGGTTCGATCTTTTGCTAGTTTTTGCCGGATTGTTGTGGTCTTTGAGCATTAAACAAAACATGGCCGACGAAAGCAGCATGGATGATTCGCTTGAGCTCTTCAAGAGAAGAAGCCGTATGGCTCGATGGCGACAATATTTGGCGGAGGATGCGAACAAGGAGTGGGGAGATTTGATCTTGATTGTCGCGTGCTTCATATCCGGCCTTGTTGATAGTGCGGTCTTCAACGTCTGGAGCTGCTTCGTGAGCATGCAAACTGGTCAGTTGTCCAGGTATGCGTAGCGGTCAAAAATGTGGTTGCTGATATGCTGGGCTGCAGGAAACACCGTTTATGCCGGTCTGGGAATGTCTGGTCAACCTTTAAGTCAGCCATATCGCTGGGTCAAATCTGGCACCGCCATCCTCAGTTTCTGCTTGGGAACCTTTTTCTTCAGCCGAGTCTGTCGTTTCTTGGGTCCGCTTCGCCGAGGCACTCTAAGCGGCTCGTGCTTCTTTCAAGCTCTGCTCTGCTTTATCAGTGGGGTGCTTGTGGTCAGCGATGTTGTCCCCAACGATGCCGGCGATCAGCTACCCTACAACTACATCGTCCTGCTTCCTCTGGGGCTCCTCTCATTCCAATCGGCTGGCCAAATCGTGATGAGTAGGATGCTGTCGTACAACGAACTGCCGACAGTCGTCCTGACAAGCACATACTGCGATTTGATGTTCGACCCGACCCTATTTACGGCACCCATCACTCAGAATCCGAAGCGCAACCGCAGATTTGTGTCCGCCGTAGCGCTCCTCCTAGGCGCTGGACTCGGAGGTGCCTTGACTGAGGGTGGAGACATTTCTAACCCACTATGGATTGCAGGAGGCACCAAAGTTGTGATGGCCGTGGTATGGCTCTTTTGGAGAGCGGAGGGATCAATCCGGCTGGAGTGAACCAGTCATTTCTAGCGACCAGTGGCGGTTGCGAGTTGCAGGCGAGGAAATCCCATCTGTGTTCATGACCGAATGGCAACGAGGACTTTGAGCGGCGGAAAGATCGAACCTCATGTATATATTGTTTTCAAGTAAGAGAAACGGGTTTGTTGATCATTCCGTCAGCAACGATCAACCGCAGCGCAGGCCGAGAAGCGCAGCTCCACAGAAGTATGCTGCCGCACGTGATGAGGCGGATAATCATATTGTTCCGAGAAAAAGGGGTAAAAGGGGTAGGAAGGGCAAGGAAGGGGCTACAATCGGAAACCCATACTCGGTACTGGGTATTACCTCGTAGTCCCTACGTGGTGATTATTCCTCTGCTTTTTGACTTGCCGTGAATACGTTTTTCCGTCGCTTCTCGATCTTCAACATTCGACGCTCTTGGCAGGTGCTGTTACGGATTCCGAGATTGACCGGTGGAGCTGACCGCAAATGGGCTGGAAAACATGGCCTTATCGCTCGCATGTCCGTGGCGAAATGCCATCCACCTCGCGGTGTGTGGAGAAAACCGGATCAGGCTGGTGGGCTCAGCTGCTGGCGGTGAAATTGCGGCGACGGCTAAATGTTACCACAGGGGGAGTTGAGTTCTGAGAATAGTGGACCAAAAGTTTCGATAAAATGGCATCTGCTGATAGATATCTTGCATCCACAAGGGCCTCATATAACAGAAGCTTCTTCTCTTCTGCTGGTCCAGACTATACAAAAACAACGCCTTTTGGCAGGTCGCATCGCAGCACTCTATGTGCTCTGCCCTTCTCTGTCTTCCACAGAAGCAAGTCGAGGTCAGCGCTATCGGCTCCCACTGCGGCTGCCTGTACCCATCTTATGCCTTTGCGCATCATGTTCGTCGCCATATAATCGTCATCATTCATACACTCGTACACTCAAAACCGAGCCGGTACCCTGACCCATCACTCGCAAAGACAACATTCAAAACAACAAGTTGAGGCAAAGACCTGCTCCTCTTTCAAAGAGCATGCTGGGGTATTACATCTTCTCACGATGAGTGATAGTTGTGTTCTCCTCGCTGCTGCTCTCCGTCTTGACGACGACCTCGCAGATTTCATGGTCTTGTCTGGAGGCGACCACAGCGTCCTTGACGGTGCGGAACACCCTGACGCAGGTCACTTTCGAGGTGTCCATTGAGTCGTCTCCATCCAACAAGGTCCATCCCGCTCGCTCAAAGCGCTGTCTGGTCGTGTCATTGAGGGCAACGAACCGCACCTCGGTGCCATCACCGGCGTAGTGTCTCAGCTCTGCAAAGAAGTTCTTCAGGCCCACGACACCGCTGGTGTCGAAGTAATTGACCTTTGAAAAGTCAAGGACTACAACATTGATCGGCGGTAAGCTGGCTCCCTGGGTCTTGGCCTTCCTGCGCAGCCGTGCGATGCGTTTCTCTGCCTCGACGGACCAGTTCCGCTCAGCCTCCTCGCCGTTGCGGCTGTTATATTCGGGAGCATGGTATGTTTGGATGACGTCCAAAATATTGGTCTTGACCCTCTGGATGTTGGGGAAAAAGAAGGACTCTTCGAAGCGGAAGACGCGGGTGTCCGGAGGAATGTGGGGTGGCATTCCGCGTGCAGCATCCAATGACGCCGCAAGTTCCGAACGCGAGTCTGCTCCGACTGTCTGAATCTGCTTGAAGACTTGGCGGAGCAAGACATATACGACATTGAATCCCACGGCGCTAGCGATCCCAATTTCGGTGGAGGTGAACAGCGAAACCCAGAATGCAACCATTGCTGCGACAAAGTCCGCAAATGAGGTTTTCCAGAAATGGTAGTAAGTGCTTGGTTTGCCGATGAGTGGCCAGATAGCCGTGATGACAATGGCAGCAAGTGTGGCTTTCGGGATCCAATACAAGGCTCCAGTCATCTTGTAGATGGAGAGAACAATGACACCGGTGGTGACCAGGCCAGAAAGAGGAGATTTGACATTGCATTGGGAGTTGACGGCCGTTCGGGACATGGCCCCACCAACACCCATGACTGTGAAGAAACTGTTGAAGATGTTTGTCACACCCAGGTAGCAAAGCTCTTGACTGGGATCTATGACATAGTTGTTCCTCAGGCCAAAGGCCCGAGAAATTCCAAGGTGCTCGATGGAGGCACCCAGAAAAGCGGCGATGCTGCGACTGACAACTTTTCCAAAGAGAGCCGAGTCCACAGCCTTGGGAGTATGTATGCTGAGAGACGGGACCTTGCTGACATCGAATAGGTATTCTTTACTATCCCGACCCTTGTTGACGGCGTAGCTGATGCCGGTGAACAAAAGAAGAGCGATGAAAGCCCGAGTGATGGACAAGAACCATATGATCTTGTTCTTGCTTCCCCATCTCTCACCAGCCTTTTGCAAGGCGACCAGAAGAATGATGCCGGCAAATCCGACACCTGCAGCACGACCATTGCAGGTACCGAAATTGGTCAGGATATCATGGATCTGGTTAGCGGTACCACTGCCCACATTGCCCTCGCCGATGAGATTGGCGACTTGACCGAGACCAATGGTAATGGCAACAGCGGAGATGAAGCCTGTGAGCACTGGGTAGGAAATGAAGTCGAGGAGAAAACCCAACTTCAAGACGCCGAGGCCGGCCATGTAGACGCCCATGGAGAGTGCAACCGCGGATGATATTGCCTCTGGGGTATACCCTTCCTTTTTAAGATCGTCCACGACTTGTGCGGTCATCAAACCGATCAATGAAGTTGGTCCAGTTGAGACATCTGCTACAGTGTAAGTAGGCCATTTTTCCCTTTCAAAAGGTAATTCAGGAGATCACTGCACCTTTTGACGTGCCCATAATGGCGTAGATAACCGCAGGCGCCCAACAGGACATGAGACCATATTGCACCGGGATTTTGGCGATTTTGGCGTAGGCAAGACCTTGGGGAATCAACATGAGCGACAGGGTCAAGCCAGCCACAAAATCGGTCAGCAGCCACCGATAATTGTATCGAGGCAGCCATCCAATGATGGGGGCCTTCTCAACGACATATCTTCCAGCTACTTCTGGCGCAGCACGCAAGCCCTGAATACCATAACGGATAACCCGGTTCCAGGTAACATCAGTCTTGAAGTCATTCTTCACCCTCTCATAGATCTGCATTGTGATAGCAGTCCTTAGAACAAAGATTGGAGCGGCAATTCAGTATGGAGGAAGGCGGAAGCAGACGAAGGAAGGAGCAGATTGTCGAGAATGATATTGAACAGGATTGAAGGAGGCTTTTGATAAGCTGGGGAAAGAGGCCGGGAATATAATCAATATGCATGTCAGGATGTGACAGAAGACAGCCCCTTGTCATGCAGGATAACCCGGCAAACCCATGTCGTGTTGGCTGGTGTTTGTGATGTTCTTTCGTTGTTCGTTTAAATGTATGCTGCATTGGCCAGTCGCTAATCAGGGTATTATGTGCTTGGTCTAGAAACGAACAAGATGTGAAGAGCTAGCGGGGAGCTGCCGCGGAAGGCACCACTGGGATGTTGAGTGTGAGGGTGAATTGTGGGAGAGTGTAAGAAAAGGACAGAAGATCGGAGAGTGAGTTTGTTCGGGGCCCAAGGGGAAAACGTGGGTGAGCGGCGTTGCTAAGCAGGATTGGCGGTGGAGCTTAACAGCCTAGCGGACCCACTAGTGCCACGCTAGAGACCCACTAGTACGGAGTAGGTGTTGTTGCAGGGTATAGTATCAACCAATCACATGGTGTGGGATACCCCAATGGCACATCTGCAATGCGGGGGTGGAGACTGTAATTGGAGGAAACAGTTGCGCCTCTCATCAACGCCCTTTACCCATTCCAACCCCCCCCAAAAGCTGAACAACCCCAGTCCAAGCCCAGTAGCAACTGTCCTCGTATTCTATTTCGTCACGAACACTCTTACCACGTACGCTTAAACCATCTCCCGAACCGCTATTCCAAACTCTGCCACTTCTTTTACGCCTTTCAACTATTGCATGAGCCAAGGCACTCCTCTGCCTTGCAATTTGCCTACCAAGCTTGACACCGGGCTACTTTCAGATATAATAGATCCCCCCCCGAAACGCTGCGCCCCGCGTGGCAAGTTCCCCGGGAGACCTCGTTTTCGCAACCAGATCCGGGGTCTGGGGATTGTTTGCGAAGAGGAACAATTTCCTGGGGAATTCACACACGCTCGCGTGGTGGCTTTGTTCAGAGACCAGCTGTTGTCAATACAGCATCAATACCATAAATCCCGTAAGGGCTTCAGCTCGGGAAAACAAATAGGCTGTATCTAGAGGGTTCCTAGAGAGCAGACTTATCGACGCCCTCTTCCGAACCGCCAACATGCCCAGCCGGTGCCGGTCGCCTCTCACTTCGGTTATGAGATCCCTGATCTAAATTGGACGTCAATATCTGCAACCCTCTGCCGTGTTCCGCATCTTGAGAGAGACACACAATCCTTGATCGGTGCTCCGCCCCTTCAGAAAGCTCGTATGACCACCTCGAGTAGAGAGCTCCTCTTCTAGACCGTGGGCCGGTACTCGGTAGTTCAGCACCGTAATCGGCGGTCCCAGACGGGTTCCTTCAGGTCCAATAAGAGCCTACACATATCTTACCCCGTTATAGCTCCAGGGTAGCCTGTGGCAACATGCATACACCCAGAACAGACAGACCCAGTATGATCCCTAGTCTCAGGCAGTGAGCATGATCCGAGGCAGGGACTGTGGCGATGACAGTCCCTGTCAATGTGGCCGACTCGTTAAGTCACAGAGCTGTGAAGGAAAGGTCTTTGGAGTAGAGAAAACGATTTATCCCGACCTTTATATTCATATCCAGACGCTGGGTCGGGGACGTTCGGGCTAATAGTTATCACAGTCTGGACCACGGCATCAACACCGGAGATGAGAACGGCTATTCCCCCCTTCATCGGACACCGACAAATTTTCGTAGCACGTCCAATCTTGTCTTTTTGATATTGATAAAGAAAGCAGATAGCACTTGGTTTGCTGGGAACCTGTGACATGCAATGCCTCTGTTCGAGGGTCGAGCCTGTGAGGAAGCAGCAACCCACATTAGAAGGAGTGAAGGGCAATGATCGTCCTCCCGCCGACCACAGCACCAAGCAGCTTCGAGGATAGACACCAATGTTCCCACACCGGTCCATTCCAGAGAGTCCGATGCTGTTCTCTTCGAACGGTACCAGACTGCAAGAACTTGCGCAGTCGCATCCGCATGAGAGTACCGTCATTCGAAGTCACTTGATCTGCTGGGTGAATATTTAGCCAAAAGCACGCTCGTCGCCCACAAGGCAGGTCCCTAGATTCAAGGATGCGTGGACACACACTTCTCAGCTGAGAATTCCTCTTAGTGTAAAATGAATGTGTTGAATGCTCCAGGATTCTGGAGCATGCGGAGCCCCAGCTCACGGAAAACGGCAACCATGTCACAGGCTAAAGCCCATTCGTCATTTTGTCGCAAAGATAACGTACCTGTGGCTAGCCTGGATGATTTCAGCGAGAACTTGCGATCTGGCCTGTCAAACTCTTGCCACCCACCTCGTGCCGGCTGGGCAATTTGATCAGCCGGCAGGCGGCTCTCGAGCGCATCTAATATGGGTGGCGCACTAGTGCTCAGAGGGCACGAGTATCCAGAAACCACATGGCCGATGTCGCGAAATGCCTTGTCAGATATCTCGGATCATACGACCTTACTTCATCTCAAGCAACAACATGTCCTCGAGTGGAGGCGACGACCAACCCAACTTCTCCGAGGTTTCAGGATCTCTGTAGAGCTTGTCGTAATGGATCTTGATCGAGTGATTGACGTTCTGGCGACACAACGAGGCATGAAAAGTTGCCACTCTGCTGACGATGGCCGAGGTCTCTCGGGGCGAGAAGCATCTAGTCCAGAACTGACCTCCACCAGCCGTTCAGCCCGGCGTCTCCTTCGAACATCCTATCCTGGAGTTCAGTAACACTTGCTGTAAAAAGATCTCTCCACCACAAAGGCCATCTTTCGGTTAATGAATCAACCAAGAGCTTCAAGCTGGAGACTGAGGAAGAGTCGCGGAAGTCGCAGAATCACCGTCGTGTCTCTATACGGCCAGTGTGTGTGACTGCGTCTTTGGATTCTGGCGTGCGTGGGGTTCGATTAACCCGGAATCTAGATTTGTAATTTTCATCTCTTTGGTCAAAGTACTTGCGGCAGCGGATCGTGTGGCAAGTGACTTGTCTGCCCTCAAGGGCCCCTGGTCTTGGGCCGGCCATGCCATGCTGGGCGGCTCCGTTGTTGCTTCCGGCTACCAAAGTCAGAGACTTTCTCAGGTTGAGTGATCATGGGCCGACCAACCTTCATTGTCATCCTGTATCTGAGTAAGAGCAGTCAGTGACCCTGGCTCGCACCTTCGAGTTGCTGCTACGTTTGGCCTTCGTTAATTATGACCTGGAGGAAGGGCATCTAAATTTCATTGTCGCAGCTATGAGCAGATGTCTCAGTCTGTAAATTTCGTTCCATTGTGCGTGTCGCAGGCTCATCCACAGAAAACCGTGGAGAGGAATGTAGACGAAGTTAAGTAGGCGCTAAAGAAAAGGTTAGCCATATTTGTACTGATGCTATTGATTACGCCGTTAAGCTTATTGATTTGGGTACGGGGTGAACCAATCACAAGTCATGTAGCTTTTATTGATATGTTTCTATGCTCACAAGGAGCCACAGCCCGGAAGTGACGAGTTCTGTCAGACTGATTCACTTCAAACCAGATCGAACTCCAAATACAATGGTGTCAAGGCAATAAGAAAAAGCAAAACGTACCGCCTGAATCATTATCCTAAACATTTTCGTGATTCACCAAATAAACAATGCCCGACAGCGAGCAGCATCTGTATGAGTCTTCAAAACAGAATTTGCAGGAAAATCATGTATTGAGAGGAACGAACTGTCTCGAAAAATGAAGACAGACGATGTCTTTGCAGTCGCCGGTAAAATAATTACAGCCGAATAGCTCGGAGAATGGCCTTTGATGCGGCTCAAAGATCTCGCAGACAGCCGTCGGTATCGGTACAGTAATTTCTGGGGAGATTGCTCTGACAGACACAAGGAAAAAGGTCAGTCGGTTGCAATATACTCGCAGAGTTGAGCTTGCTAGCTAGAGTATTTACAAATCCTGTATGGAGATCTTCATTGAAAAATGGGGTAAGTCGAAGATCAATGGTGGAAGATTGCATTCTCCGTCTTTGAAGGTCAAGTCAGGACTGTGGCCGTCTACCAGTCACCACGTGCTCTCATTTTGTCATGCAAACTTTGCCAATGATAGACAAGCCTCAAGTCGACTGCACTCAAGACTCCTTGGACTTTGCATTGGACCTGGGTTTCTTTGAAGGGCAGGCAATGTCCTAGGCGAAGACGTCGCTTGAGAATTTGCTATACCAGAAGTCAAAGCACAATGCAAGGCGTCTTTTCTCAGAGACAGTGTCCTGTAGCATTTTCCACTTTACGCGAACAGATATTCCGCAAACTGAAAGCACTCTGTGGTTGCTCAGTGTCAGAGCGCAGGTTGTTCGAATATCAGATCGATCTACACATGAGACCTTCAAACCATAAGCGGCACCTGTTTTGAGACTTTAGAAAGCTTCTCAAGACCAAACCGACTTGAGCACATTCTTTCACACCGAGAATCCAATGACGAGTTCGACAGGGGGTCCTCGACACCGCCATCTATAGAATAAAGATTGAATAACCTGGACAGGGATGGTGGAATGATCTTGCTAGTGCGGCGTGTGATTCAGACCTGAAGTTAATGTTCGTCATCCGGACTGCGCTGCTCGTGTTTTGAGTTGATACCCCGAATCACGACAGCATAGGCTGATGTCGTCTCAAATACTGGGCGGCCAAACGGCCTCATGGCTGAATTCTCCGGCGCGAGGAAACAGTTGTCGATAGGTTGCCGTTGGACGATGCCAACAACCCAACGTGGCCGTCCGAGAGGTCCCTGATAAAACCGAAGATAGGTTCTGGGGAAATGGTGTTGAAAACCAAGGGATGGTCTAATGCCTGCTGTGATCTCAATGCTTGCTGGCCAAGGCTGCTCTGAGCTCTTCAGCCTCAAAATTCAACACTGCAAAATGCTCGTAGATGCTGCGATGGCTAGGCACACTCCGAAACGCAACCTCTGTGATTCCTTCTTCCTCTCGGAGAACACGGCCGGTCGAAGGAGCCTAATTGGGAGACTTGACGCGTACTGCAAGAAGGAGAGATTTGATCGCTGCAGACTGAAGACGACGATCATATGGGGTGTAGGTTCATCAAACCATGAGGCAAACTATGAGAGAGGTTTCTAGTGGATGGAGAGATCGTTCGCCAGCGACTGCATGCCGGTACGCCAAAGCGCACTTGTTTGGCTGGACGCCAGCCTCTGACAGCTTATGTACGTTGCCTCATTCTGGAAGCGAAGCGCAGAGCTAGATTCATAACAGTGTATGCTGCGAGATCGACTCGGCAGATGTGGAGATGGATGCCCGAAAGCTCCCCTCGACCTTCCCGAGTCTTTCCGATCAACCGCTTTCCGAATGTGCCCCGGTTCCACGAATCTAAAACTGCTACAGCTAGGATATGCTCAAAGATCAGTTCGCGGCTCGGATCGTCTCTTATCCTAGCACTTTTTGCTGCGAGCCATCTTTGCGGGGGGGGGAACGTGGTTTGATTCCGCTTCGGATCTTCATATTTATGGACCCCCTTTTCAACGTCAGCCTTGTACACCATTTGACGTAAATGACAACAAGGCTGATCGGATTATGTACCTCGACATTTAGAGCGATCTAGGACATCTAGCACTCGAATAATTCATACTGCCGTTAGCCCGCTAGAAAGGACCGGATTACTCTTTGTTTCTGACGCTGCCAGTCAAGTCAGCCCCATTTTCAAACCCTCTCAAAAACAGGCATCACGGCTAGCGGGCAATCCACTTCCACCTTCTTTCCTCCCTCAAGGACCTGCACATCCTGAACCTCTCCATCATCAAATCTCTTCCACTTGGTGCCTCTGGGCAGATACACTTCTCTCCTTGTCATCCCTTTATACATAACTGGCGCCACAAGATACTTGTGTCCAAACATGTATTGGTCCTCCACTTCCCAACACTCTTTATCGTCAGGAAACTCGAGAAACAATGTCCTAATCACCGGCATCCCCTTGTTGTGTGCTTGTGCCATGAGGTCGCGGATATATGGACGAAGTCTCTCGCGCAGGAAAAGATATTTTTTCATGATCTGGTAGCACTCTTCCCCGTAGCACCATATTTCATTGGGGGCGCCAGAGAGGCAGGTAGCGCCGCCGGTAGTGCCGTGTTGAGGCTGCTTTGGTTCCCGATCACCGTGAAGGCGAAAGACGGGGCAGAAGCAGCCTATGTTGTGGAAAATATAATCAGCATCATCAGGAGATATGTGGAAGCGTAGACCGGGTTCGTTGGAAGCCCAGCTTCTGAGTCACTCACCGTATTGGAACCATCTAGCGCAGAGCTCACGGAATTCAGGGTGTTTAGGATTTCCTCCATGGAAGCCGCCTTGACGGAGTCAGCATAGTTTATAGAGCAACGGTCGCAGAGTACACTCGCCAATGTCCGTAGTCCACCACGGGATACCCGCAATTCCAACATTCAAGCCCGCCGCAAACTGGTCTCGAAAGCTCTCCCAGCTGCTCGCAATATCACCACTCCACAACAATGTCCCAAACTTCTGACTTCCGGCCCAAGCACAACGGATGAGATTACATACATCCTGCTGCTTGCCATCTTTCACCATTCCTTCATAGAAAGTCTTTGCATATTCCACCGGATACGCATTCCCTGTACTCAATACGCTTCCACTATAGTACCGATAAATATCAAAGTCATAGGCACTGTACTCTGGCTCTGCCTCGTCAAGCCAGAAAAGTTTCACCCCCTTATCATAATAATTCTTCTTGACTGTCTTCCAAACAAAGTCTCTCGTCGCCGGATTCGTGAAATCAGCGTGGACGGTCTCCCCTTGAAAGTCCATTGAGATCCGCAGTCCCCGGTCCTGTCGTATCAGAAGTCCGTTTTCCAGCATGTGGTCGTAATTTTCGGACCGCTTGTCGACTGTAGGCCAGATGGAAATGAGGAGCTCAATATTCATCGACTGAAGCTCCTTGATCATGTCGTCTGTAATGCAAAGTATCACGACATTTCGTCAGAGCTGCATTCTTCCACCTTGATAGCAGGGCCTTTTTCAGGAACAGAGTGAGGTGAAGGAGAGCCGAATTGGACTTTGATGGCTGAGGAAGGAGGGGGAAAGTGGAACTCGGGCGCTGACTCCGACGCCGACTCCTTCCACGTTGATAACAGTCTTCGCATGGCAGACTCACCGGGGTCTTTCCAGTAAGTGGGGTCGAACTTCCATTCTCCTTGTTTTGGCCCTGTTGTATCGCGTCAGTCACCCGTGGGAGGGAGGCCACGTGCTAAGAAATCACAGGTGGGAGCATACAGTGAAAGAAGTCCACCACAATGACATCGAGCGGCAAATTGCGTCTTCGGTACTCTCGTGCAACATTCAGAAGTTCTTCTTGAGTTTGATATCTCAACTTGCACTGCCAGAAGCCTAGTCCGTATTCTGGCATCATTGGCACCTTGCCGGTGATGTCCGCATAAGTTTCGATGATCTGAGCGGGAGTGTCACAAGACACAACCCAATAATCAAGCACCCTCGTGGAATAGGCCTCGAAGCTCATGGTGTTCTTGCCCAGGACAGCTCTGCCGACGGCTGGGTTGTTCCAAAGCATGCCGTATCCTAGGTTCGAGAGCATGAAAGGAACGCTTGCTTGAGAATTGCGCTGGGCCATTTCAAGGTCAAGCCCCTTCAGGTCAAGAAACGGTTGCTGATACTGGCCCATGCCATAGATCTTCTCATTCCGGTCGACGGATTCCAAACGGTAGGTCAGATGGTAGTCACCGCCCAGCAAAGGCTTGAACTCCCGTGCCTCAATCATCAAGGCGCTGCATTTTGGATCCTCGACATCGGAACGGTTGCGCTGATATTCTTCAAGTAGTAGCTCGCCTTTGGTGTTCTTGATGACGATTTTGCCCCGTGAAGAAACCGTGGCGCAAATGTTGCCATTGTTAATTGATGCATGGCCGTCCTGCATAGAAATCGAAACATTGGTCTTCGGGGGTGTAACAGTCAAGGCCCAATTTTCCGACGGCAGAGTATGAAACTTGGTGGCCCGAACCCGAAGGGCATTGGGACCCCAGGCTTCGATCTGAACATGTTCGGAATCGTAGGTATAGTGCAGAGCATCATCTTTGGAGAGTAACATGGTTGGAATACCTCGGGCAAGTTATCTCAATGCGTTTGAGCTTCGTGACAAGCCGCAAGTTCACCTTTCGACCTCGTACCTCTGAAGAATGTGCTGAAGTTCCCCCGCCAGATCCGAGCTAAAAGAACAGAGGGTTGTAGTTTCCTACCGTGTGGAGTGGCTATGCAGCACATAAAGTTGCCTGATCAGCCACGGAACTTCTCGAATAAGTTATCCCGCCCGGCTGAATTGCGGAGATGGGTCTGTGATATCAGGCACATTTCGGATGGGCCATCAGTTCCGCCCATGGTCACCGTTACCTTTTACGACTCGGATTCTTCGTAGTAGTCTTCTTGGTATCCTCCCGGTCCTCAGTGCATAACCCCAAATTGTGAGCTGTGAAGAGGGTGTGATACAACGCATAAACAGCAAGATGCGCCGAGACACCGCGCCGCCGAGCCAGGACCGGAGTGGCGGGTTCCATTCGAGCATTGGAATGGTCATTTGATCTCCAGAATGAGAAGTATGGTTGAATATAGAAATGAGCTTAACCGAAGATTGATGCGATTGAATTTTCCAATGAGTATTAGTACTGTCGCACCAGGACGAGGATGATGAGTTTTTACCGTCGAGGGTGTCCAACACCAAGGTCACGTGCGTCAGCCAATCGAGTGCCTGCTTGGTCACGTGTCAGGCTGCGACCTTTCCCGTGGCAATAATACTGCATTTCCGAAACACCCTGCACACTCTGGTGCCTTGTACAACACTCCGTACTTATCCCGACTTGCCCGACCTAGCCGTTCCATCCGCCGCGTGGAGAGATAACCAAAAAAACACCAAAAAGCTCACTGTGGTTTACTCCTGACTGTCAAATCATCAAGGACATCAGTCGTCGTCCCTCCTCTTTTCGTTTCAGCAACCTGGAACGCACTTCCCTCGCCTCCTATATCCAATCCCTTTGCCGCCCGCTCGTACGCTTCATCGCTCCGATCCGTCAAGATCCTTATCTCCTCTTCGCTCAAGATTGGCCTTCTCTTTTTGCGGTTTCCTTGCCCATCTGCGTCCTCGTCCTCATCCAAATGCGGGACGTCATACTTCTCGAATTCGTCATTTACAAGCGCACCTCTGATGTCATCCGCATCGGCGCCGGACGAAAGAAGAGACTTGAATTTGCCCTTTTGAATGACCAATTTCTCGAGTTTCCGCTTCGTGTCTGCCTTCAGGAGTAACGTCTCTTCCACAGTTCCCCTCGTCGCAAGACGATACACAATGACGGGTTTCGTCTGACCAATACGGTGTGCGCGATCCATCGCCTGTAGATCCTGCTGTGGATTCCAGTCTGAGTCAAATAGGATCACCGTGTCCGCTGCAGTCAAGTTGATCCCTTGCCCGCCAGCTCGCGTTGTTAGGAGGAACAAGTTGTAAGATTTATCCGTGTTAAACTTGGTGATTTGTTCGTAGCGCTCTTCTTGGGCAACCGAGCCGTCAATGCGACATACCTTCCAGCCGCGCAGCTCTACGGCGTAGGTTTCCAAAATGTCTAGTGTAGTTTTGAATTGGCTGAAGATGAGGACTTTATGCCCTAATCGGAAGAGCCGAGGGAGAAGTGTGTCGAGCAGAAGGATCTTTCCCGACGCCGTGACCAGGCTTTCATCAACGTGTGGGTAGTCACCTGATTTCTCTTCGGCGGCCGTACTAGGTTGCCAGGGCCAGTAGAAGTTGTGCGGACTGTTGCAGACGAGACGTGCTTGCATCACGGGATTCTGCAGCTTTTTGGAAGCGATCTCCCTTTTTGCAAGTTTGAGCGTTTGAGCCTTTTCGAGCTCTTCTGCTTCCTCGGAAGAGATTTCTTGCGAATCCGCTGATGAAGAAGCACGGTCCAGGTTGACATCTTCATCCCCCTGTTCAATCCGCCGAAGTCGAGCATTGAATTCCCGGTCGGTGATATCTCGATAGCTTGTGCGCGCTGCTTTGCGGCCCCGTCGAATGGAGCCGGTGGAAACAACCGAGGCTGGTGTTGAGGCTCGACTTGGTTTCAAGCTCTTCGCAGGTGTCCCCCGCCCGCTAGTGGTTGCTTTTCGCTTGAGTGAAGCAGTCCGACTTCTGGCCTCAATGCGCTCGGCGGCCTTCTCTTCCAAATATGATCTGCTTGTGCCTGCTAAAATCTCCCGGTACAATTCTTTCTGCTCCGAGGTCAGAGGTGCATATAGAATGTACTCCCGCTTCTTGGGAAGGTCCGACTCCACGTCCGCTTTGATCCTTCGAAGGAGGAAAGGCTTAAGAATGGCATGCATAGTCGACACGAGGCTATCCCTACGTCTCAACGTTTTCTCGTCTGCATCCTTCTTGCCTTCCAACACACTGGAGAAGTCGAACCACCGCTCAAAGCTATCGAGGTCGTTGAAAACTTCGGGCAGCAAGAAGTGCAGAAGCGACCAAAGCTCGGCGATGTTGTTCTGGAGGGGCGTGCCCGTAATCAGAAGTCGATTGGCAGAGTTGTATGTCATCAATTCTTTGATCAATTTGCAATTCATGTTCTTCAAGCGATGTCCCTCGTCCACGATGATGTATTTCCATTGATAGTTTGCCAGGAACTTTCGATCATTCATGCAGATCTCGTAGCTGGTGACAACAACGGGGAACTCGTACTTGAATTGATCTTGCATCTTCATATTCTTCCGCCTCATTACCTCGCGCTCGTCTTTGCTGCCATGGTAGAGAATCGTGTTGATGCTCGGGGTCCAGCGTTTAAATTCTTCGACCCAATTTCGTACAGTACTGAGGGGAGCCGCGATCAAGAAGGGTCCTGAGATATTGTTCTCCTTGAAGAATGCAATCAATGAAATCGCTTGCAATGTCTTCCCAAGACCCATCTCGTCCGCTAAGATGCCAGAGAGACCATTCATCCAAAGCGATTTCAACCACTCTAGACCTTCAAGTTGATAGTGCTTCATTTTTCCACCAGTGACTAGAGAGGGTTGCTCGGTTGCGACAAGATCCTGGGTCCCAAGTCCCTGACCTTCATATTCGTCGGCAGCCTCTGCCAGCGCTTCCTGGACTGTTGGACCCTCTTTCGAAGCCTTAATAGCCTCTGAGTCAAAGTAATGAGTGATGTTCTTCTTCGCAATATTCACCTTCTTGGCGGCACGTCCCCGACTTCGAGTGGCCTTCTCCTCCTGGCCTCTCTCCTGCCCACCTGCATTGTCCTCGTCCTGAGCGTGTGTTCTTGCAGATTTTCTCGTTGGGGCCTTCGGTTCAGCAGCCTTGGCAGCTTCATGCCTCTGCTTCGCTGCAGCCCGTCGAGCCTGTTCTTGATTGCGCTTCTGCTCTTGCTTCATCTTGTCTGCCATAATTGCAACGAATACCGAGCTTGTTTTGAGGAGGTTTGTAAGCGCCCGCGATTTATAGTCCATCGCTTCGGTGTCATATCCGTCTACCTCCATTTTATTTTCATCTTGCACTTCCTTGTCCCCGTCGGCAGCTGCTTTGACTTCGGCAGGGCTACCATTGATCGGTGAAGATGGCGGTGTGCTTTTGTCAGAAGACATGGCTGGCGTCGTTGGTTCCGATGTTGCAGAACTTGTTGCCATTGCTATCGCTGTATTCTGGATCCAAACATCGAAGGGAAACTCATGCGGAGTTCTGCAATCGAAGGCGTCCTAGCTCAGCAAACGGCAACAAGTGTGCGAATCACACAGAGAATGTTGTCTTGGAGGACGCTACCAACAACGTCAAGAAAAAGAGACCACAACTGATCTGGAATCTCGAATCGGGGTGCATTCTGGATTCCTTAAGCTGGTCTCGCTAGAACTGACCCCTTGCGAGAAGAATGTGGTGTCGTCACGAAAGCGGGAAGACACGCCCTTTCATTATCCACTATACGCGTACGCGTTGGATCGGCGCTAAGATCGTAATTAAGTGCGAAAACACCAGGCACCTGCAAGAACGAGTACCAGGGGTATGGCCACTAAAGCTACGAGTATGAGTACGCCCACGTCTGGCTGTGCTCTGATGGCCCATCCTGCGAGCATGACTGGATCAGGAGCAGCTGAAGAACAATTATCCTCCCATCGAACTAGCCGTGCTGTGGGTATTTCTCTATTATAGAACAATCTTGCTTCTGAAAGTCATAACACAATCATCAGACCCTGTATAACCAAGCACAAACATCATAACACTCAGCATTTACATAATTGATCTCATGCTGCAACCGTTCCCACTGCATTAGCACCTCTTCCACCCATGCGAGTGCGCTGGCGCTCTGGACGACGTAACGTGTACCTGTAACATCATGTCAGCGGGATATGGATCTCAAATTCATCGGTCACCTACTTCGCAAATGCTCTGGCAAGCGCCTTCTTGGAACTCAGCTTCTGACTGCTAACAAATGAATCCACAGTCACTGCAATCGCGCGATCAATGTCTTGCGAAGAACAGAAATCAGACAGTCTCATCTTGCAGAATGCTTCTGCAATTCTCATGATTGCTTCGAGATGACGAACCTGCCAAAAGCAGTCAGCCAATATTGCAATGCAATTGCATTCTATGACTTACTGTGATAGGGTATGCGCCTGTTGCGAGAGATTCTCTTCGCATATCTGCGAATAGCCGGGCCACTTTATCTTGATCGATCTGATAAAGTTTCGGCCGACACTTCTCGCGGGCATACATGATGTACTTGCGGAGCAATTCCTGCGGAATGGCACCTTCTTGCTGTGGTTCGCCATTGTTTATGGCATTCTCCTGGTCAGTTTCCATGGCAGCGGTGTCTCCTGCATCGGTCTCGAGTCTTGCGGGATGCGCTCGTCCATGACTGTTGACCACAAAGTTTGCAAGACGCTCATCTTCAGCCGGGTCAACGGTATCTCTAACCACGCATAGAATGTCGAAACGAGACAGGATCGGCTCCGTGAGTTCGACATTTTGGCTAAAAGGAATGGTGCTGTTGTATCGCCCTCCGCTGGGATTGGCTGCGGCAACAATGGCACAGCGTGCTTGGAGCGTAGTAACAATGCCAGCCTTGCTGATTGAGATGGTTTGTTGCTCCATGGCCTCGTGGATAGAAGTTCGATCGGCATCGTTCATCTTGTCAAACTCGTCAATCAGGCATGTACCTCGATCAGCAAGGACAAGGGCACCGCCTTCAAGCCCCCATTCTTGTGTGAGCGGGTCCTTGCGAACAGATGCAGTCAAACCTACTGCAGAAGCACCCTGTCCTGTAGCAAAGACCGCTCGATGCGCCGTCTTCTCAATGTACTTCAACACTTGCGACTTGGCCGTACCAGGGTCACCAAGCAGTAGGACATTGATATCACCACGGATCTTGTGCTTGCCTTGAGCTTCTTTACTAACGCCGCCGAAGAGAGACAAAGCAACTGCTGTCTTAATATCCCGATGCCCGTAGATAGAGGGGGCAATTGAATCAACGATTTTCTCCACTATATTGGGATCCTTCGAAAGAGCTCTGATCTGTCGTTCATCCTCTTCTGTCAATCGGAAGCCGGCGAGCTGATCGTGAGTTTTGATAATGTGGTTGGCTTCAAGCATAGTTGCAAACACAGGGAAGCCATTCTTGTTATTGAGCTGACCACTGTAGTTGTTACGATAAATCGCTGTGACTTCAACCTCTTCACCAGGTTTCGCCTTGTCGATCAAGTCAGCAAGGAGAATGACTTCTCGATGTCGTGGTAAACGCCCCGCTGGTACAGTGCCCGGAGACTCTTGCAAGGTCAATTTCTGGTAGTTCCGGTAGACGGTCTTCTCGCTGTTCAGAGTGAAAGGTCCTCGAGATTGACAGTTCTGGCAGAATGTCAATTTGACTTCAGTTGATGTTGACTCCTGGGCAAATGGTCCTAGGGTGACACCACACTTCTGACATGTGAATTTCACCATCTGAAGTTGTGGGAAAACACCGGTTCGTCTAGTGACGACTCCAGAAACCCGAACAAGACAATTGAGATGCGATTGCCTCAGTTGACGTAATGTATATTGAACCGGCAAATCTGAGATTCGGACATGAATTTCTGGGTGAATCAGTTCGTAGTTTGGATAATGCAGTCGGACCACCTCGAAGGCGGCTTTGTCGAAGATCTTGAGCATCTCCGACGGAGCATTCGCAAGAAAGTACGCCAGGATAGCTTTCGTGGAAGCCAAGTGATCATAGGAGACTTCAAGAGACTCTGAGTTGACCTCTCCCAAGGTACGGATGCGGGTGCCGTAGACTGATGTGCCATTCGCGTCAATATACTCCGTAAGGAACGACTTGAACTCGCGAGCAATAGTTTTCATGACCGAGGGCAGAGTGACCCATTCAGTAATGTTCGATGCTTTGACATCCTGCAATGTCTCCAAGGAAAGCTCTTCTTCCAGAATATTCTCATCAAGATCCATGTCGTCCTGATCCTCGTCGTAGTGATGGCGGCGTCTCCGAGGTTGCTTGGTTAGGTCAATCCCAGCATCTTCATCGTCGTCTGGCATAAATGCTGCGGGCATGCGCCGTCTTCGAGCCAGCTCACGGTCGCGCTTGTTGAGGCGTGCTTCCAATTGACGCCGGGAAGCTAGGTCCAGCTCGTCGTATTCACCTTCATCGTCGATCATTCGGCCCTGATATGTCTCTTGATCGCGGCGTTCACGCTCATCGTTCATAAAGTTGTCTCCGAACAAGTCAATTCCGTCTTCATCTTCGGCCATCTCATCAGCATCATCAATGTCACCAATGAGGTCGTCCTCCGCTTGCAAGTCATCGTCACCTAAAAGGTCACCGTTCTCGTTCGTGGGGAGCAAAGGGGGAGAAGAAGGGAGGGCTGAGGAAGTTAGCGTCTTTGCTGTGGCTGGGAGGCGACGTTCAACTTGCCAGCTGGTGATGAAGACATGATCTCGTCGTCTTCATCGCGTGCCCTCTTCCGTCTGGCGACGTTACTGGGGCCTCTGTTTGCCGCGGACATGCTTGGTCGAAGCGGTGAACTCGGAGAAGTTAGTGTCCTCGAGGAATTGGGGGTTAAGGAATTAGATAATATCAAGTGTCATACCTCATTTTCTGCGACTCGATATTTAGGTGAGCGTTTGGAGTCCAGTACCTCGTATGGCAGGGGGTGAATGGAGCAGGGGAGCGTCGCAGTTATTAAACCACTTTACGCGGGAAGACGCGTCACGAAGAAACACGCTAAAATTCTGGCAAGCGGGGAATTGAGGTCATCTCAAGTTCGGGTCCTTCGCCAATGTTTGCAGGTTTCTGTCTCGACAGACACTCACGTACCTCGCTCTTCTTCTATCCAGTCTTCGCAGCCCACGAAAATGGAGACCGTACCCGAAATGGACGAAGTTAAGCAATTTCCAGACTCGCAGACCGCTTCTGAGTAAGAACCCCCGTCCAAATGCTCTGCTCTCCTCGATTTTGACCATTCTAGTTTCATCGATCAACAGTTGGCCCTCGAGGCGGATGCGCGAGAGGTGCTTCCATATGTAAAGTCTCGCCCCTCTGCTCATTTTGAGCGAACGATATCAAATCGCTAATATCTCTGGTAGAAATTCGACAAGTGTACCAATATTCTCGGGCCTTTGCGACAGAATGTCTTTGCCTGCTTAACATGCAGCCCGCCGCCAGCCTCCGCGGCGCAACTTTATACGCCTGCAGGTGTCTGCTATGCCTGCTCCATCTCTTGCCACGGCGAACACACTCTGGTCGAACTGTTCTCCCGCCGCGATTTTGTCTGCGACTGTGGCACCAGCCGATTGCCGTCGACTTCGCCTTGTACTTTGCGATCCGATCCCGTGACGGGAAATCGAGGGGTTCATTCGCAGGAACCACACAAGGGAAATCGTTATAACCACAACTTCCAGAATCGATTTTGCGCGTGTGGCGAGGAATACGATGCGGAAACGGAGAAGGGGACAATGTTCCAATGTTTGGGCCTAGGGACGGTCGATACTGGCGGATGCGGAGAAGATTGGTATCATCCAGAATGCCTGATAGGCTTGCCGAGAGACTGGTACAAGTCTGTCGACACGAAGCAAGAAGTGGAGGAGAAAGTCCAGAAGAAGGATGAAAAGACAGAAGATCAAGAGGTGGAAGATCCCACCCATCCAGTCCCGCCGGGTTTCCCAGACGAAAATGACTTTGATACCATGATATGCTACAAGTGCGTGGACTCCAACCCCTGGATCAAGAAGTACGCCGGTACACCGGGCTTCTTGCCAGCTGTGTTCAAAAGGGACGCCCAGTCGACCACAGTGAAAGATAGTTCAGCATTGGCCGCACGATCCACCGCCACACCACCCTCGACTGCTCCCGTTTCCCTCAAGCGCAAAGCCTCCGACGGCGCTATAGAAACTGGACCACCAAGCCCTTCGAAGCGCGTTAGGAACGACAACGAAACCAGTCCACCACCATCGGTTCCAAACACCTCCACCGAGAATCTTGACAAAGCTAACAACGACGCAATCACCATCCCTCCTACACGTCTCTCAAACACAGCAACCGATACGGAACCCAAACATAAACACGATATCCTCCCCAACCCTTCCCCAACAGGGACCTTGTCCCTCTTCCTGCGCGCAGATTTCCGCGACCACTTCTGCCACTGCCCACAATGCTATCTCCACCTGATCCCGCACCCGCAACTCCTGGAAGAGGAAGAAACGTATGAACCGTCGCTATCCTCGGGTGCTTCCTCACACCACGGCGGCGGAGCACACTCGCGATCCTCGCGCGTCTCCCTCCTGGAACGAGGCGAAGCCGCTCTCTCCACCATGGACCGGGTGCGCGCAATCGAAGGCGTCATGGTCTACAACCACCTGCGCGACAAGGTCAAGCAGTTCCTCAAGCCGTACGCCGAGAGCGGCAAGGCCGTCAGCGCCGAGGACATCAAGGCGTACTTTGAGAAGTTGAGAGGTGACGAGTCTGCCATCAAGGAGGCCAAGGAGAGGGAGGGCAGGGCGAACGGTCAGGACGGAGGGAGTGGAGATGGAGATGGCGGCGGCGGCGGCGGCGGCGGCGATAGGGATACCAGGAGAGAACAGTCTGGGTATTGAAAGGGGAAGATTTCCCGGGTCATTTTCACAAGGTGAAGAAACATGCTACAGTCGCTACCGGCCGCGAGAGAAGCTGGAGCTGGAGAACCGAACAACCCTTACGTAACTCGAAAATACAAAAGGCGCGCCCGCGCCCGCGATCACGATATTGCAAATGATCGTCGAAGGAGGGAAGAACAAAAAGTCAATTCTGTTCTGGAAAGCACTTTTGCATTGATGTCTGCATGTTCGCAGAGCGGTCGCTACAGCCCCAATTACATCTAGACAGCTGTCTGTCTAGCCTTGGAGCGCTTGTAGTTCTGAAGTTGATGCATTAAGGTTCCCTTTGAGTCTTGTTCGATGCATGTTTTTTCCCCAGCGCCTCTTCTGCCGCTGCCGCCTCAAATACACCTAACAAGTCGATGATGATGGGTCTGGCCTCGGAGCTCTTGAAGTCGTGAAGAATTGGTGCATTAACGAGCGATTCTTTGCACTCTTGTTTCATCCATGTTTGTTCCCAGCGCCCCTTTTGGTCTTTTCCATGTTGATATCAATACTTCGTACAGTTCTACCACTGTTGATTTCCGCCTCAGGACTTCCCCAGCGCCCGTTTTATTCGTTCTTCACTGTTGATATCAGTACTTCGCACAGTTCTGCCACTCTTGATTTCCCTTCATGACCGGTCTCGCTCGGTTGGATAGGACAAAAAGTTGAACTGCTCGGATCTCGAGTAAGAACGAATATGCTGGATATTAATGTTTGGCCGTCGGTCGTCTGCTCTGACAGCACACAATTGTCGCTAGGAAAGGGCCATCAACACACCGGTTTCCGACCAGGCTCGCTTGACCCGTGATTGCCTCTGAACTTGTTTCAGGCTTTTTTGACAATTTCTGCATTCGCTTTCTCTGCAGCAAGCCTCGCTTGCCTCTCCCGTGTCTTCTGGTATGGGCCTCTGGGTCCTCTCTGGCCGCCGGGTTTCTTTTTATTGGCAGTCTTGTCGTGCGTTGTCTCTCTCTGAGTAGTCGGCATGTCGGTTTGGCCACTCGTTGTCGTACAGGAAGATGCCTTCATTTCTCGGTTCGCTCGAGCACCCGTCGGAAGCATCGGCAGGTGCTGACAACGCTCAGAAGTCTGTCCGGCTGCTCGCCCTCGGGCCACATCATTCCCAACTTCGTGAGAATTGTCCTGGGTTTGCTCCGAAGGGAGACAAGGATCCGCGTTGCGGCTTGTAGAAGGCTCTTCACTTTCTTCCTTGCAGTTCAGCTTGATTTTGAGTCTCTTGGAGTTGTTTGTGACATGATTTTCCAGCTTATTTTCGTTTTCTCCACAATGGCCACTAGGCAGAGGTGTGGCTAGCTCCAGAGGAGGTTGAAAGTCAAAATTCAACAATGAACTTAGGGTAAGAGCCAGGTCTGGTTGCAAAGAAAGGTCATCCTCTTGTCCAGGCACCTTGACACGCATTCTACGCGTCATTGGTCCTCGGAGCCGGGCCTGAAACTCTTCCGAGTTTTCGTTCTCAGAAATCGGAGAATAGGATGGCGACAACGGAGATCTTGGATCCATGGTTTCTAGGAGCGCAGTGTTCTCGAACATCCCAGCCAATTCATCTGCCGGCTCAATACTTGAGATTACGTGGTTGGATTTGGCGGGACTCTTAGTCCCACTCGAAAGAGTCATATCGACGGCGGAAAGCTCACAAGATCGTTTGGCTCCAGCATGAAGACGGTTGATTCCACCGCTGTTTTCTTGCAAAATAGCTTTGGAAGGAGTCACAGGTGCCACATTGATTAGCATTCGTTGAACCTTGCTAGCATCCGGGCGAATATCTGATTGAGAAGCCTTTCGCTTTGTGTTGCTAGTGTCCGGAGAAGCCTGAGGAAAGGTTGCAGCCCCAGCAAAAGTGACCCCGGCTGTGCCATCAGGCATCAGTCGTTCCACATCCGTTACCATTGGGTTCCCACTAAAGCCAAACATATCGGTCTCGAATAGCAAGCACATGAGCGGTGGGTGCCCACAAGATGGCGGAGTCCCATTCAGAGACACTTCTGTAGTGTTTGCAGAGTTCGGGGGGTAATTCTCTTTCGCCTCGTCCATGGATTTTGATTTCTTTCTCAAAATTTTGGCTAATCCGTCCTTATTCTGGATCTTGAGAACTAGGCGGTGAGGATTTGGTGCCATCTCAGTGGTCAAAAGATCTGCTGAAAATGCGGCAAGGTCTTGACTAGGGCCTTCGCTTTCTGAATCCCGCGACTGCTCTTCGTACTCGAGAAGTACCATGACCAAGGACTTTTTGGGGCTGCTGCTAGCAGCATGCGGGCCAACAGCAGCCGTCAGAGAGTCATCTGGCGGCTCGAATTGTGGACATTGGTCTTCTCCCGAAGCACTATTATTGAAGGTTGGTATGATTGAATGCGAATCGGGTTGGGGCACGTCTGCTCGGATTTCTTCGTCGACTTCTCGCGTATTGGACCACAGATCCCCCGCTGGGCTCAATAACCCGTCAAACTTTGTGACGGTAGCAAGGGAATGAGGAGCAATTCTCGCGACCAAACTCGGATCCACATTGACTGATTTGCGCTCTGTTGTTAGGGGATGCTCATTCGAATAGATCGAACAGGCCGCTGTTGAGCGAACTGTGCTGCTCCTCCCGCTTGCCTTCTGCCTAATCAGATCGCGTCTGGATCTCAGGCGCCCCGGACTGTGCTGTACCTCATGGGTGTGATCGGCTTCTGAGAAGGACGAATATCCTGAATCGGTATGGATATTGAGATTACTGTTCGACAAATTCGCTTTACCCGTTGTACCTGGCACACATTTGAAGAATGCATCAAACTGCCCATCTAACGGATCTGGCAGCCACATTCCAAGCAAATCTGTCGCAATGCCACGACTTGACAGGAAATCTTCTGCAAGACGAACCTCAGACTCGAACGCTACCTCATAGGTGCTTGCAAAGACCATGTAGTGAACGTATTCACTGAATATGTCCGGGTCGATGTAGGAAGGCGGTCGAGGAAACCCAGAAATTTCAACGCTAGCTTTGGAACAGAAATCCCATATCTCTGCGATCGAAGCTGGATGTAAAACCCGCAGGCCCACTGCTTTCTCAATTTGGGTTGCTTCATGTTCCGTCAGCCCCAGAATCCTGGGCACTGAGGTCGAGGGATACTCAGCTGCTAGGGCTTTGTATATGTGATGTTGAAGGGACAGGGGAAGAAGACCCCACGCGACATTCTGTTCCGTCTGAAAAGCATTAGTCGCTACTATCTTTTGATGATAGAAATAGAGGTACATACCTCTGAGCTCGTGCTTGGGGTTGCTGTGACAATTGTCTCATCTAGAACTGATTCCACGAGTGACGTCTTATCTTGCTGCATTGTGACAGGTACACTTAGTTGGCCCCGTGCTTGGAGAATGTCTCCCACATCTGCACTGCTGCCAACAAAGCTGATACCCAGACCCTTATTTGAAAGTGAACTCAAGGTTTCACTGTTACTCGCCAACTCTTCAGATTCCTCTGCATTTCGCGTAGCAGGCATATTGACAGACGTCAGTGGCAGTGAAGGAAAGGCTGCTGGAGGGTTGTTTGGATTGAAGGGGACAACCTGGGCTTTGAGTAACATTGCAAAAGCCGGCTTTGTTCCATTGCGATTTTGAGACGCGGCGTGGACTTCATCTTCGAAGCGAGTGGGCGCCGTGATACTCTTTCTCAGTTGCATAGCTGCATATCAATACGTTCCGTAAAGTATAGGAGAGAGATCGACTGGGGAGACGAGCACGTGAGCAATCTGAGGACGATAAAAAGAGTGTGGTGGTGATGGCACGTGAGTGAAAGGAACGGTAGCTATCCAAGACATGAAAGATAGAAGACAAAAGCGGCTTGAACGGTTAAGGGATAGGTGGCAACTATTGTACCAGACCCTATGTGAATATGTGAAGAGCTGGAATGACGCGATTGGCAGTGAAACGCTTGTCTGTAAGGGAGGCGCCTTCAAATCAGTTCCTTCTCACCAAAAGCTTCAGGATAGGAGGGCGCGACCTACCAGTTCACAAGAAGAAAGCCCGGACCGTGAATGGCCCGTTTGGCGCAGTGACCTCCTTGGTGGCAACCTCCATATTCACATGTTGATGTTTCCATTTCTCATATAGTGAAGTTCCTGCATCGGAATAATGTATCTCTCGTGCGCCGCACTTCACGCGGGCCATATCTCGCTCGCTAGGTGGTGATTGCGATAGAGAAATACGTGGCAACTTCACCTTATGTTTGGAGACGGCGCATGAAGGTCCCTGGAAGAGAAGTATTGCCAGGCAGGCACTCGATTCGGTTGATGAGATAGTCAGCTAGACGGTCATCGTTGGAGAACGCAGTGTTTTGCCCGGCTAGTGTGGCGAGGTCCAGGCTTGCATCCAGTCCCGTGTCCGAGCATCGGTGTTAATTTTGCCTTGAATTGTTTCGGCCCACGATCATGGTCAATCGAAGGCGTCTACAAAGGGGGCCACGCCTTCTCGAACATGAGGACCACACATATCCTCGGCATCACATTCCATGTCTTCGTCAGAATCGTAGAAATCATCCAAACTTCGCTTGCCGAGGGTTTTGGGTTGAGACACAGCGTTGCTGCCATGGTTGGAAGGGGCAGCACTTAAAGCGGAAACCTGACGTTCAGCTCGGGTAATGGCTTGTAAATCCAGAAGGACATTCTTCGATTCGTCCGATAAACTGATACAGAAGCGCTGCGACTGGATAATGTGAATGGCGACAATCGCATCGACTCCATACACAATCATCAAGTATGCCGCTACCAGTAACGGGGATCGATCGTTTCCGGACTCGCAGAAGACGAGGACTTTACCACTGACGTCGTTAATGTCTTGAGCGGGGGTTCTGACACATGAAGACTCGAGATGGTCATTTATCGCTCGAACAATTGACTTGACGAGTGGGATGAAATCGTTTGGCTGATCAAAGTCCAAGGTCAAGGTGGCTCTTCCCGCGCTCGAAGGAAATTTGGCCGGATCGAGGAATGTCGGGCGCGCCAACAACGATCTGGTAGAGCGGACTGCAACAAGGAGGGTGATGCCTGCCTCCTTGACGAAGTTGGGGTCCTTGGCAGCGCTGCTTGGGCCCAGCAGCAGGAAAGGGAGGATGTGCTGGGCACTTCGGCGCATCTCGTATTGCCATATGAGCATCGAGTGGGTCAAATCCAGCGTATGACTGGTGACCAGCGCGGCCAGGAAATCTGGATTACCATAGTGTGTGGAGATTTGGGTAAACGGAACAACACGGACTTTGAAAGAGGGCTTCCCGTCGTGGTACTCGAGGTCAGGTGGAGGCACATAGACCTTAGGAGCTTCCAGCTGTCGTTTGTCACTGTACCCTTGTGCTGCAATGTAGACGCCCGGGTTGAGCAGCCAGGAGACGTCTGGCCTAGCCTCGGTCTGGGGAAACATGCCAGGCTGAAGGCAATGGGGAAGCGTTGCGACGGTTTTTGGCCGGAGGCGAACCAGACAGAGATAGCAGGCTCGGGTTTGTCTGTGGTCGATGGCGTAGTTGTTTGATGGTGTTGCAGAGTGCCCGAGTGAAGAGTACGGTGGCACTCAGAAGGTTGCTACAACAAGTCGATGGGCAGTCTTCATTCCTGCCATAGTCGGGAGATGTGTTTGAATAGTCCCAGTGAGGCTGCGGACTACGCGTACCGGGTACGTAGAAGTGGGCTGGAAAGAGCACGCAGGTCTCGAGAAAGTCCTTGTGGTGATCACTGATTTTGCATGGGACGACGGGTCCTGGCCATCTCGACTAGTTTTGCGGAGAAGGGTAACACCAGGTCAAAAATCTGTGGTAACGCAGCCAAGGAGCAATGTAGAAGATATTGCACGAAGAAGGGGCACATAGGAAGTAGGCAGGGATATGTAACGAGGAGCAAGGTTGATGTTTTGATGTCACTTATGCTCATATTGAGAGCAGGAAAGCCGAGGATCAAGCGGGTAGTCACTACCCGGTACAAGTAGGTCCCAGCTTGGCCCCCAGACAACCACCACCATTTCTCCCATGACTTTCACGCCAACTCAGGTCGCCCATCTGTTTTCCGTCAACACGCCCATTCCTTGTGTAAACAGAGTTGGATTCATTGTCGAACTTGGGTATCCCCTCCCCCCTTTTGTTGGGAGTGGTAGTGTACAGTAAGGCAGCGCGACATGGGGACTTTTGCTACCGGGTCTATCTTCTTCATCATCATCTCATAATCCATCCGACGATCAGTGCACCCCTTCCTCCCTGGTCATTGGCCTTTTCTCTTGGGCCTGGGGCTTCCAGCATCTTTCCTAGGCTGCGATAGCGCCTGCTTTTCATGCTGTTGTTGGTCTCGCTTGAACTGTCTTTGTATTTGCCATATTGCCCTCTCCACTTCTCCACTCAGCTCTGGAACACCTGTGATTTTGGCCACCAGATTATGGCTGTCTGCTGGGAGGATTATCTGCTCGGGGGGTGCACTGCCGTCTAGGACTTGACTTCGCGTGATAAACGTAAAATCCGGTGCATCAGGCGCCACCTGCTCGTATAGGTCCTCAATCTCTGGAGGCGAAATTGGCCGGAAAAGTCGGTTATCCACAATAAAATCCAAGTGATCTGAGCCTTTCAAAGCTGGTGGCCTGTCAGCGAGATATGGACTTGCTCAGGGACGTTGGACGTACCTCTCCAATGGGACCAACACCTATATGCTGCATAAAAAAAGGGAAAATTGGGTATTCTGGAACATGTCAGCCATGTTGATGCGCCTGTAAAGAACGAGGGCAGGGGAAGACTATACACAGGCACCAGAGCAAATGGGATGCAGATTGGCATGGCCACCATGCTTCCGATAAAACGATTCCAATGCAGTTGCTTTCTCTCCCTTGCCAGTCTTGCCAGAACTTTCGGAACATCATCTTTATGCATGACGTTACCAGGGTAGATCACGTCGAATTTCTTGCCCTGTGCAATCTGCTCGGCCTGCAGTTTGGGATTGGAAGGCGGAAAGCTCTTTAATCCCCATTCCTGGTAGGGTATGCGCTGCAGACCTTGATTTCCGTAATACACGACTGTTTTTCTCCATCCTCTGTCTGCGGCTTCCCACTTGGCCCATGTCTCAGCAGCCTTCGCGGTCAATCGATCGACGATGGTTGGGTTGGTCTTCGGCTTCTGGACTCCGCGTTGACAGAAGACGAGGGCTTGTCGCGTGGTGAGAGGCAGGAGGAAGATGCGCATAGCCGCGGCGACTCCCGACAGAGGCGTAAGGAAATAGAGACCGCGACCGTGCTGCGCCGTTCAGGGAAATTCCAATGAAATCATGGCCGGGGTGACATTCGGCCAACTAGGAATTAAAGAAAGACGCCAGAAGTTCTGAAGAAGAGTGCGAAAAATCAATATTTTTCCCGCCTCGACAATGCTGACGATCGAGTAGGTGTGCACGGCGAATAAGGAGCTGCAATCTGGCCTTTGGTGCAGGTGTCGGGGTGTGTACATTAAACCAACTATTTTCGAAAACAAGTCATCCATGAAGTAGTCCATGGTGCAGATGGTGGTTTTGTTGCTTTGGGAGTTGGTCCGCAACGTCATGGCAGAATCCCATGCATTGATTCGCCCCAAAGCTCCCCTGGGCCTCCTTCCTTAATATGCATGGTGTCTTGGGGTACCCGGTACTGCTTGGTACTACCTACCCGGTAGGCACTGCCTGGCGAGCTGGCCACCGTTCTCGCCGCCATCTGCGGCAACCGACAGCCCCCATTCGCCAGGTGGGCACCTCGTGGGCTAGTGAGGCTTACTCCAAGTTCCCGCAGTGATGAATGATCGATTGACTAAAACAGTTACTTTGTGCTACTGTACCAAGGCAAGTCATACTCCCCATATGGCACATGGCCCAGCATGTTCTAGTGCATCTCTCTCTGTTTATACGTCTCTGACCACTCTCTTTTTAATGCCGCTGGAGCCACTGGACGAGGACAGCTCTTGATGCAGCATTGTCGCGGCCACTGTGAGGATCACACAGAGATTTCGGACGGACGAATGCTCTCGACATGCCCTTCCGAACACGCCGCAGTTGAACCTCTCTTTGCTCCGGAGGGCCCAAACTTCTGGGCCTTCTCAGGTCTCTAGCCGACCAGCAAGATGGCGGCTGAAGCTGGCTTTCCGTGGCAGGCGCCATCCAGAGATCCGAAAAAGACCTCAATGGTAATGCCAAAGCGCAGCAATGCTCCACCGCCACAGTCAACCAAGCAAGAGCGAGAACCAACATCCCCTACCAAGACCGCCGCGTTGCATCCGCAATCCCAGCCTCGCAAACACATCCACCAGCAAGGGAAGCATCAGCATGCTGCAGTCAAAGGTCCTCTGCGATTCAGTTTACCAACTACGCTCAACACCCCCTCAGAACCCGTCAGACCTAAACCTACATCTCCCCTCCCGGTCCGAACCATTCCACGTAGGTCACACACTTGCTCTGCCAGAGCCTGGTCACCATGGCTAACGCATTTGAATAGCATGGGTACGAGATGCGGAAGAAGATGATTTGAGCGACCCTCAGTTCCAGAGCCTGGACACTCCGCACGCAGCGTTGGTCGCTCAGCATCACCACGGCGCGTCAACAGCAAGGCGGACCCTTATATCCAGCAGGCAGTCTCACGAGGAGGGCTACTCTACACCTCTGGGCCAAGGGAGGGCCCCGCGAACCTCGAGGTGGATGTCCTTTGCCCAGCCCAGTGCCTATCCTCAAGAGAACTTCAATGGTGAAAAGGTGGACACGGACTGGCTCAACCAGAACCTCACCGACTATTCCAAAACATGGCTTGAGGACCATGACGATGACGACGTCGAGGACGGCAGCAGCCGTTATCGCGCATTTCGCAGAAAGAGACAAGTGTGGTATAAACGCGCCCAGTTCTACATTCTGCGAAATCCATTTATCCCTCTTGCTTTCCGATTGACGGTTTTGTCGTTTGCCATCGTCGCTCTAGGCCTAGGGGCGTCAATATACCATGAAACTGGCAAGATAACGAAATGCATCAAACAACCACCGGACCGGCGCACTGCCGAATGTGTCCAACGCGTCGGCGCCACAGCCACCGATTATTATCGAGATCCTTCCGGCTTGATGGCGGTGATAGTGGACGCCATCGCCATTGTCTACACCATATATATCACCTACGACGAATACTTTTCGAAACCTCTAGGGCTACGACCGGCAAGAGCAAAAGTGCGACTGATGCTGCTCGATCTCTTCTTTATCGTGTTCCAGTCGGCAAACTTGAGTTTGAGTTTTGAATCCTTGGCAGTGGGGGAGGGTTCTTGCAAAACTAGCAATTCTGCGAAGACAGCCGGCAGATTCGAGAGCATATGCGATAGAGCAGAGGCCTTGAGCGGAGTACTATTGGTGTCACTCACTGCATGGTTGATGACATTCTCTGTTAGCGTCTTGAGGTAAGCCGAACCAACCCAACCTTCCTTTACGTATTGACTGATGGGGTGCTCGCAGGCTGGTAGAACGAATTGATACGAAGTGAAACGAGTTTACGATCCGGACTCCTCCGAAAAGTTTTAGCTATTTTGTCCCGAGTCCTCTCATGGCACGACCCGTGCCAGCGGAGGGCAGCTCAATATCATCAATGGCTTGGCGTACTCATTTGTCCATCCTCAGTGAGGCACCTCCGGCCATGTCCTCAGGCTTCCAGACTCGGCCCTTCGTCGCCATAGATCGGATCACGCTTGAACCAACCCAAGTTTCCGATCTGCTTGACCTGCTCCTCCTCTCCGGGTTTCCCATAGCACATATCCCATGTTTTGCCCCTCTCATAAGAGCCAACCATTTGGAAGCCGCCATAGTCCTCTAGTAACCGGTGACCGACGCCTGCAGGGACGATTACAACGTCACCTTGCTCCAGGACGGGCTCCACACGGCCCTTGTTCTTCTCACCTCCGAAACAGCACTTTGCAGACCCTGATGCAATGCTGAGAACTTCGTGGGTGCTTGAGTGGAAATGTGTTTCGCTAAACATGGTAAATGTCCACTGTGGAGAGACGACTCCAACGGATTTGAGCTGAGATTCGATTGTTGTGGCATTGGGGTTTGCAAAGACGCCGTGGTATATCATGAGAGGTTTGCCTTGTATGGAGGTGTTTGGAATGCCTTTGTACGTGGGGATTTGATGCTGCGAAACCCGCAAGGCACTCAATGGAGTGATGGACAATATGTCACTTGTAAGAGAAGCCCTGTAGGCGTGTTGTCCGTCTGGTGGCTTCAGAGCTGAAATCGCTGTGAAACCCAGCCGTCGTATGACCCTTTCAAAGGGTTATTATTAGAACAAGACCAAAGGAAGACTTTGTAACTAACGTTCACATGCTCCGTAGTTGAATGACGACTCTTCCCCAGGAGCAATGCTGCGACAGCCTCGGAGTGTTTATCGCTGCCGCCAGTTGCCACCACTGCCACCCGTCGCCAACAATGGTCTTTTTAGCTTCTATTCCCTCCCTCTCGGCCAAATTTCCCCTTGCATCGAAATGACGTCATCGGAGCCAGGTTAGTCATCACGTACTCGGTAAGAAAGATGATCCGGTCCGATACAGATATTCTACGGCCTTGCACCTTTGTGCCTGCACTGATCACCACCGAATCTCTGACTTCTCTTCACCTGGCCGTGAGTTACGTCGCTGTCCAGGAATGAAGTTGTTTCCGTCCTGACATCGTGGCGACTGGATCTCAGACGCCAACTGTTCCATTCGGTCAAACGTCAAACGAACCTCGGATTTCTCTCATCCCCTCCTTTCGCCTTCACCTCGTGGATCGATCTGCAAGGAGTCGTAAAGTTCTGGGACAACAACAAGCACGCAACTCCCCGAAAGGAAGACAGCTAGACTTATCTCCATTTGCCACAATCTTTGCGAGGCCGACCTGCGTCCCCACTGCAGTTTCACACCAAGTGTACAGTGAAGAGAGAGCATGGCCTCAAGAACCGCACCCACGGCGGGCACAGCCTCCAACCCAGCGATGCGGGCGCGAGATGACCTTGATTCCACGTAAGAATATTGGGACAATGGAAAGAGCGGTCCTGCTAACAGTTAGCAGGTGGACATATCTCGAAAAGAATGTCAACAATGTAATGACCAAGTTGCAAGAGGGCCTTGACATGAAGACATACATGTTTGCTGATTCCCCTCTGTTGTTACAGGTAGTAGGCTCGCTGACCCAATGCCAGGGGCGTGTATACAGCAGTTCACAACTTCTGCACCTCGCAGAAGGCAGCAACGAATCAAGGTCAGGGTGGCTCGTCGGGAACCTTGACCCCCATTCACCGTGGCGCTCATCTACTGGGCGAAGAACTCTACACCCTCCTTGGCAAATACCTCACGGGACATCTGCGCGACGTTCTAGCCGCATCCGAATCACATACAGATGAGGCCCTCCTAGCCTTCTACATTCGAGAATGGAAGCGCTACACCGACGCAGCAAAGTACAACAACCACCTATTTAGATATTTGAATCGACACTGGGTAAAGCGAGAAATCGACGAAGGCAAGAAGAACGTCTACGATGTCTACACCCTGCACCTCGTCAAATGGAAGGACGACTTCTTCAAAGCGGTGGAGGGCAAGGTCATGGAGGCGGTCTTGAGACTCGTTGAAAAACAGCGCAATGGGGAGACTATCGATCAGATGCAGATCAAGGCGATCGTCGATTCATTCGTCTCTCTCGGCTTGGACGAGCTTGACAGCTCAAAGCCCACCCTTGACGTCTACCGCATGTACTTCGAGCGCCCATTCATTGCAGCCACCAAAGAATACTACACCAACGAGTCCCGACGGTTCGTGGCAGAGAACAGCGTGGTGGAGTACATGAAGAAGGCGGAAGCACGACTTGAGGAAGAGAAGGAACGAGTGGGCCTCTACCTGCATCCTGACATTATGAAGAAACTCATGGAAACATGCAACGAAGCTCTTATCAGCGCTCACTCAGTCCTGCTGCGGGATGAATTCCAAGTCCTGCTCGATAGCGAACGTACGGAGGACCTAGCCCGGATGTACAAACTGCTTTCCCGGATAAAGGACGGCCTGGATCCCTTGAGGACCCGATTCGAGAGTCATGTCCAGAAAGCTGGCATTGCAGCTGTTGAGAAAGTTGCCGCTCAAGGAGACAGCTTTGAACCGAAAGTCTATGTTGATGCGTTGCTCGAAATCCATGGCAAATACCAGCAACTCGTTAATGTCGCCTTCACCGGAGAGTCAGAATTTGTGCGATCGCTCGACAATGCCTGCCAGGAATTTGTCAACCACAACCAAGTTTGCAAGACCAACTCTACTCGATCTCCCGAGCTACTTGCCAAATACGCCGATCAACTCCTCAAAAAGGGCGCCAAGGCGGCTGACGAGTCTGAACTTGAAGAACTTCTTGTGCAGATTATGGTTGTGTTCAAATATATCGAGGACAAGGACGTGTTCCAGAAGTTCTACTCTCGCATGTTGGCCAAGCGTCTTGTCCACACAAGTTCTGTATCTGACGATGCGGAAACGAGTATGATCAGCAAGTTGAAAGAGGCATGTGGTTATGAGTACACCAACAAGCTTCAGAGAATGTTCCAAGACGTCCAAATTTCCAAGGATCTCAACACTGCCTACAAAGATTGGCATGACAAGATTCTTGAGGATAGTGATGAGAAGAGAACAGTCGACTCCACGTTCCAGATTCTAGGAACGGGTTTCTGGCCTCTGAATGCTCCCAACACTCCCTTTGCCCCTCCTACAGAGATCAGCAAAGCTATGGAGTCCTTTACCAGGTTTTATGATCAGAAACACAATGGCCGCAAGCTGACATGGTTATGGCAATTGTGCAAAGGCGAAATTCGAGCCAATTACATCAAGAGTCAGAAGGTGCCATACACTTTCCAAGTTTCGACCTACCAGATGGCTATTTTGCTTCTGTTCAACGACTCGGACAAGTTGGATTATTCGGAGATCAAAGAACTTACGAAGTTGACGGATGAAACAATTGAACCGGCGATTGGCATCCTGTGCAAAGCCCGTGTCTTGAACTCGACGCCGGATGACAGCAAGCCAGCACCCGGCACCAGTTATGCGCTAAACTACAATTTCAAGAACAAGAAGGTCAAGATCAACCTGAATATCACGGTCAAGTCCGAACAGAAGGTAGAATCCGAAGATACTCACAAGACAATTGAGGAGGATCGAAAATTACTGCTCCAGGTACGTGTTTTCAAAGTTGTCCTCCTAGGGTACGATCTGCTCACTGTCTCAGGCCGTGATTGTTCGTATTATGAAAGGTCGCAAGAAGTTGAAGCATGTACACCTAGTCGAGGAAGTCATCAACCAAGTCCGCAACCGATTCCCTCCCAAGATCTCCGACATCAAGAAAAACATCGACGCCCTTATGGAGAAAGACTACATTGAACGTTTGGACAACGATGAGTTGGCCTACATCGCGTGAGTAATGCTCTTATTGCGCAGGATAACTCTCTCCACGGCCGCGGAGCTATTGGTTATCTTTTACAAATTTACGTCTCTTTCGGGCAAGAGCCAAACTCTCTTCGTGGTTTTTCATGCTTCGCAAAAACCCAGCCGGAGACTTATCAAAACTCGGTAAAGATATGAGGTAGGGCGAACGGGACGGATGGATTTTAATGGTCTATTGAGCGGGCGAGTCTACCTAGTCAAGGCTGTGGTATGAGCCTTACATGACATCTGCATTGCGCGGCGGTGCAGCAGGTTGCGTTGGGGTGTCTCTCATTTTTCATCTTACGGCCATAAGCCAGATCGCTCTCAGCGGTTCTCGGAGCGAATGGGCGAAGGAGACAGCTGATGAGAAACGAATTCGATTGAACGACATCATGATGAAGGTGTCGACAAAGTCGCTGGGAATCAATGGGTGGGAAGTGGGAAGTGGGAAAAGAACCTGGCGACGTGTACATGCATGCGGTGGTTTTCAAAGGACAACAATTGAAATGGCTTGTGACAAATACAGGAGCTGGTGAGGTACCTAGAGTCCTCGCGAACGAAAAACCTATTCTCCAGACACGGTTCGATCTTAGAGGGTAAGCGAAGGCGGTTTCAACCTGAGCTTCTGATTGAGCCTCCAGCTGAGCCTCACTGAGCACTCCTGAGCATCGTACCGTGCTACAAAGGAGGCCCAATCTTGGCCCAGCGACCAGCGAGACCTGCGCCTCAGTTGGGCATTTGCATTAGATAATCTTTAGTGACTCGCGGTGCCCTGGCAAGTCCTTACCCCTACGCTGCTGTCTGGTACCGACGACACATGGAAATGATCGCTTCAGAGAGCTCCGCGCTCCTTGATTTATCTTTGGGAACACCATCGACCCTCTGGAGGAGACTCAGCATCCCGGGGGAGGGCGGCGATGCCGTTTGTGATGGGCCAGCCTTGCCGCTCTGTGGTCTGTCGTTTGGTCCTGTCGTGTGACTAGGCTCAACCTCGGCTCAGTCGCTCTCCCTTCATCCATTTGCCCACTCGTCCGCTTCGCCATCATTCTGCGAGCAGGAGTTACTTTCTGTCCACTCCTTACTTATATAGCCTACGTCGGGATGCGACTGTCTTACTTCTCAAACGCGATAGACAACGTGACTCGGATTGCAGCGACTGCCTTGACAGTTCTGAGCTCATACTGTGACGGTCGCCAACTAAGTCACGAAAGCGAATGAGGGCATTCCCAGAGGACAACTCTGCATGGTATTGTGTCCTCAGTCGATCTCCCGCCACCGCGGCATCCTTGAGTTGGAAGTAAATGGTCCTTGCCAAGGCACTTTCATGCCACGTCCAAAGACGAGTGGCCAAAGGGGCGAATTTGATTGCCAGCAGCAGGCCTTCTAGGGCGACGGTCGAATCCAGTAGCTACAAAGTAGAATCAAGGACTAGGACCTTTTCTGCTTCGCTGTAAACCTTTCTCATACTTCGGATCGCGAGTCCTCTTGTTGTAAGCTCTCGAGGCACACAGAGCGTGTCGATCCAGAAAGGTACATCTCCATTTCGACTGGGAGACAGTGAGTTCACTTGAGCCTGGATTCTTTGGAGCTGACAGGAGGAAAGGGCGTTTTCACGCAGATTTCCCAATCGATCGGACCAGACATGAGATATTGCGACGTAAGATATGCAGTTGGAGTCATCACTGGACTCAGGTCTGCGCACCAGCAGTCGATTGGGGGATCTGCCGGAAGTCGAATAGGTGACAATGGGAAGTGTCCCTCGGTGCAGTAGGGTGTCAACAAATTTGGCATCCGGATACGCAAAGGTGACTAGAGAACAAAGACATCCATCCAAAACATGTGCAGGACGATATGTTGTGTAGTCGATTTTGGAGTAGACACACTCTGCTATTCTACAGCGGTCGTGATGCCTTGAAAGAGGCGAGCGGTCCATCCGGGCGAGATAAACCAGGAGATTGACGTAAGAACCTTCGAGTCGATTGATGACAGTGGCTACTTCGTTGATGCACCAGCCAGCTTGGAGGAGCCATGCACGTACGTTGAGTGTTTCGATCCAATTGTGACTCCGGGTGCCACCAATGCCAGCATTGATTTCTTCCTGCGTGAGATCGAGCATTTCCGCCAGCGCCGAAATGGCCAGCAAGGTGTTGTCGTCGTCGTCGTCGTCGTCCACCAAGAATGAGTCTATCATGGAGACATCCTCCACAGCTCGACCTCCTCGGTGTCGGTCGCCAATATCGGTTTGCATTGGCAAGACTCTATGGACAGTCTCCAAGCAGTCGTTGACAATTTGATAATGTCGAATTCGCTCTTCCTCGTGGGCGCGAGACTCTGCCGCCAGCCAATACCACAGGTAACGGTGGATTGAAGCTGTGTTGAGTCGCAGACCAAACGACTGATCGTAAATTACGAACTCTTCTGGCGTCACCGAACTCCTACTGTGGTGAGTACTTTCGTGATTGTCCCGAACCACAACCAGGATTGAAGAAGTGGGCCTGCTTGCTCAAGAGAAATTGCCACATTGAGACCTTCGGCGATCTCGTGTTTGGTAAACATGAATTGGTCAGGTTTTAGGATTTCCATGGTGCCTGCAGCGTTGTCGTATACGGCACATATGCACGGGATTTTAGGATATGCTCTTTTGCAGTGAGGTGGGAGGGAGAGATGGTCCATCGCTGTGAAGCAACCTTTGGAGGTGGTCAAAATGCCCATAGATCTCACAGCCTGAGGTCAAGTGCTTCCGCCAGTCAACGATGCGGCTGTGACGGGCGAGAAAAGCATCTGCGGCTGGTGTCTGCTGAGGAGCTGATGGGCAACAGTCACCTCATGAGCGGTCATGGTCACAGTCACAGCCTCGAAACGAGCAACTGTTTTGTATAATTAGAATTGCGGCCGAGACGGGCGAAGGGTCGGTGTTGTGCAGGCCACCAAGAGCACCTCACACGAGCTCCTTGAGGTTTAATCGTCATGCGAGATTGGCATCGCATTGCTCTCTGATGGATTGACGGGTCACTCGGCCATTTTGCCATTTTGCCACGTTTTCATTTCGGTTGGTTTGTTGCATTTCCCTTCGCGTCATGTCTATGCGACCCGGAACCAATGAAGGGAGAGGTACCGAAGAGGTCAACCGAGAGAGTTCAGCCAGAAGAACCAAGGCTGAGGATCACGTGATATCTAAGAAGGGAAAGAGTTGGTATGGTGGAATGGTGGTCTCGCGTACCTCGTACAAGCAATATATGAAGATCAGAGGACCCCGCTGGTACGCTGTCTCTTGTTTAAGTACAAGTAGGTAATCTAAGACTTTAGGGATTGACGTGGCCATCGTGCTCTGATGCCAGTTGGACTCTGAGTGGGCAAATAGTGATGCTGTCGGCGTCCTGCCTTTGATACCAAGGAAAGCGAGTTGCGCTTTGCATACATGCAACTGGCGATTCGACATTGGGTGGGTGTCTTGATGTTCTTGTAACCTAGCTACGCGGAGGTTCGATTGAAAGGACCTAAAGTATCAAGCGTCAAACCCCTCCTCGAGGTGAGAACGATGGGGATCAAGCAGGCAGTGGAGCTGGAAAAGGTGTGGCAGGACACGGGGCTTTCTTACTTATCTTCCCTTGCTCGCTTGGTACATAGTACGCTGAGCCTGTCTGTGCCTGGTGCTATTGGCCCTCCAAAGTCGAAAGCGCCTCATCAGAGAGGGGGAACTAGTCCTCCAATGGCTCGTCCGATTTCCCACGCAGTTATATGACCAGCCATGAGACATTCTGGCGCCTGAAGGCCCCCCTCACTCGTCAGGCAGATACTCCCAGACCCGGGTGGAAGCGGATCATTGGTAGAGGCGATACGAGAAATCTTGTCTTTCAGGCTGATCGAGGTGGATGTCCTAAAGGGCTTTTGGGCTTCACGCCGAGCGAGGTGGCAATGGTGGCGGCATCTGAAACACTTTGGCAGGCTTTCACAGCGTCGAGTGCATATTCTGGCGCCTCCAACCCCCTCTTGGTGCCCCTATATTTCTTTGAGGGCTGAACCTTGATGTCCTGTACGCGGTAAGTCATCCTCGCTTACGAATACCTAGTAAGGTGAAGTCCTTGGACGCTCCACCGTCCGGAAACGCGGCACGTCTCCGTCTTCCCCTGACGCCCTTAATTGCGCCTCCCTAGCCCCGGCGCTTAACTAGTGAAATAACTCTCCATGAAAATGGTCCGTACCGGGTATATGATAGTATCACCATCCAACGAGGTACAGAACCACCCCTGTACCGTGCGGACGGTGTTCAGAATATTATCTCCATTCCAGCCCTGAACGCGGCCAGTCTCAGGGAAGTAAGAAGCGACACGAAGCCCTAAACTTGCTAAATGTGAAAGAACCAGTATGCGGCTTCTGACCTGCTTGATCCTTCGTGGAAAGCAAGCGGCCAAGGCACGGAGGACAACGTCGAAGTCATGCCATTAACGCTTCGTACCAAGGCCAGCCCATGCTCCAGAAGCTGCAGGCCTAGCAAGGATGATGCTACGCTTTCGCTGCTCAGAACTTGAGGGTGGTGGTACCATTGAATCCTGCAGTGGCCCAGTACTGTAGCGTGTCTGGCTGCTCATATCTGCCTCGTGTCCGCCTGACCACACTGCCATTCTACCCCTCTTGATATATAGAGCTGAGCTCTCATCGTTCGTAGCCTCCCACTCTTTTGCCTTGTCCGCGCGCCACCATTTCCCAGCTTGGAAGACGTTGTCGACCATGGTGAGAAGACTAGTGCGTTCCATCGGCGTCATTGCCTTGCAAGAGAGCTAACCAGCGATGCAGGTACCGCAACAAGACGCTGATGCAGAATCATCGACCCGAAGGACGTCTGGTCAGATATTCACCCCGCAAAGCGAGAATGATTCGAGCAGCTCGGGGCGGTTGAATACACCCTCAACCAGTAACCCCTCACACTCTCCCAGTGTGGCTACGCACGACCAGGTTGATCCTGATGAGCCTCTACCTTCGATTGAGACGGAGCCTGAACTCGGACCAACTCTCACCACTGACCGCGACTCGGCACTGCGGGCCAGGTCTCCCTCCTTTTCCATTACTCCGCCTCCTTCCAAAAACCCATTCTTCACTCCTTCATGTACACCAGTCTCTAAAGCTGCTCCTGTCGCTGGGTCGCAAGTTTCGAGCCTTGATGAGCGCATGGCAGCGCTAGGGTTATCCAGGGATTCCACCCCACATCAGTCCCTTTCCAGAAGAACAGCTTCTCCTACTCGCCACAGCGGGCACGATCAGCTTTCTACTACCCCTGATATTACTCTGAATGGTGGCAATGTCGCTCCAATCTCCCCAACCCTTATTCTCGGGGGACCAGATGGCTTGCAGTCTAGCCTGCGAAACCAGAGAACCCATCTTTCTCCACGGTCCCCGAGTCCAGACATGGTCATGGTCAATGGAGCGAGCAGTCCTGGATCTGCGTCCCGACGCCGCTCGGGCTCTCAAGTCGACCTAACACCACACAATGTTACTGACGAAGAGCCTCCCCACGCAAGGTTCCATGAGCCCGACTTCCAGCTCCAGCTTGCCATCTCCAAGGGTCTGGTTGAAGATCTCGTTTATGTTCTGGAAAGCTCCTCGTTGCATAGCGAGCCGGGATCACGAATCCGAACGCTTTACTTGCAGGCTGTTAAATTGAGTCGATATCAAGATCCTTCTACTCGTACTGTTGGCCTAGTGGGTAACTCAGGGGTCGGTATGTCGTATTGAGGGCCTTTTGTGGGGTTCATGTTGCTCACAGCCATCAGGAAAAAGCAGTCTGCTGAACTCGTTGTTAGATCGCAGGGGGTTTGCACGCACCGTGAGTGGATGACCCTTTCCTAGGCTCCATCATCTACTGCTAACCGCTATGTGGGTTACAGAGTAACAGTGGAGCGGCATGCACCTGTGTTGTTACAGAGTATCACTATCATGAGAATGCCAATTTTGCCCTCGAAGTGGAATACTTCACCCAGGAAGAGATTCGAGAGCAGTTCACCGAGCTTTTGCAATCCTACCGAAGCCATCACTTACATGAGCATGATGATGACACTAGTATGACAGCAGATGACTGTGGGGACTTACAAGAAAAAGCAAAGGCCGCTAAAGATACATTTCGCGCCGCATTTAGGAACCACCTCACTCAGAACGAACGATTTCTGCTTGATGATCCGGAAGAGCATGTGCTCCAGACACTGCTAACATGGGCTGTGAGCACGGGTTTACCAGTGGTGGGGGGAACCAACATGGTGCCCAGAACTGAATTCGCTCGTGCAGAGGTCTTCTCTAATCACTTGATGGGATTGACCTCTGAGCCAGCAGATGCTAGCGAGCCCTCTAAATGGCCCTTCATTCGAAAGATAAGGTCTGTGACTCGAACAGAGCTCTACCTAGCGCATTTTGCTAACGAAAGCAGGGTTTACCTCAACGCCTATATTCTGAGCAAAGGCCTCGTACTGGTTGATCTTCCAGGTAAGTGCCATCCTTGAGTTGATCTTTTCTCTCGGATACTGATAATATAGGCCTTCGGGATCTCAATTCGGCTCGATTGAAAATCACAGAGAGATACTTGCTCCATTGCGACGAGATATTTGCTGTCTGCAATATAGGCCGGGCCACGACGGACCCTGGCGTCAAGGAAGTGTTCGAGCTAGCAAAGAGGGCTTCGTTGTCGAAGATTGGAATCGTGTGCACAAGGTCTGATGTAAGGCTGGATGCACTGGGATCCGCTTGCTGCCCACACGACCTTCATTCGTCTCAAATTGTGCTCTTCCACTGACATCTCGACTAGGAGATCCACGCCGACGAGGAAGAGCGAGATCGGGGTGAAGGAATCAGGAATGAAATCCGGAGGTTGAGAAGGAATGTTGACGACCTCAAGAAAGTCGCTGAAGCGACCGAAAGCGAAATCGACGACAACACTCCCGATGGCAATGTTGACGATGACATAAATGACGAAATGAGGAGCAAGTTGGTGTCATTAAACGCTACCCGCAAAACGACAAGGTAAATATTCCCAACTAATGACTTTACTGCTGAAACTCATTGGTCTACTTTGTTTCAGGAGACGTCTCGCTATGGCAAAGTTTGAGTAAGGCTGAATCGCTCATCGACCGTCATCAAGCAATCACTCAGACCCTTTGCCAGATTGATAAGATACCTCGTCACCACCCGCAACCAGAAAGTCACGGGAGAGCTCCAGAAGCTTTATCAGAACCAAATCGCTACAGCGAACCTCCCTGTCTTCTGCATCAGCAACATAATCTACCAGGACCATCGAGATAAACCAAAAGCCGAGGCTCTGCCCTACCTGCAGTTGTCGGGAATTCTGCAAGTTCGGAGACATTGCCTTTCCCTAGTCGCAGAAGGCCAGCTCCGTGCTGCAACAGAGTACGTCACCAACGCCATTCCAGCATTGCTCGGATCGATTGAGCTCTGGATTCAAGCTGGTGCGGGAAGTGTGGGCGCCGAGAGAAAGCAGGCAATTCGAGGAGCTTTGGATCGGATTGAAGACGAGTTAGAAGCCGTAAGTGCTTTGGCACGTCAGTCCAACCAAGATCGTGGCTAGTCTAATCCGGCTTTCTCGAAAAGATCAAAGTCCAAACCTCGACTGTCAATAGAGCGATGGACCAGCTTTTCAAGGAGAAGATAACACTACTCATGGGTAGGTTGAAGTGGTGTCCAAAACTGAGATGCGTATGCTGATAGCATACAAGCGTCCAACTCGGACAGGTGGAGAGAAGCGGCGATAGATGCTACAGATGAGTGGTCAGGGGTAAGCCATCGAAATGCTCAACATGTCTCTCGCGCTGAGTACACTAACAAAGAAACTACAGTGGAATCATGGTGAGACTTTTGATTCCTCTCCGGCTAAGTTCGTTCGACCTCGACAATCCTGACATTCCTTTCAGCTACTTACACTGCCTTCTGTCGAAACTATGGAAATCATAAGACAGAAGCGACAATAATACGCCGCAGCTGGAACGAAGAAGCTATGCAAGCCATGGTTACTAATATGAAAACTCCGTGGCAAAAATTTCGCCAGGACATACTCAGACTTCAAGACGGTGTGTCTGAGGCCATTGAAAACATTTTCGATTGTGCTGTCGCCCAATGTATGTGGCCTGATCTCTCGTTTTCGAGTCACGTCGGCTCGCCTGCTGATGGTTCTTGAGCTACTCCGCCTGGGCTTCCAGCAAATTCTCTGCGGACTTTGACCGTCACCTTGAGACACAGGCAAGCCCTGCTTATGACGCAGGTAGAAAATTTGTGTGGTGAATTCGAAAAGAGCGTATCGTGAGACATCCCTACCATTGGCCTATGACGCTTTCAAGTGGCTGACTTATCGAATAGAATTCTTTGGACCGATGCGTCTTCCGGCATTCGCAGCTCATTCATGGGTCAAGCCATGGAGCAATCCTACAACACATGCATTCATGACGGGGGTAAGTTGCAGAATCATCTTATGGTTCGAGGCACATCAGTGCAGAGTACTCATTCGATGATCGTTCTTGCAGGGAGAGGAAGCGACAAGAGGCGTAAAGCCACTATATGCAGCGGGTTTGGCGACGAACAGCTTTTCCCAACCATCCAGCGCCAATTGCGCAACGGGTTCTCCGAGCTCAGCCGCGACCTGGACGCCAAGATCCAAGAAGCCGTCACGACACATCTCGCCGTCGTTCAACGGGACGTGGATACCTTGAGGAACGAGAATGTGGTCCTGGAGAGCGAGAGCGATCCCAAGTTCCGAACGCGGCTAGAAACCGCAGCGCGCGAAATCCGAGTGCAACTAAACGACGCGATCGCGATCTATGCTCGTCTCGCACCGCCCACCTTCTGAGCACACCACGGCGATAGGTAATGAAGGGTAAGACCTATGTATTATCAAGTCTTGAAAGAGGAGGTGTGGGACTGTTCCTGAGGCGCAGTATCGAGGAAGACATGGATCCGAGGGGAGTATCCTCAACATAAGAAAGGTGTCATGAGGAGAATATGCCATATGTAAACTGAATCAAATGATAACTTACCATGAAGAAATGCCTTTCCACCGCTCATTCTAGTGCAAGCTGATATTCCTGGCGAGGGATCATCCGCACATAGATGTTGGCCATGAGCTGACTGCCCTAACACCCCTCGCAGTAGAGTTTTAGGACAAAACAGTGGAACCTAAACTCCGTCACATAAGCCCCTTCCGAAGAACGCCTTTGAAAGGCTGGGTTTCCCCCAAGCAAACCTTAAGGTACCAGCCGACTGTACGCCAGCCAGACGCGCAAGGTACGTAAATTAAACAATATTCAGGGTCGTAAAAAAACAGGAGCACGTGAGGCGTGAACCTTGAGAGTGTTGCCAGCAAGGTCTGGGGGCTACATTCTTTCTCCTTCAAGTATGTAGTGTAAGAGGTTGGAAAGGGATCTGCAACTAGCTAGCTAACTTAGTAACAAGGAGGATGAATCCGAAGAAGAGGAAAGTACTCGGGAGGTGTTACTTCGTCCCCTCCTTATATCGTATGTCTCAACTTCGGTCGAAGTTTCATAATGGGTATATGAAATATACTAAGTCACTAGTAACTATGGCTATAAAAAGCAGCCTTCTAGGCCGCATATATCTAGCTAGTTCCTGTTAAGACACTTAGTGCTCCGAACAAGTATATAACCAAGTGGCCCAGCATTCTACTATGGAAAGCCAGAATTGCTGTTTTTTTTTTTTTTTTTTGGTTCAACACCAGGGGTCACCAGGCTGTGGGCCACTCTCTGACATCGCTGGCCATTCCAAAATACTATGGGCCGCGAGCTGCCCCTTGAAGTTCTCTAACTTCGGAGTCTCTTGCCTGATATGGCCCATGGGTCCAAGCATGGGAAGGGCGGAGTAAAAGATGTTCGTCCCACTCTTGTTTTCCACATCTCTTGTAACCAGCGACCATCTCGCCATTTAAGCCTCATTCTTCTTGCCGAACCAGACCGCATGCAGCTCGATGCGCGTATCTGTATCACACCAACATTAGCCCAGGAATAATATCGTCCATGCAGAAAAGAACACACCTTGAGCGAGAGGGCGTATGAAGCCTTGCAAAATGACAACTACCGACAAGATGCTTGCTGCGACCCCGAAGACTATCGTACAAAGGACTTCGGTAGACATTGATGTCAGAACTGTCCAACTAATGTTGGCTTTTTGGTCTCAAGCTTAGTATACTTGTGAGTTGACATGGAGTCTGATGTACCTACAGGGATCCTGTCTAGCTCGACGGGTGGTCAGAATTGGGGAGGAATGATGCGGCTGCACTTGAGAGTTTCGAAAAGAGACATAGAATTGTTCTTAGATGGGAGAAACAGCATTGTTGAGGTGTGCAATGTGAAGTGTCACACCTGAGGAGCAGCTGACGCAGATATATAGCCGGGGCTCCGCGCGTCGAGCCTGGTCTTCTCACTTTAGAAGGGTGGAATGAGCCAGTGCAGGTTCTCCATCGGCATCAGCTTCTGTAGCCACGACAAATTCAGAACGGCCGCTAAGTCGTCCCAAATCCAAAGAGAAAGAAAATTAACGGTGAGGGAGTCGAGAGCCAGTGCAGGAATGTAGTTGCCGGACGAGGCTGAAGCAGGGATGTGGATAGCCAAGTGGACTATGCATGTGGACTACGCATGTGGACTACGCATGATACCCACCACTCCCAAGCATACTTCGACTCGCTTTCTCAAATGAGCACACCGTGGTCTGCCGCATGAGGCGGCTTAGATTGAGCCAGTGCGTGGCAGCCTTACAAGAGAAAAATCGGCATAGCGTCCCAACAAGGGTCCCTACTGTAGATACTCGTACTTAGTACCTTAGGCGCTCCCTCGCCGCTTCTGCTGATCATCGGCAAGTGCTCGGATTCCCTCAATTTCCTCGACACGGAATAAACGGGTGAGTGCTCTGTCAATGCTACCCCCTCGCCCCCAATCCACTCACCTCCCACCCCTTAGATTCATGGATGCACTGGCATGATCTTGTCCGGCCACTTTCTACCCTATCAAATCTTTCTCAGGGATACAGAGACCAATGCGCCGTGTCGTCATGGAGTTCCTGACTGGTCATCCGCAAGCGAGACTCTCCCGCTGGCCCGATCTCATATGAAGTACTCCGTACCTTCAAGCGACAGCATTATTGAGATGGAGCAACCCATTAGCCACGGTTATTCCCGTAATGTTTGCGGCCCATGCGAAGGCCCCGGCCCTCGACCGTCGTCTCTACAACACGAATCGGCGTGGATATTCAGCGGGAATTGCGAACCATCCCGTGTAGGCGTTGCTAGGCGTCATGGTATGATTGCCAAACCGGAGATTCTGCCGGGATCTGGAGGGTCTGGTGAGCCCAATCGGACATCTCAAAATTGAGACAGTGCAAGTTAAGCCACCGCCATCCAGGGCTGTGGGCGGCGGCTGTGGGCGTGCTACGTGTTAACCCCCTTTGGCTGTGTCACATCTCGGGTAAGCAAATCGCCTTCGAAACCTCCTGACCCTCGTGTTTCTTAATGGTGAGATCCATGGACATTCTTGAATACCTCATTCTCCTCCCTCTTTACCTGGTCAGTGTTGATATTTTCCAGACAAAATTTCCTTGCTCCGTACCTGGGAAGCATGATGCCGACTTTGATCTCCCTGTCCAATCTTTCTTTGGTCTCGACTGATAGCCCTGGGGTCCCTATAAACGAGCCAAAAAGGGAGACGCATGTCACCTCAACGTTTCCTTGTTCCCTATGTTCCAAGGTGTTTACCAGAAATTTTACCTTGAAAAATCACATGAGAGCACACGCAAACGACAGACCATTCCACTGCCGTGTTTGCGGCGAATCCTTTGTGCGACTCCATGACAAAAAAACACATGAAAAACTCCACGACGGGACCAAAAGCTTTGTCTGTGGCGGAGACAGCGAGGGCAAACAGGCACAGAGAGCAGGGTGTGGACGCTCCTTTGCTCGGTCTTCCAACCTTCAACGACATCGGCGGAAGTGCAAGCTACGTCAGTCTATTGCTCGACGGCCAACGCAGACGTCTAATATGCACGATACAACGTCAGACAATCACAACAATATGGCAGTTGCATCTCCTGTGGCAGCTGTGTCTCTCTTGGCGGTTGCGTCGCCTACGGCAAGGATAGGCAGGCGTCTACTTGAATGGAACAAACAATCTACCATGGAACTTTTTGAGTCTTTACAACATGAAGCCGAGCCTTTGAATCCTCGCGAGCCCAATCAAGGACCCCCAGCGTCACGCACCTTGACACCATCCTCTGTGCTTGCACCCCTCCGGGACCACATCGCTGCGGGTAAGCCACGTAGACGCTCTTTGTTTGTCTAGCATGGTTTAGTGTTTTACTGACGCTTCAATACAGAGAACAGGTTCCTGAATACGGTCCGCTGTGGGCAGGTCACACCTGATCTGTTGACGCAGGCCACAAAGTATATCCAGACACACCACAGCCTGGAAATTCTCCAGTGCGTGTACCACTGTCCAGCTACTGGAATAGCCTGTCCTTCCTGGATTCCTCCGTGCCCGTGTCCGCCTTGGTGGTGCACACGTTACCGTGAGGCGCCATGGGAAGCTTGTGGCAACCGAAAATGGGTCGAGCCCGTTCCTCACAGCCTCTCCAGGTATTTGAGCAGTCATGGGGTAGCCTTTGACACTGTTGTTGAAGTTCAAAAGAATGAGGGCAGATCTGACTGGGCAAGGCCCCCTTTCTCGGGTGCCGGAAGCTGGTCAGCCCTCTTCACAACGGACAACCCTACTTATCACACGGGTGAACCCCTTATTTCTGTCATTGCGTGCACGCTCCTGGGCTTCGAGGACCCCCGAGCATTTGAGCAACTGGCCGAGGGGGCTGCCCAAATTTTTCTCGCCTGGCTAACTGCCGATGCATCTATCTCCAACGATGATCTGCGAAATCTCCAGCGGCTGGTTGCCGAAGGAGATCTGGTTCCTGCTTATGGCAATCCCGGAGATTTTCAAGCGCGGTTTGTCAAGGAAAATTTGCTAGCTTTGACTCGACATTTCGATCACGTACCATCTTGCGGGCGGCCGTTGTTTCGAACTGAAAATGGATACATCGGGACCGGTCCACGCTTAGTCCAGCCTGGTGATGTCTGCTGCGTCTTGTTCGGTGGGAAAGTCCCCTTCATCCTTCGGCCCGTTTCGGACCATTTCCTTCTGATCGGAAAGTCTTACGTTCATGGCGCCATGCACGGCGAGATAATAGATCGACTTGATTCCGGAGAATTGGAGGAGAGACTTTTCGAGGTTTGGTGATCCTACCCCAACTGGACGGGACTGAAACTAGAGGCGACCAAACGACACCATTGCCGAACGCCGCATCACCTTGTTCGCCACTTCTAACGGCGGCAGCCTGGATCGAAGGACTCAACCTGCCGGTCAATGATCTCGGATAATTTCCCTGTCGATCTGAACTACCCAGCCTTGTGAAAAGCCAACTCTAACCATTCCGACCTCTTTGGGCCTTCTCTAGACAATGGATCTTTCATCAACAGCGCATACCGATGTCCGACTGCCTGACACAGCTTATCCTTCTTCAGCGACGGATGATTTCCCCCGAGAGAGGGGTGCTCGTCTTAAAAGAGTGGTTTCTTGATGGACACCCCGATACACATTCCCATCGTTTATAATTCTGGGAAAGAATGGAGAAGTTCGGTCAACGTGGAGATCCTAGGATTACGGAACCTCAATGGCATGTCCATCTACTCCTTCTTCGAAGTTACAATGCCGCAAAATCCACTTCCACATGCGTGAGCGATTGCACGTGGGTGGCCGCTTGTTGGATCTCGTCTACGCTAAAGTACCCAGTACGAGGGACCCTCTGGTCGCTTCTAAGCGAAAACCTAGTATAGTGCAAAGTTTCAAGACTCGCGATGTTGGTGCCTCGTGCTCGATGATGGCCGGGATAGGTAGGAAGAGCTCTCCATGATAATCTATTACATATATCGATGAGAGAGGTTCGAGACTGCTTGAACTACGGATACTGCAACGGCGGTCTTTCGTCTCATCCATTCCTCCTATTTGGACCTTTGGTTTGTAGGATGATACGGTGCTAAGGAGTCGACGAATCCAAAGTCGAGTTTAGACGAATTATCCGCGAGAAGACCCGCCGCGCCTTCTAAGAAAGAGACCTCCGCCCTGGCACGGATTGGTGGTATTGGAATTTCTGGCGCAGTCGCCCTGCCGCCCTGTTGAGAATTCAGTCACTGTCCTCAAGTATTCCCCCCCCCCCCCGAGAAGAAGGAAAGGAAGGAGAAGAAGAAGAAGAAGAGGAAGGTATCTCGATGTCTATCTACCTCCCTACATACCACAACGGCGTTCAAGCAGTAGCGTTACGGTGAAGGACGGCACTGGTTTGGAATGGAGTGGAGTGGGATAAGACGGTATAGTATGTATGGGACGGCTACCTGAGAGAGGAAAGAGGCAGCCGTTGTCATTGGATGTGCTCTAAGAAAGAGTCAGGAACCCTGTAGAGGAGGAATGCAAAGTGTAGTTAAAAGTAGCCAGGCAGATAGGGCGGTCGTCAACATCTCTTTTCCCTCGACTTCGAATCGGACGGTTCAGCGAAGACTCCTTCAAACCTTGATATCACGTCCCCGTCGCCGACCGCCTATTCTCCTCCTCCTCCTCCTCCTCCTCCTCCTCCTCCTCCTCCTGTTGCTGCTGCTGCTGCTTCACCACCTCCTCTCTCTGATTCGCCCGCTCCAGATGCGGTCTGGGTAGCAGCACCTTTGCCCTGCTGAGACTGTTGCATCCGTTCCCTCGCCCACGTGCCCCAGCCGCTCAGGTACGCGCCTGCCCGGGCCGCGCCCTCGCGAGCAGAGGCTTGGATCTGCAAGGTGTCGACACGCGGGGTGCGGTCACGGAGAGATGTTGTCCAGTTCGAAGCGGCAGGTGTTGAAGTGCTGGCGACCGACGAGGAGGGTGGCGAAACAGGTCTTGCTTTTGACCCAGAGTCACCGTCCGGCTCGACGACCATCCAACTCAAGTTCGAACTCGCGCTCGAAAGAGCCACTGCTGGTTGTTTCGTCGCAGGGCCCTGGTTCTCTTTCTTTTCATCTTCCCCGCTGGTCCTCGTAATGCTTTGGCTGCGGCTCGTCCTCTTCGTCGCCCGCTGCTGCGCCCTCTGTTCCTTCGCCTTTTCCACCTCGGCCCAGAACCTCGCCATGCCAGCCTCGACTCTCTCACGGCCACTCTGCAGCGTGCGTCCCAGTTGTTCCCTCCCCTCCCTCACCCTCTCGTCAAGATGGAGATCTGCCATTCCCCTGGCGACTCTCCTTTGCAGATCTTCAACAGTCAGCCCTCCGCCAGTTGGGTGCCGGGGCTCGATGATGTCGAAAATACGATTCCCCTGCGTGAGACGGTCAAAGAGGGCAAAATTGTTGGTCGATCGCCACATGGCGAGGAATTCAGGATTAAAATCTGAGGCGGTATCTCCAGGGTCGGGGAAGTTCTCTATATTTGCGACAGCGGCGGGGATGCTGTTTTCCGAGAGGGATTCGTGGTATATCTGATATGCCATACTACTCAAGAGGGAGAGAATGTATTCCTCAAATTGCATGCGAATGGCGTCTTCGGAACCTGCATAACCCATGTTCTTCGGCCTACTCGGATTCTCCGGATCCCACGTATCCAGCACGGTCTGAGTGAGGTAGTCGATCCAGCGACGATCCGCTGCGCTAAGGGCGAGAGCAGTACGCAAAGAAGGAGAAGAGATTGTGATGGAGTTGGACTCGTCTAGGTTTATGAGAATGTCGCTGTACCTTTCCTTCTGCTGGAGCAGGAGGCTGTTGGTGGAGCCGACGACATAGGATTTGGTGTCGTAGTCGGCGAGGATGTCGAGTTGTTGGAGGGGAGTGTATGGCCCAAACATTGAAGCCTACATCATTCAACGATGCAAATGGTTAGCTCCCGTGAGAGACGAAGCTGGAAGCTAGGCGAAGAGATTATCATTTCCCCCCTACAGACTTACCTTTCCGAATAATTGCAACGGCAAACCCATATATGCTAGTACTGCGACCCATGTCAGCAGCTTTCTTTCATTGGGAGCAGCGACCCTTAGATCAATAAACATACATGAAGCTCTATCGCTGGTCTTTAAACTCGTCGCTTTCTGCACGTTCTGTGCGTAAGCATCGAGGCTCGGATCCGCTGCGTCCTGCAAGTTTGCAATGAGTCCAGGGATGAGCGAGACCAGGGCGAACTGCATCATGCAGAGCCTTTCACATTTGGAGCCAAAAAAGAGCATCTGCAACAGGAAGTATCCGGTGTGAGTACAATGGACAGTGATCATAGATGGTCGACATGATTCATCTTCCAAAACAAGATGGCGAGGACTGGTGGTGGTTGTGGGAGAGGACAACCTACCTTCCGCTGGAGCAAAAGGCATTTGACTAGAGCCAGCGTCTGATGCCTAAACTCATGTATCAATTCTCGAAGAGAGAGACCTGCAGACACCTCAACATCAGTTCCGCGTAAACCGAGCCTCTGGCTGGGGCCTGGTGTATCGGCGCGTCGCTCGATCGTACAAGGTGCTGGAAGACGAGACAGCGTCAGGTCCGGCACGTACCGAAATGATGATCTTTCCCGTCCTCATGGGTAGGCGGCGCTCTGAATAGACTGTCTTGAAATTCCTGAATAGCCAACCTTGTCAGCCTTCTCTCCGTCTCACATTGATGTTCGACGGTCACAGTGAATGACACTCACCTACCTTCAAAATCGAGGTATCTGAGAAATCCCTATATCACACATCAGTCTCTCCCGCACCCCGGTTGATCACCTCTACCACTTGTCTGAGAAAATGAATAGTGACAGTCGAAAGCACAGTTGCTAGCCGACTTACTCCTGCGCAAACCAGGCCGCCGTGACAATTCCAAGCCTCTCTCTCAATTCCCCCATGCCCCTCGCCGTAGGTGAGATAACAACAACGGCCTTCTGAACAGTCGAGCGCGTCACGTCCACTGAGCGGCGCTTGAGTTTCTCTGCCCGGATCTGTCGCGTACATGAGATGCCGAAGAGACTCGTGCCCGTACCCGTGCTAGTCGCTGCACCCGTACCGCGCGGATTTGCCTTGGAACTTGATTGAGCTTCGGTGAGGTCGGAGTCGTGGTTCCGATTGTCAAGCAGCGTAAAATAACTAAACTCCTCTGCCATGGCATGTGCCCCATCGGAAAGCGCCATGAACGGCATCAACGACCAGTCATTGTGTGTAAAGAGGTTCTCGCCATCGCTGTGGACCCAGAATTCAACCTCCGGGCCGCTTCGTCCACCCTTCCGTCAGCCGAAGGAAGTAGTACTTCTACGCGTGGGGTACGCTGCTAATGGAAAAATAGAGGAGTTTGAACTGGGCAAGAAGATGAAGCGTACCGAGCGTGGTGGAAGTCGACGACGGCGACCTGAGGCGAAACAGTCGTCATATTGGGGTTGTGATGGGCCCGATATGCATCTCAGGAGCAGGATAAGCCAAGTGATGCAGGCTTCACCATAATTTTCAGAGGTAAGACGAAGCGTCGGATATGTGGTGTATGGAGTATATGGTGTATCTTTAGGAAAATAACGGGCAAGCAGGGTTTGAGGTCGAAGAGGAACGGGAGCCTACGCCGTTTCCGGACTTTAGTTTTTCCGGACTGACTTCTTCGTTGTTTGGCATGGCCGCCGTGATTTAAAGCGAACCCTCATCCCCCCCTGCCCCCCCTTTCATCCCTTACATACCTCGTATACTCCTGAGAATCATGAGCATGGTTCGTTCAAGTCATCGTAACTCTCCATGCCTCTATCTTCCGCCCCTCTGCTCTACGTGACAGTTCCAGAGTGGTACTTGACAAGTTGATGTTGCTTTATCCATCCTCTCCCCGCAATCCAAGGCCTCAGGAAGGGTTCCAATCCCGTGTTTAGTCGGAGTAATAATGCTCTTCCCGTCTTAATTACCAATCTGATATCTAAAGAACGAATACCATTTAAGTTCTTGGCTCCTTCTAGGGCTCAAGGCCGGTTCGTGCTCTGACCTCCTTCTCATCCTTGACATCGAGAGGCTCAATGTTCCAGATCGTATCCGCGTACTCGTTGATGCAGCGGTCTGGACGTCAGGTTAACATGTTACCGACAACAAACGGACTCGAATTAGACATACCCGACGTGAAGAATCCCATTCTAGCCACACTCGTAATCGACTTGGTGACCCAGGAATCCTGATCTTTGTAGGCCTCGTCGATAAGATCTTGCGTCTGGCAATAGCTGTTGAAGTCATCGCTCACTGCACAACCATTTCATCAGTCCAAGGTCCGCCAGTCAAGCTCGAAGAGAATCTTACCCAGATAATAATCGCCGTGTTCCACAATAGCACTGATGAGAGCACCAAAAGCGGCCTCGTCACCGAATGTGCCTTTTTTGATGCAATCAAACACTTTCAGAAGCTCGGGGTTGACCTGGTAATTGCCATAGAAGTGGTGGTGTCGCAAATCCTCCACGTCTTCAGACAAATTGCCAAACAAGAAAATATTTTGTTCCCCAATTTCTCGAGTGATTTCAATGTTGGCCCCGTCAAGTGTGCCAATGATCAACCCGCCATTCAGCACAAATTTCATATTACTGGTGCCCGAGGCCTCAGTACCGGCAGTGGAAATATGCTCACTGATGTCCGAAGCTGGGATAATGATCTCTGCCTTGCTGACATTGTAGTCTGCCACAAAAACTACTTTGAGCAAATCGCCAACGTCGGGATCCTTGTTGACCACCTCTCCGACCTTGTTGATCAGATGGATGATGGTCTTGGCCATCCAGTAACCTGGGGCCGCCTTGCCACCAAAGATGGAAACTTTTGGTGAAACCTTCTTGCGCTGCTCAGGCGTCATGGCCTTGATGGTCAGGTATCGATGAATCACACCGAAAATGTTGAGTTGCTGGCGTTTGTACTCGTGAATGCGCTTGACTTGAATGTCAAAGAGAGCCTTTGGATTGACGCTCACCCCTGTGGTCTTCAAGATATGCTGGGCAAGTCGGACTTTGTTGGCATACTTGATTTCCGCCCATTCTTTCTTGAACGCCTTATCATCGGTAAACGGCTCCAACTTGTTGAGAAGGGTTAAATCCTTGAGGAATTCATAGTTGCCGATCTTCGAAGCAATCAGTTCGGAAAGGCGTGGGTTGGCCTGGTGCAGCCATCGTCGGGGTGTAATGCCATTGGTGACATTGGTGAACTTGTCGGGGCCATAGACCTTGACAAAGTCCTTGAAAATGGTTGTCTTGATCAAATCCGAGTGGAGCTCAGCCACACCATTGACCTTGTGGGAACCCACAATTGCTAGGTAGGCCATCCGGACCATCTTGGGTTGTGACTCTTCAATGATGGAGACTCGCGCCAGCATATCGCGGTCTTTCGGGAAGCGGCGCTCGACAGACTGCAGGAAGTAGAGGTTGATGTCGTAGATGATCTGGAGGTGCCGCGGAAGGAGGTTCTGGATCAGGGGTACTGACCATTTCTCCAATGCTTCTGGCAGAACAGTGTGGTTGGTATAGCCAAACGTCTTGGTGACGATGTTCCAGGCAGTATCCCATTCAAGACCTTCCATGTCGATCAGAATGCGCTGCAGCTCGACGATTGCAAGGGTTGGATGCGTGTCATTCAGCTGGATGGCCACTTGGTCAGGAAATTCGGACCACTCTCGCTTGGATTTTTTGAATCTGCGGACGATGTCATGCAAAGAAGCGGCACACCAGAAGTATTGTTGCTTCAGACGGAGCTCCTTGCCCCTTTCCAGGTTGTCATTTGGATACAATACAGCCGAAATTGTCTCGGCACGCTGCTCGTCGGCCACGGCACTCTCATACTCGCCAGAATTGAATTTGGAGAAATCGAACTCACCACTGGAGGCCTTGCTGGACCAAAGACGCAGGTTGTTCACGGTGGGGGTTCCATAGCCCGGAATGGGCACATCGTACGCGGTCGCCGTGACGACCTCGCCGTCCTGCCAGGACACAATCTGCTTGCCCTCGTCGTCCGTGAACTTGCTGACCCGGCCATAGAACTGCACATCGACCGTGACGTCGTGTCTGGGGAATTCCCAAGGATTGAAGTCGAGCCAATAATCCGGAATTTCAACCTGGTACCCGTTCTCAATCTCTTGCTTGAAGATGCCATATCGGTATCGGAGGCCGTAACCCCATGCCGCATAATTCAAGGAAGCCAAGCTGTCGAGGAAACACGCAGCAAGTCGGCCGAGGCCTCCGTTGCCCAAAGCCGCGTCATGTTCCTGTTCAATGATGTCCTCAATCCGGAATCCGAGCTCAGCAAGACCCTCTATTCCCAATGTCAGCGCGTGGAAGACGACAGGGTGGAGAACACCAACCTTTGGCCACGTCTTTTAGTCCAACATTGAGCATTGCGTTGTCCAGTGCTCTGCCCATCAAGAACTCGAGGGAAAGATCTTCCAAGTTTGTGAGCTACCACACATCCGCTATGACATTCCTGTCACTCACAGTAGATCCTCTTTTGATCGACAAAGGTCTGCCTCTGCTGAGTCTTGTTCCAATCAATGATCAGGCGATCTCGAAAGGCCAGCGCAGTTCCGGAGTATGCGGCTCTGTAGCGACAGTCAGTGGGAGGGGTCGTCTGTAGAGGCAGAGCGGCCAGACGCACAGCTCGTCGCAGTTGAAGAGGGATCTCGCCAAGGTGGTCTCGATGTGTTTGACACATTCTGCCTGTTGTGAGAGCGTCAGATGGTGATTCCGCTGTCGAACCAACGTCAAATGCTCACCTCAAACTCTTCCTTGCTCGTGAAAGGGTGCGGGGACTGTCCAAGTTCGGATTAGAAGGGTGACGGCTTCGGGGACAGAAGCTTGAAGCTTTACAAATTTTCTCCAGCTGTTGTCGGAAATAGGTCAGCTTGTCCATTTGGGTCTGGTAGCTATGGGATTGGAGGGAGCCACCACTCACGCCTCTCGCATGTGCTCGGGAATGCTTGATTCCACGGCCTTGATGTCACCAGCTCCGAAACCTGTGGCAGTCCTCTTGTGCTTGGGTCGAGTGAAGCCAGGGCCGACAGGGCCTACCAAGGTCGAAATGGGAGCTCCTGTCGAGGGTCTGCGCTCGCGCGGGGGTTGGGCAACGGCGGCTGCAGCGGCCATCTTGTCGGTGGGGGGCAGGACAAGACTGCACGAGCAAGGCAAAGGAGGGAACAGTAATAAGAATGGGATGGAGGAAAAGAAAGTCAATGGCTTGAGAAGTCAAGTTGCTTCGAGCAAAATAGGAGAGCAGAGGGAGAATAACAACAGAGAATGAGGACAGAGGGGCAGGCAAAGGACGTGGTATAGCTCGATAGGACGGGAAGGAAGGGGAAGCTGGATACTTGAAAAGTCAATCGAGGGGTCATTCCAATCGCCCTCGCGCTGCGCCCTCTGGTGTCCGCTGGTGCCCTTGTCCTTGCTCCCGCCTCATTGCCATGGCTCATCGACTTCCGTTATTGCAAATGCAATATGCAATATGATGGATGCCGTGCACAACCGGATCCAACCTATTAACGGGCTATTTACTACCCAGCAGGTACCAGCTCCATCATTCAGCATTCACTGTGCATTAGTGAGCTCCCAGCAAGACCGGGCCTTGTATTTGCCCGAAATGGACCATGATCTCTCTCTCTGCCTCGAGGAGTCTCGCCTCGAGGCATCGTCGATCAATAGCATTGCCAGGGCAAGCGGTGAGCCACGACAACGAGAATGCCATGCTTCAATGCTAACTGCATCGCCGCATCCAAGATTTGCGCCTCCTCCGATCCTTTACCCCGCCTCGCCCGCCTGGAGAGCTGCCTGCGCCCACGCCTCACGCGCCTGGAGAGCTCAAGCTGGCGGTCTCCACCGCAACTCGAGGTGGGCAAGCAATTGGCATGTGCAACGAGAGAGTGGAGAGGTTTCTATCGCGTGAATGTGTTAGTATTACTATTTTCTTTTCTGGTTAACGTTGGGATCTAGATTTACGACTCCTACGACTACTAGCCCATCCCTACACCTGTTTTCCCTCGACAGAAAGGGCCACGTTGGAGACAAGGACAGGGTTGAAACAGAAGGACAAAGCTGCTCTCTACGGCGCTCGGATGGCGGGGGTACCCTTTACTCGTTAGGTGAAGTAAGAGCTTGGGACAAACGAGGATATCGACCTGATAATCATCGCTCTCGCATCTCCACCGCAT